TTATAGTTTATTTGTGTTAACGGTGTTTTAACTCAACAGGTGCGTTTTTGTTCTGTTCTGTGTGTGTGTGTGTTTGTTTTGTGATGTTTTGTGTGTTTTCTTGATTTGTTTTATAGCAAACAAATATATGTGTGTGCAACGTTTTACAACTGTCAACCAGTCATTACACCACCAAAAAAGAACAGATCGGCAAACAAAATAGACATGTGTTCCTTTAACGTTATATATATATATATATTATATATATATATATGTTTCCGTGCTAGCGTTTGTGTTGCTGCTGACTTCACATCACATGAGTCCTGAGAATTCAATGATTTCTGGTTAGAAAACAACTCCAAACTAGACCCTGCAGGTGACTGACTGAAACTAATACAGAAAGATAACAACCATTTTCTCCTGCTCCACTCACATGATTTTCATTGAAACTTTGAACAGCAGACAATTGGAATTGTATTGAAGTCAAATGAAACCACATGACACTAATGCAAAAATTAATTTGATTCAATGCAACCACATGAATTTGCCCAATAAAAGATACTGGGTTCACATAGTCAGGATTGAGGCATGCTGAATTTGGTCCAAACTTTGTTGTAGATGAAATATGCGCAGAAGTAAGAGTAGAATATGATAAAACATGAACAGGAATGTAGACATGATAGATAATTATACGAGTTACGAGACAATCATTAATGTCCAAAAATTATGTAGAAGCAATCATCAGGTAGCAAACAATCACCAGGTAGGCCGTTGTTTGGGTTCAAACCCACAAGTCTTATCGCACATTATGTTGGCAAACATTGAGTGAAACTGTGTCATGAACGAACTGTACTTTGAATGTGCTGCATGCATGTCCATAGCCTTGTCATTTCGAACATTTTTCTGAAACCCTCTATTCGGAAGTTTGCTGCATAAATAAACATGTTTACCAAACATGCAACGTTTTCCACACTTATTTATATAGTTTGTTTAATATGTTTGAACTGAAATGATGGGAACAGGTTTTCATTTTTTTGCTTCAGGGACATTCTAACCACGTTTCTTTCATTGCTGGTTTTGCCTAAAAGTGTCGACTCAGTTGCTTGTGAGTTTTTCTGTCCAATAATTTGTTTGTGAATGTTTGTAAACAAACTATGGGGAGGTTGGTTTTCAAGGCGCTTTATTCGCCAATTTTGGGTCTTGTTTGCACCATGTTTGGGAAAGTAGATGATTCATGCTGGCAATGTGCATGTCCAATTTCCTGCAGGTATTTTCCCACAAACATGTCTGCATCAAATGTGCCGATCAAAATCTTGAACGCACATAGTTCCCATGCAATTTTGGATTTTCAAAGTATTTTTTCCTGAAAGTATTGCTGGCCAAGAAATGCTGCCACACGACATTGAAACAACAGGTTCCGTATACATAGGATCCAGATACCTTCTCACAGAGTGATAGGCCTAGTGAGAATGTGATCGAGATTGAAATTGCCCCAGAAGTGTCGCAGCTCGAAGACCATTCTAGGCACCAAAATCTGAAATGCTACCAAAAAGTCTCATAATGTTCTTGCATCCCAGTCATCTTCTCAAATGTACTTTGGATCCTTTGGGGTTTATTTAATTGAAATGCACGGCAACCAAGTTTCTGTCGCGGCCAGGCCAAGTCTTTGACAACAGGTGATTTCATGTTTTCATTTACAAAGCACACCTTTCTATACATTTCAGATTCGGCAATGGTGCATCAAAAGCTTGCATGTTTGATACTTGGTCTTTCTGCGGCAAAGTTCCCTATGAATGGTCTCAGGTGTCAATCAGAATATGTTGAGTCAGAGGATCAAAATCACAAGCTCATAGACATGCAGCACCAGTCCCTCATGACAAATGTGTAATTACTCAATTTGTCAATGCACTATGACTTGCAGGATTGGACCAAGATCAACGTCATACTTGACATTTTTTTCAGTTTTGGATAATATATCGTGTTTGACGATTTTTGAAAAGCATCAATACTTTCAGACTACTGTAATTCCCGCTTTACAATTGGACCGGCTACGCTGGTGTTTGTCCATCAGCATGAAAATCTAAAACGCTAAGTTTCTATGCACATAACACAGCACTTCTGGCGTTGAATATACAAGTTGGGTCGATTTTTTTCGTTTTCTGCTTTCTTGTGGGGCATTGGTTTTGCTTGTATGTTTGGGTGGGTCAATGTTGTCTCTACCCTGAGATGATTGCGTGATTTCAGAGCTTACTCGAGGCAAAACTGGTCACTATTTTTTTGACACGGGTTTGAAATCATACGTTCTTACCAAATTGTTCTGTGTGACAAAGTGATAGTTTGTGTTTTTGGTTCGTATGACATGTTTGAATGTGTTTATGTGTCCTAGTCATTTTTCTAGTCTGGATTTTGGATGATTTTGGCACCACATCCACACTAGTGACTATAACCCAACTGGAGTTTGCTGAAGGTTGATGCCTGGGCCATGTCAGGAAAGACATCTTTCAGTACATCATCTCGGAGTTGGGAAGCCTTGAGCGAATGGACGAGCAAATCCGAGCACTCATGGCTGAAATGCTGATGCGAAATTTGGCCAACGTGGAAAAGGCAACTGGAAGTCTTGTGGACCGTCTCGGCCAGGGCAGCGCAACAGTCGCAACAGTGTACGAAGAGCGGTTTTAATCATATATTTTCCATTTAGACAGTCTTGTACATGTTGTGACTTCTTGAGCACGCACAAGGCCGTGACTCGTCAGAGCTGACCCACAGCTGGCAGCGAATAAGTTTTGGCATCTCACAGCATGTCGAAAAATCGTCCAGAGGTTGGGAGCTGCCGATTGCTCAGCGGGTTGCTGCAACACTTTGACGCAACTTGGAGTCGAGGAATGCTTCAGCCATCCATTTGGGATTCGGCCCCCAACCTCCATTGGCATGTGGTCAGGAACCCTTGCCTGGATCATGCAGATTTTTATGTAATTGACTCTCCGCATTGCCCTTTACAATCCTTTACAATCCTTTACAATCCTTTACAATCCTTTACAATCCTTTACAATCCTTTACAATCCTTTACAATCCTTTACAATCCTTTACATGTTGTCCAAATCCAAGGAACTCTTTGGGCGAGCAGCTAATAATAGATAGGTATGTCCGGCAATTGTGTCCAAGGGTTTCTTTTCTGCGCCTGAATGGTTTAGTCCAACATCCCTGGCTGTTGGTGGCTGCTCGGTGCTGAGCATGCAATGATTGGCGATGTGAAATCACACAAATCATTCGAGTGAACCTGGGAACACCTCCAGTCAACAAGTCATTCTCTATGCTTGACTGGACTCAAGCTTGGAAAGGGACATTAACCCCTAACAGATAGATTTTTTTTGCTACTCTAAGATGCTCGCATATGCTCAATTGGGATTTCTTCCTTTGTGTCCATGTTAGAGAGTCATAATTGCAAAGACAGGACTCATCACATTTAGTCGGTTCATGATGTTTCATGTACTTTCATGTTCTCAGGGATAAACCATGTTAAAATGTGCAATGACTTTGGCAGCCATTCTTCCTTGGCATTAGATCGGTGTTTTTTCTTGCGCAGCATGGTCTCGTTTTGTCTGACATTGGTGTGGTGTTACTCCTGAGGATGATTCTCCTGGATTGTGCGCATTGCCTCGCCATCAGGCTGGCGGATGGGAAGTCTGGTTCCAAAGACCAAACTCCAAAACCTGTAGGCAGTGGGATAGGTTGGATATAGGGTACGCTAGGGTTGAGGTCAAGGCAATTGGATACTTCTTGGATCGGTAGATTGAGAGTATCATGGACAGAAGCGTAGGGAACAGGTAGAGATACAGCCAGACATGTTGTGACGTGTTTGTTTGCCCCTCCTTTGTTGGGAGGACCTTCACATTGATACCGGGTTTATGAATTATTGAAAATCCAAAGCACAGAGAGAAATTCAGCTGTCTCAAAGCCAACGTGAGGCGCCATGCGCCCAAGCTGCGGCCGCTGCGTTGGACCAAAGAGTGGCCAAAGACGCCACCCCCACAGGATCGGCGATGTGGGATCTCCTCTGTAACGACGAGTTGCGGGTTAGAACCGACAGATGTGAACCCCTTGAATTGTTTGTCAGCAGGCTGGAGTTTATTTAAGGCATTTTAAGGCACAAGGAGCGGCAATATACTGTACGTCATTTGAGTCATTTGGTATGATCAACAGTGAACAAGAAAGGAATTTTGATTGAGACACATGCATCTACAATATAAACAGGGATGAGCACCATTGCATGAAGCTCTAACCCGCTATTAAAATGAATGGTGCGTTTTCCGAAATTTGCGTAGAAATGGGATATGCCCGACATGCCCGACATGCCCAATTTAACAGTGGATGTGCCCCATGCTCATGTCTCGCACACGTGGGAAACCACAAGATGTCCACTGATCACCCTCTGAAACGCAACCTGGCGCCGTGCAAACACGGAGCCAAAGGATGACCTACTGATTGAACATGGTCATCTCCGTGTCCCACAACAAATCCAGGAGCGGATATATATGACAGATACATCGGGTTCCGAAATAGAATTGGGTTCAGCAAAAACATCCAGGTCAGGTAAGTTAATTATTTTATTATCCACTGGCGCGACAGGAGCCGCTCACAACAGCGACTGCCACGTTGGCTAGATACTTTCGCTACCAGCAACAGAAAAGATGCAGCACCCTGCAGGTTGTTACGTCGTGCTTGCAAAAGTGACTTTGCATGACTTTGCATTGTAAGTGGAAGTGAAAGCGGGATTTCAAGACACATGTTCTTAGAGACGTTGAGGCGCAAGGGGGCTGTGTACGTCAGGTATCTTGATTCTCATCCAAACCATCGTGCTATTTGGTTCATGTTTCCGACTCTATGGCCACAAGCCGAGTATCATGTGCTGCTGTGGTTTGAAGATTTCTTTGGATTTTATGAACCACGGTGAGATTGTTGAATGGGTCGCCTATCTTTGTGGGATCAAGACTGCAGGCAAGAACGACAGAACTCGCTCAGAAATGTTTTTCTGTGGATCAAATTCAAATGCGCTCGTGGTAAATTGCTGGATAAGTCGCCAAAATATCCAAAATGATGGGTGGCAAAGCAAATGCCTTCAAGATCCTTGAACTATCACCGTTTCTCCCAAACGCAAGACTAGCAATTTGCAGAAAAGAACGCAATATGGACAGAAACCTGCGGACAGCGATGCAGAAGCGGTGGTGCAGTATTTGAGCAAGTGACTTGTCAAAAGAAAAACGTGTGCTGAAAACTGATGGCAAAGATCTCTTTAGGCCCTTGCTCACCATCAAGAAAATTACTTTACTTCGTGTGATCCCCACCATGACATTTATACATTTTCTTACTGGCAAATCTTCTGGCATTCTATCTGACATATCTTCTGACATTCTATTTGGCATTCTATCTGGCATATCTTCTGGCATATGATCTGGCATATCTTCTGGCATATCTTCTGGCATTCTATCTGGCAAATCTTCTGGCATTCTATCTGGCATATCTTCTGGCACTCTATCTGACATATCTTCTGGCATTCTATCTGGCATATCTTCTGGCATATATTCTGACATATCTTCTGGCATTCTATCTGATATCTATCTTCTGGCATATCTATCTGGCATATCTTCTGGCTGGCATATCTATCTGGCATATCTTCTGGCATATTTTCCTATCTGGCATATCTTCTGGCATCTTTCTGGCATTCTATTCTTCTCATTCTATCTGGCATTCTATCTGGCACATTCTATCTTCTGGCATCCCTGACATTCTTTCTAACTTCTTCTGCACATTCTTTGTCCCATATCTTCCTACATGAGGTCCGGCAGGGAACACTTGGCGTGGATACTCGCGGTTGAGGTCCGGCAGGGAACACTGGGCGTGGTCGTGGTTGAGGTGGTCGCGTGGTTGAGGTCCGGCAGGGAACACTGGGCGTGGATGGTCGTGGTTGAGGTCCGGCAGGGAACACTGGGCGTGGATGGTCGTGGTTGAGGTCCGGCAGGGAACACTGGGCGTGGATGGTCGTGGTTGAGGTCCGGCAGAGAACACTGTGGATCGCGGGTCGCAGTTGAGCAAGGACGACGAGGACGACGAGGACGGACGAGGAGGAGGAGGAGAGGAGGACGAGGCAGGAGGAGGCGGAGGAGGAGGAGGAGAAGGAGGAGGAGGAGGAGAAGGAGGAGAAGGAGGAGGAGGAGGAGGCAACTGACATAAAATCTAACAACCCTCACCTGGCAGGTGGGGAAAAACCATTCATCGGTACATCGTCCGAATCTCATCCTCATTTTTTATTGTGTTTTACCATGTTTTAGCAATGGCTGTGAGGGTGGTCCTGGGCAGAATGCCTCAAGTGTCATTTTTTAATGGTAACCCTTCCCTCCCCCCATCCTCCAGGGGCTGTTGTGGTTGACATGTGCATGCGGCTCGCGGCGCAATATTTTGAAACTTCAGTTTAGTAGGTCTGCTCTTTGCTCATGAATTTCTGGACAACTGTATGATACCCATGGCTTGTAACTTGCAACTGCCTGGTTTTACCACCTGGCCTCAATGTTTCCTTGTACACATTAGCTGAATCAGACCCATGGGCACATGGACATGGTCTATGACAGAGTCCTCAACAGGATGCAGCATTTATCAGCATTCAATATGGTGAGCGCAACGCCTGATGCCTGATACACCATGACTTGGCGCATGATGCAGTGGCTCCTCGCAACGATTTTCGTCATTCTTTCTCCTGCTGAGCTGCGTGTCTCGAAGCAGAGCACGACTGGACAGCAGAGCACCTCGGCTGCGGTTTCGGGGCTTGCTGGGGGTGCATTGGTCAGGCAGTTTCAACAACTCGTAACACAGGGAGCTACAACAGGCATCTAGTAGATGTGTTGCATTGCCACAGTGTCTACTTTGAGGTCTTTGCCAGCCTTTGCCGTAAGTTGGCATAGTTGGCCAGATGACCATCAGCTGAAGTGGGAACTTGTGACTCCAACTCCCAGAATTGGTAGATGTGTTCAAGTTAAACAGATTTGGTGCCGGGTGAGGCCCAAGAATCTTTTCAGCTTTGCCACACTGCAAGGTAGCCACCCTGTACCCCAACCAGCAGCTGAAAGGGTTGCCAGACATCTGCAGGTGGGCCTCGAGGGTTCACAGAAAGTCGATGTTCTGTTGTGTCTTTTTGTTTTTTTCCGGTTACCTTCTTGGAATTTCCAAGACCTAAATATCACCGAGAGTTGCGCAGTTCCTGCTTGCAGGACTGTGAGGTGATTGCCTGGGCCGAACTCTGTGAACGAAAGAAGTTGACGGCCGGGTCGTGCTTTCAACTTCAGTGGCTTGGTCACAGGGGATCTGAAGAATGCGATGCTTGCGTGTTGGTTGTGGGTTGGATATGGTTGGAACATGTTGGAAAAAGGGCTATGTTTGGGCCAAAGTTGTTTTGACATCAGATGTTCTGTCTTTGATTTGTCCTGCTGAAGACATGCGTTGTTTGATTCCGGAAATTCAGAGGTGTCAGTTGCATTCTTCCGAAGCTTGTCAGGTATTGCAACTATATGACCTTTTCTAAATACCTAAAAGACGTTAAATAACCTTCAATGAAAATTAAAACATACTTCATTCAAGCCCTGCAGAAACTTCTGAGTCCCGCGAAAAACCGAGGTCCACCGCGGAAGCGCCACTCTGCGAGCTGCAAGGGCCGCACGGGGCGCCGGCGCAGCTGCGCCCAGCGGCAGCGGGGATTCTGACCTTGACATCCGGGGAGCTACGCATCACCGGGTGCCTTAGAGGAAATCATGTCTGATTCCATCATGGTTCTGAGCCAAGTTTGGTCACGGACCTGCTTGGTCGTCTAGAAGTGCGTGGCAAGCTTCGTTGTTCTTCAAGAGAATCTTCCAAAAGTTCCTTCAACGGATGTAGTTTGACCCTTGACACGTTAGATTCCATGGATATAATTAATCGGTGCAGAAACTTCGCGCAGCTCCCAAGGCAAATTCAGATGACTTCTATCCGCCTGGCAGCCAAGAACCTTTCCTGCACCAGGGGCTGTAGATAGCAAGTCCAAAACTATTTGTGTGTGTTTTTTTTGTTTAAAGTTATTTTTTTTTAAGTATTGCACTACAAACAGTTTCTTATGGAATGCTGCAAAAAGACACACGCAGAATGGGGGAGTTCGGATTTATTTCATGCAGAGTTCAGGGTGCCATGTGATACCATGAAGAATTCAACTGAGGACTGTGAACTTTGCAGATGCTCACGTCGAAGCGTGGCATGAAGCTCCATTGGATCCAAACTCCACCGCATCTGGTGGCGCCTTTTTCAGCGAGGGGTCATTCACTTTGACCAGGTCCCGCCTGACAGCTACTTGGATTGTTTTTAAATTCAGGATTTGTTTAGCCCTTAGTGTCAGTGAAACTGCATTAATGGCTGTGGAATGCCGTGGATGATTTTGGAGTAAGCTGTTGAATGCTGGCTGTGGACACGAACTTGGGATGCTGCAGATACCCATCCAACAACAAACGAAGGTGAGGGATGTTCGGGCTACTACTATGGATGGCGGTGGCTTCGCAGCGGACGGAGACCTGACCCTGGGTGGCATTGCAGGGGCGCAGGTGTAGTGGTTGGATGCTGTTTGGGATGCAATGGACCACGGTGGTATTTGAGTTTATTTGACAATTCTTGATCCACATACATTCATTAAGTATCTGCTGAGGGAATTCCATTTTACCAGCATGGTGAGAATGTCTCAGCTAGGATGTTTTGATTCTGCCAGGGACCGTAGCTGTGATCAGGTCGTCTTGACATTTGGGTTGTCGCTTGGGCACTTTGTTTTGGAGATATGTTTTTTTTTTTTTAAATATGGATGTGCGACCTCCCGGAACATAAGATGGGGCAGGGCCTCTAGGTGCAGAACTAGGGGACCATTAGACAACTTAGGCAGGCTGACTAAGGAGCAGCACATGACACAGTCAAATCGAAAAGGCCATGGATTACAGCAGCTGATGCATCGTCGTTTGTCGTCCATGGGAAAATGTGGAAACCGTAAAAGGTATTGCCGATCGCAGAGAGGGCAAAAGAGTAGAGTCAACGCAGAGAGGCATGTGTAAGTCATTTTGGGTGCTTCCTTTGCCACATACGCCAAGAACATGATTGGCCTTTCTGGTTCTCAATTGGCATACAAGATGCAATATTCATTACTGTTGTGGTGGACGCCAAACTCCTCTGATGTTCACCTTTTCAATGCGATGAGACTCGGTCCCCAAGGAATGTGCGCCAAGACTTTGAAGTCGTGATCGAGAGCGTTTCAGCAAAGTCTGGTGCTGAGGCTTCTTTGCCATGGGAAGTGTCTACATTTCGGTGGGGCACTCAGTGCGTTCGCTGCCATGCTGAAGAGCTGTGTAACAGGACGCTAACAGGCTCATTCACAGCATTTTCAATTCCCATGTGCACATTGTTACACGTATTTTTTGTGACTCCCACAGCAACATTTTGCTGAAAGACACGTCTCTTTTGATTTGTTTGTTCTCTCAACTGACTCTTGTGCGATTGCTGATTGGCTCAGGACGACTCAATGATCTTCATTCAGAATGCCAGATCCACCAAAAGCGGAGGTGGCTTCTCAACCAAAAAACGCCTGCGAGTGTCCAACAGCTCAGTTGTGAGCCTTGAGAACGTGACCGCCGGAAGTCATGGAGGAGCTTTCACTGCCCTTGGAGATGTTGAGATAGCTGGCCACTCGATGGTCAACATGTCCAACAGTCACGCTGAAACAGGACATGGTGGAGGTTTTGGCACTGAAAAGGGCTTGAAGGTGTCCAACGGCTCAAGACTCATCATTCGGAATGCGACTGCTGGAAATTCAGGAGGAGGATTCTATGCCAAGGGGAGGGCTTTGATCAGCAGGTCCACAGTCAGCATCCAAAATGCCACGGCCCGGCATGGTGGAGGTTTTATCACAATTGATGAGGTTGTCATCGATGAGATGTCAAGCGTGAGCATTTCCAGTTCAAGATCAGCAAATCAGGGCGGAGGCTTCCAAGCGGAGGGGCACTTGCAGGTGACCAACACCTCAGTTCTCACCCTTCAGAATGTGACCGCACAAAACTATGGAGGAGGTTTCCTTGCCATTGGAGAGGTTGAGATAGCTGGGAATTCGACAGTCAATATTTCCAACAGTTGAGCTGAAGCAGCAAATGGAGGAGGTTTTGACGCTGAAAAGGATCTGAAGCTGTTCAATGACTCACGACTCATTATTCGGAATGCGACAGCTGGAAAGTCTGGGGGATGTCTTTATATGTTAAAGGCAGAATATCGATCAGCAGTTCCACAGTTGGCATTCAAGATGCCACAGCCCGGCAGAGAGAGACTTTGTCTCTGTTTGATTGAAACATCATTGCATCTAGGCATTCACGGGGTAATGATTCTTGGATCCCCCTTGGAATTTCCCTTACAGAATGGAAGGGGTCGACCCCACTGGTTTATATAGGCATTTTGTAGTTACAAAAAGCTCCCTAACCAGGGCATTTTCTAATAGGGCACCCAAAAGGCAAAGTTGTAGATTTTCAAGTGTTCATTTTGTAAGAGTTTTGAGGTGCCAAGTCATTTCATAAGACCATCGAGTTTGTTTTTTTGAGGCTTTTTGTAAGCTCAAGATGCTGTTATTGAACATTAAAAAAACAAAAAATGACTCAGCAGGGTGTGCAATGACATTTTGTAAGGAGATGTTGGCAAGAGTAGAAGAACCATTTTATAAGAATATATGTTTTGAAGGCATTGATACAAAGTATTGTTCAAATTTTACCATATATCATACCTGGAGCTTCCAAATACTGGATTTTTTTTAACTCCAAACCCAAAAAAGATCGATTTTGGGGGTTGGTGTGGAAAAAAGAACACCAGAGTATTTTGCCGTTCCTGACACTTCGGACGTTCTGGAGTGGAAAAAAGCGTTCAAAAACCGTTCAAATAGCGTCAAAAAACCGTTCAAAACCGTTCGTAAGCGTTCTGGAGTTAAAAAAGGCGTTCTGGAGTGGAAATAACCGTTCAGGAGTTCTTTTTCTCTTGAATTTGGCAAAATTGATCGATTTTGGCTTTGGTGTGGAAATTTCCACGATCAAGAGGATCCAGGTATATGTTAGGTTCACGGCTATCTTTTGTTTTCATTTTGTACATGTTCTTTCGTGTTCAATTTTTTTGGTACTCATATGTACTCTCATGTGATAACACAAAAGCGAGACATCATGAGAGGAGTTCTGGTAGGCAATGAGGCCAAAGAAGCAAACATACAAAAATATAAAACAACATAAAAAGGTGGCAAAGAAAAGGAATCCTTACAAAAAGGCTGCTTGAAAATCAACGAGTCCGGGAAAACCAGAAACAGGGAACCAGAAGTTGTTTCCTTACAAAATGATGCCCGAAAACGCTATCTAAAATCACAACTTCTTATAAAAAGGTCATCGAGTAGGATACAACATTCATATCATGAAGAAAGTTGTCACCTTATAAAATGGTATAAGTTCTTGAAGTCGAATGTGGGTGCTAAAAACCTATGTTTTTTGTAAGGGCAAAAATTCCCAAAAACCAACTCTTGGAAGTCCCCCTGGTTTATGCTTACAAGAAGCCGGGTGCGACCCCTCCCCCTAACTCGAAGGGGTATATTCTTGGATTTGAGGCTTCCTCAACGAACCTGAGGTGCGAAATGCTCTGCACACGGTAGAAACATGCGCCGTGTGACTCCAATGCGCGCTGGAAAACATGTGTGGTGTCGGTCAAGATTTGTCTACCGTGCTCTAACCATAGGTAAATGATAGCCACAAGGCGACAAAAACGGTAATTTTGCCTCTGTATCTACGATTTCCCCTGCTTGTATTTGGGGTGTTGGTAGCAACCTTATCGTTGCATCATGGTTTTGCAGCAGTCTCCACTTCTAGTATTCGGATTTCATGCATAGTGCATGGTGAACGTCCAAAACAGCAGGCAAACATCTGATCATGTCACGAAATATGGTGACATGTATTGAACCGTCACCAAATGAGAAAAGATCTAAACCTGTCTCCTAGCTTTTCCTTTGCGATTTGATATGGTACTCGTAGGGATTGTGAAATGCTTCAGTGTGCGCAACGCATCACTGAGATGCATCAAAACATATCAGAACATGTTCAGTTTTTCAAGGTACTTGCCCTGGACCGTGCTGTGAGAAACTTATATATAAGTTCTTGCATATTCCGCTGCCTTCATCAAGAGAGTGAAAAGTGGACGACCAAGTCCTCTTCCGGCGTAGTTCCTGTGCTATTTGAACAGCACAACCGCAGTGAATTTACCATGGCACCTGCGCAGTCCGGGCCGTTGCCTCAGAGAAATCGATGTGGGATCTTTTGCAACTCGGAGGGGCAGCCGCTTCATACTGGCCGTGGTCGTTGCAGGTTATGCAGGGCGACCAGGGTCAATGGGCACCTGCCGACCCTTCTGGGGAAACTTGCCGCTAGAGATGGAGTGTTGTTGGTGCAGGGCATTTTTTCTGGGGATGGTGGAAGTAGTTAGGGGTACATGTTCTGGCCTTTCCCCAACACATCACAAGACAAATCAAGACACTCTTTGCAAAGAGGAATTGTTTTCTCGGCCGGATCAACTTTCCAATTCCCAAACGCAGTTTTTACTTCAATTTGATTCAATTTGTAGGTTTTTTGTCGCAGTTGCTTTCGTGATTGATGTGGGCGGTGGGTGTGTTGAATCATGCTGGGTCTTTGTGTTTGATTTTGAAAGTGGTCGACGCATTCTTTGTATGTTTTGGGGAGGACAAACCATCTAATTCCGAAACACCGAGGTTCTTAAAAACCTTTGACTGTGGCCGGGTATTGATTGACTTATGTCGCTGGGTGGGAGATACCTCTTTTTTTTGCATTTCTATTCACTTTGCAAAATCGCACATAAAATATCAGTTAACTAATGATCCCTGATGTTTTTATCTTGCGGATCGCAACGTCATCGCGGCAAGTTTTCCACGCTCAGGAATCCTGGAGTCAAATTCCCAGGCGTCGGGGGGGATGGTTCGGAGACCCATAAGGTGGATTTCCCTTGAAAGTCATACAGTCATACAAGATAGGGATGGTCATTCAGTGGATTCATTAGGATATACTGTATAATACTGTATATCAATTCTGCTTGAATCTCCACTATGGATGACCAATGATGATCAATGATGATCAATGATGCATGACCATACCCTCCTACACCATGTTTTGACCATGGTGCAAATGTCACCAACAACTTGGTAGGCCAGGACATAGCAAGAGGTCACATTCTATCGCATGCCACGACCAAATCCTGACGGTTGCCGGGAGGCCTTGCTTCTTCCAATTTCCCGGAGAAAGTCAGCGCAACCAAAGGCGGAACTGGCATGGCGGTTTGGTCGAGAACTGGCAGTAGGGCGAGCGAATGGCTGACCAGTGCCAATCGAGGGATGGAACTTGAACTGAAATGAATGCACAACTTGAAAATGAAAGAGACACCGAAACATATATACTGTAGATTGGCTGGCCTTACCAACTCAATGCCTGCAACGCTGATAGCTGAAATGGTTTCCGATCGTGGTAGGCCCATTGCGAGCTTCCGAGCGAAAGTACTTGGAAGTCCGAGTGGACAAAGTGAGAGTCCCAATGTGAGTGTGTCTGAAATTATGATATCCCAAATCCATGGGTTAATCATCTTTATTTCTTTATCAAAGGCACCATTTTGGGGGTATATTCCATTTTCAGACTGTTAGACCCATCTATGAAACTGTTCCAATCATTGCATTTTGTGTCGAAGCACCTCGCAGTTTCATCTGAGGCGAACGAGATCCTGGGCATGGCGGGGCTCCCCAAGGCTGAGGGCTGTCACTTGGAATCCATAAAGGCGATTGGATCTTGCAACGACCAGGACATGTATACGGGGCTGTTTTTGACCCCCTTTGTTTTTGCCTTTGCATTTCTATCATTTCTCCAGAATTCAACGGAGCTTGTTAGGAATGATTGAGTGCCGCAAACAGTGAAATGTTGCACCGTTTTGAAATGTTTGGACAAAGGTTTCAGCATGTGTATTACAGCAAATTCCAGCAAAATCACTGAATCCAGAGTGCAACATGCTGTCAATATCTGTCGATACCATTGAATGACTACCACAGTTGCTCTGGGAATTGAGGGTTCGTTGTTAGTCTATTTCGCTTTTTGCCCTCCATTGTTTGGGGATAATGCACAGATAACCAGCGGCAAACATGTTCCAACTGCTCCCAAGGACAACTTCCGGCTGCACCCTTTCTGCGTCAGAAGCTGAAGAGCTGCGCTTCTCAAATTGAAAGTGTTCTCTCTTATGGGGGTTTCTTTAAGTGGAACCCCAAGTCACCATGGGTTTCAATATGTTTCAATACTAAAATGGTCCATGACTTGGATGATTTGGGGGTACCCCCGTGACTTGATACATCTTGATACTATCCACTTGCAACCGTCGAGGTGAGTGCCTATTACCCAGGCCATGGCTGCCGTTGCTCAATGTTGCCCAGAGCGGAAACGGACCATGCGTTGCGGCCAGGAGAAGCCCAAGAGGTCATTGAAGCGAGGAAAACTTCCTTTGTTCCTGGGAAAAAGAGTGCACCTGGGTCGCGCCGTGAGGACAGGGCCGGCTCTGAAGTCTGTCATGAGTTGGTTGCATGTTGGAAGCTAGTTTTGGATATAGTTTTGGATATAGTCTTGGGTTTATGTCCGAGAATTCCTCTCGGGTGTGGATGGAAAATGGAGTCACCTATGACTTGCCATCTCCAAGTATTCTAAGCGATCATCCGAAGTGCAAACTTGGGCATTGGAACATTTGGGAACAATTAAGATATATATAAACCAATTCCAGACATTCGCGGCAAAATGTTCTCTTGCACTGGTTTCCAGATTCCTCTCCGGGGCTGAGCAGCCACCGTGCTGGCAGGATTGTTTCTTTTTCGAAACGATCCGGATTCCGTTCAACCCAAGGCCTCTAAGCGGGGTTTCCAAAAGCCGTTGTCCACAGGGAGGCGGGATACCCTGTTGGTTGTTCTGCCAGGCAGCAGCTGTTGCATGTGGACATCTTCGAAGTACAAGTGCCACTGCAGATGGAGTTTGAAGATGAGTGGGTTGGAAGGCCCTTTATGTTGGGCACTGTGCTGTGGGTAGCTGCCAGCAACAATGATGGGAGATGCCGATCAGTTTGATTTTCAATTGCCTTTTCATGCTCTGTTTGGCCAAGCTCACTTGTTGTGGTGTAATAGCAGGTCTCAGGCCGATTCAGACCCCCTTGGGCCAGTAAGCTTTTTGCTGGATTCGGTCCGGCTCAAAGAAACATGTGTGCAATTTCAAGGATGATGATCATGATCATGATGCTGCTGCTGCTGATGATGATGATGATGATGATAATGATGATGATGATGATGATGATGAAGACCCATGGAAGTGGTGGCCGCAGGGCGACCCTGCAGCTGGCCGATCCCAGAGTGGAAGAGCCAGCAGAATATGAACTGACCCGCGGCCCTTTTGAGTACGGGGGCACGTCAGCGCCTCACGGAACCAATTGCTTTGTGAATCTTTGTGTCAGCGTGAGACTGGGTTCATGTCGTACAGAGCAAGGTTCTGAAAGATCTCGTGTCCAGATCTTCCGTGTTCCCTTGTGTCCAAAACCATCAGGTGCCAGTCAGAGTGCAGAAACACTAGATTCTAGATAACAAAAGTGTTTCCATGGGTTCATTTTGGTCATTTTGGATCTTGGGTCGCTAAGGGTGACGGTGAGTGTCAAATTTCCGGATCCGGAGGCACGCTTTGCAGATAGTGAACAGTAGTCAGTATATGAGTAGTAGGTAAGGAATTGTCAATGGAAATCCTGCAGTGATTGAAACAACCAATGTAAATTGCATCCCCTTTTCCATGTGTGAAGACAAAAACAAGGCAGGGACTCAAGGATGCTCAGTTGGCCATGGCCAAAGTCGAAGCTCAGGTTGAAGCTCACCCACTACCCGACGTACGAGACTTCCCAAAGCCAGTCTCCCCACGTTACTCAGCTCGTTGATTTTTGTGCGAGTCACTGTTCAGTTTGAATCCTTTCGCAAGCTGAAGCACACAACATGCCGAAGATGAAGATTTGTTTAAGTTTTTGAAACATTTTGTATGTATTAGCATCTGTAGCTTGTGCGCAGCACCAGACAGGATGGATTTTTGGCACTTCCGGTTTTACGTAGACTTGTTGGAGACACCCTACTTTGATGCTCTCTTTGAGAACTTGCCATGTTTTTTTTGATCACGGGACATGTAGAGGAGGTGAATGGGGCATGCTACCCATGTCCCTGCATCGTCATGCACTCACTGCTTGCACTCAATTCGATTTCGATCTATCGACCATTCAATATATTATATATTGAATAATAATGAATAACATTGAATGCTAATGCGATAGATCCTGGTTGAACAGCACAGCGTCCTCTGTCGGAGCTATCACATGATCCTACAGTACATGTAGGCCTGAGTTTCATCATTCCCATTTCTCCGTTTGCGCCATTCAACATACTCTTGTTGATTAGTTATGGTATGTATTGATATCTTATAGTCATCATAGGAGTTACTACTTGGTTGATTATAGTTATTAGTTGTTATAAGTTGTTATAATAATAGTTGATTGTGAATGGCTCATTTACCCCCCCTGCCGTTGCCTTCTCAGGTGAATATGTCAACTCCAAAACGATGGGCACAGATGCAGGTCTCCTTGCAAAGTTTGGCCACATGATGCGGCAAGTTGTTGGACCGTTGGGCCGTTGGGCCGTTGGGCCGTTGGGGGACACAAGCTGAACAGACAGTGTTTCTGAGAGTTCGTTAGGAACATGATGTCCTGATTTTATAGGATTTAATAGCATGACCCTGGATGACTCTTTTTGGAAGTTCTTCTTTCTTCAATCTGCCCATGCTGCCGAAGGTGGGATCGACATGAGCCCATGCGATATACCGCGCAAAGGGTCCGGGTCGAGCTCAAATTCAACTGGCCAAGGTGAGAAACAGAGTGAGACAGAGCGACAGAACGTGATTTTATGATGTTTTGAAGACAGTGTGCTTGACTTGTGCCTTCATGCGATTCACGCAGGATAGTTTAAAAACTTGAGAGTTCTTGGACCCTTTGTTTTGTAGTTTCTATTCTATTCATGTACGAACAGACATCCCTGTGCAATAAGTGAACACTTCGCGCCTTCAGACGTCCTAAATCTAGACGTCCACGGCAGATCTCAAGATTCAACCCCCGCCTCTGCCATGCTTCTCCGGCAAGGCAAATCGCCGCAGCCCGTTTGGGTGCCGGAGATCAAGGGTCCTGGCGGCTCCGGTCCCTCGGCTCAGCTGCTGCGCAACTCGCCCAAGCTGTGTCCCTCCATGTTTCAAATGACGAGGCTTTGGCCTCGATCCGAAGATCGATAACATTTGGAAGTTCAACACAGGTTCAGTGGGTGGGTGAGAACTCATGATAACTCATGATAACTACAACATACTACAACTTAAAAAGCTTTGAAAGATTGAAATTGACGTGAGCCACAATGGGTGTTGTCCGGTTTTGTGCTTCCAGGTTGAGATGAGAGCTCGACATCCAAAGAGCACAGAATGCTCAACCATGATTCTTGTTGGTTTGGTAATCCCCTTCCGGGACCTCAAGATTCTCAAACTAAGCCAGATTTTGTAATTCTGGCTACGATGGTCCGATGGTATACCGGAAATCGTATTGAATCGCAAGTCAAGGTCCTGAAATCAATGCACCTGAAGCAGAGTTTTATTGAAAACAAAGGATACTAGCCATGGGTTTTTTGCAAGTGTGTTCCCAAACGCGAGGTTGCTTTTCATGTTATTTTAAAATCTGGCCAGGTCCTGCGAAAGGTGGGACAATGAGCCCCCTGCCCAGTTTCCCTCCACAGTGGTTCACGGCAAAATTGCCGCCGGGAACCCCTGCGCCTCGTCAGCTGCCGCCGTCGGCCTTCCAGCCTCCCCCAGTGCCACCCGGGCTGATGGCCCAGATTCCGGTGCTGGCGACGGTGCCGCCCGCGGTTGCCGCAATGGTCGTCGAGGCCCTCCGGGCACCGCCTCTCACCACGGCCACGATGCCGGCACCACCTGCGTCGGTGCTGCTTGCAGGGCCCTTGCCCTACTTGCCCTCAATTGCTCCTCCGTACTGTGGAGGCTATCCCTGGGGATTCATGGTCAGAGGTGAAGTGATCAGGTCCCTTTCGTACGTGCGTGTGAGCAGATAGGACTAATGCACAATAGCTTTGACAAGTGCTCGGTGATGTGGAGCATCATTGCACAAAGTTACCAGTAACCTTTGATTTGTGATAAGGGAGCTTTAGATAAAGAAGGATGGTAGCCGGAAGCCGTGTAGACATGGTGGCAAGTTGACATCCGTTGCCAGTGACAGGCGCTCCGAATCTGTCGGGATTTGTTGCCCCAACGGCGCGGAACCTGGTGCAGGTAGATTTTACCCTTGATGAGGCATTTTTGGTTTTCGGATTTATCAGTGTTTGGAACCAAAATTATCAAGACTGTTCGGATGTGTCCATGAAAGTTGAAGAAGAACACAGAGACAGACATGAATCATTTGGGTATGGATCAATATCTATTAATACCATTAATAAAGGGGGATGAACATCCATAAATCCCAGCTATTTTGATGTATTTTGATGTGAACTACAGGGGTACTATTGGTTTTGACACACTGCCACATGAATCATCTGTCTTTGTTGAAAGGATCCTATGAGTTGGCCATATCCATTCCCAGATTGACTCAACCTGAGGTGTTCCATGCTCCGGCACGTGGCAGAAACATGTGCTGTGTGGCCCACTGAGCAAGGTGGGAGAGAGCCTAAAGAGCGATGAGATTGATGAGATAGCGTCAAAACACGGTCACATACCTTGGCGACGGGTGGAGCAAGCAGGCTTGCAGGCTTGCAAATCAATAATAACACATAATAAATAAATTAAATAATTAAATAAATAAATAAATCAAAAAAACAAAAACAATAAATAAATAAATAGATAAATAAATAAATAAATACATGAATAAATAATAAATAATAAAAAAAATAACAATATAATATATATATATATATACACATATCAAACCCAGTCCTGAGCTCTTGAGAGAGGATTGAAATATATATATATATATAATCATATAATATACATAGATACACACATATATACATGTCTAGTTGACAGTTGACATCCTATACTTTTCAAGTTGTTGTGCCCCCTTTTCCTTGCACTTTTGAATAGTTTCTTTTCCAAATGGTATTGGTATTCTTGTCTTTCTTCGTATGTTACCATCTTTCATTTTTGGCATTGTGATATCTGTTTGTTTGTCATACTCCGCTCCTGCCAGGAATGTTACACCTGATGCCTTGTCTGTCATGAATTGTGGTGTCAGGAACGTTGACATCCACAGCACCGAAAGGCACTCAATGTGCGATTCCCGACGAAATGCTGGGCACTTGGTGCTCAGGGAGGGAAGGTGCCCTTACCATTCCTTGCCTAGAAAAAGTCACCATTTTCGATCCATATCAAGAAGATCATTGGTACCACTGCCGTATCAGGTTCCTGTGCATTGAGGGATTCAAAGCAAACACGCATGCATCTTGTAGGATTAAGTTTCTTTCTGCTTCCGCACGTGGAGTACATAAAAGGAATTCAGAAGAAGCATGGAGAGTGTGATGAACCTGAGGTGCTAAATGTCCCGCCCACGGTAGAAACATGTGCCGCACGTGGCCCCAGCGTGCTGCTGAAAAATATGCCGCACGTGGCCCAGGAAGTTTGGCGCTGATCCAAATTCGGGATGCGGTGATCCACAACATGTCACTGTTTGATGAATATCCGGAAGGACTTTGCACCAGCCCATGTTTTCTTGAAAATGCAGCAGGCACGTTTTGAGAATGCAAAGTCCTGTTTTTTTTAACTGATCTCAGCATGATTTATGAAGCCTTCCAGATTGAAACACGGACATTTTCATGACGTATGGTATAAACATGGATGGATGTGCTTGGAGTTGAGCCACCCCCATTGCCATGGTCAAAACTTATGTGGTTGGTGAATACCAACAAAGCCTATAGGTAGTTCATGCCACCAACAAATATGATTGAATCATACTTATAGTACTTATAGTATTAAACCATTCCAACGTTGGAGCTTCTGCACGTTTTGTTTTGTTGCGATTTGAATCGGCACTTGCGTCAAGCCAAAGGCTTTATGATGGTGCGAGCAGTGGTCACAAATCTTTACCCAGTGGCTGTTTGGGCCAAGGAAATGCATTCAGCAAATTTCTGAAAAAACAGTTGGCTCGAAAACAAACACACAGCACCTTGGCCAACAAATCATTAACATTTTTGCGCTGTTAACAACAAAGTCTGACTGATGCAGATCGATACAAAGGCATAGTCACTTCAGCATTGCGCAGAGCCCAGAACACCTCGAAAGCGGATCAATGACATCATGGTTCTGCCGTTCAGTTCATGGTCAGAGGCCTCAGTTCGTTCCAGCCGAGCTGGGCTCCCGATGGGTTCCACTTGTGGAAACGACCAACTACATGGATCATCATCGAAACCGAGGTAAAGACGGGCGGAGCCGGGCTGAGCCGCTCTGGCCGGCTCCGGTCTCGCCCTAAATGCGACAGAGATGAAGAAGCTCTGGCGACTTCCCAACGATGTCCCAACCGACAGCGATTGCAACTCGGATCGATGGTGATTAACCTGTGATTGTTTTTGTATGTTTTTGTGATAAAATCGGACTATAAACCATCATTATTTCCCATCATTTATGATGGTGATCGATGGTGATAGAGATATTTCCCATCATAAAATGGTGGTGATATGATGGCTAAATTTAGCGAAGAATGATGGGACACAATGATGGGGATATCTCCAACACAACTGAGGAGACCGTAGGGCCGTAGGGATAGCGGATCATAAATTCGGGTGATAAATATGGGTGGTCTTATCCAAGCCAATCACAGGGATATGCAAATGATATTAAATGATGCTAAGTCAGCTACTGATTACTGAGTATTACTGGCTATACAATGCAAGGAAGGCCTAGCTAATAGCCCATGGTGGGATGTCTCCAACCGGTACTTTTCATTGCACTTGCGGGGGAGATGGTAGGAGGATGTTTTTGGAAGCTGGGTGTGGTTCATTTTTGAGTGAAGGACCACCTTTTTCAGACCTGACACTGCTGAGGTGTGCTATGGCAGTGGCTGCCACAGCTACGATGTGGTCCAAGCCTTCAGATTCGACCGGGGCCAACTGAAATTGATGCGAGGTCGATCCAAGGTAGCTGAAGCATAAAACATGATAAAACACCTGCTTTTTTCCGCGCATGAAGAATAGCGCAAGAAAGCAATGGTAATCCAATGGTAGTTGTCAAGCGATTCAGGATAAGAGGTGTCCGGACAAGTCCAAGGCTAAAGTTGTCAAGCGATTGCATAAGTTTTTATTTGGACAACCGAGATGTTTGCACTGTCCAAAGGATCCTTGACTTGGCCCATCACCGACAGGAACAATGAATTCGCGAGCGGTGGGGAGGACAATCCAACTACGAAATTCCATGGTTCAGCCCTTGCGACAAGAGAAATTTCAGTCATCAAACCCAACTCATACGGCCCAGAAGGATGATTAGTGAATGTAAAGTGGACATGATTCTGGGGAGCTTTAGCGTACGCGTACGTTGGTGACCCAAGTGATTCCCATAGTCGGTCCCAGATGTTCACACAGAAGACACTGACCACCACCACATCTCCCATGGTTTATCCATGGTTTATCCATCATTTCCCCATCATTTACCAGCTCTTTTGAGCACCGAAGAGTTGCCATAAATTGGGGTGGTTTTGATGATGGTCGCGATCCAGGTCCATTTTGCTCTTCTCTACCTGGCGCGTGCTTACACAGGCACATTTTTTTCCATTTCTCGTTGAGAGTTGGTGCTTAAAACCCAAGTCATGAAAAGATTCTGGGAACATGTCAAGTATAAAATTCATTAAAATTCTATTGGAATCCCACTAGAATCCCATGACAGACTGAATAGGATGAGATGGAATCTCATAGAATTTTGGGATGGAGCGATTCTCTGGTGATTCTTGGGGATCCATATGATGCCAGGAGGGGCCAAAGCTGCCCGATTCGAGTATAGAAGCGCACTCCGGGGTGCGATGCCCAAGTGGGGTTTACTGGTCAGGTCAGTGGAGCCGTTTGGATACCGGACAGTTTGAATCGCTGAAGGATGGAATATGATGGCTACAGACATCAGCGATGTTCACTGGGAAGCTCCAAGTTCAATAAGTTCACCAGGTGATCAGCTGGAAATCCATGGAGCAAGGGAGGTTTTGCTGGGAGAATCATCCAGCTGATTTTCCAGGTCATAGGTAGCCTGCAAAGCAGAGTCATGACCTTGGAGAACCAGCTGGCGGAAGCCAAAGAGGTGCTTTGGGGGCTGTTTTAACGGTTAAAGGTATGGATCAATCAGAGGTTCTTCTAATGTCCAACTTCTAAAAGCAAAACAAACATCCAACTTCTAACTTTTGACACGTACTATATTACTGTATAACTGCTTGGTTAACAATCGATGCATCTTTTAGTGGTGATATCATATCTTTATTTAATGTTATCAGGTTCACTCGTGCCTTTGAAACAGCGTGAAACACCGATAGTGCTGGTGACATCAACACCGATAGTGCTTGGTGACATCATAGCTCTCATAGCTCTTTGAAGCTTGATAAGGATAAGTGAAGTTTGTATGGCACTGTTAGAGAACTGTTGATAAATCATGAAACTTACACTCTGGTAATCTGTTGCAGTTTGCCATTTAACATGGCCATATAATTGAAGCTTACCCATAAATAATGGGGAGTTGGCATAGCAAACTGTCAAATTACCAGAGGGTATCCCACTTTTTTTTCCTCTCTCTCTCTATATATAAATTCTTGAAAGTAAAAAAAAAGTCTGGCACGTCTGGTCCAGTCACGAGCCAGGTCCTAGCGCAAAAGGACCGACAGCTGGTGGGCGGCTGAGGGATTCGACTGCTTTGAAGGGACGCAGATTAATTATTTCTTGGGGGAAGAGAAGTGAATTAACACGCTTTTTGTCATCATTTTGTTTGCTTATGTTTAAGACAACTTTTTCCTTTTATTTTTTTTCCTGAGAATATGTTTGTGGGTTTTTGAGACGCCCCCTTAAACCGGCGGAGAAAACTCTTTTCCGCCATTATTTTGCAGGCCATAACATATCAATAACACAAGCTATCCTCCCCTGTTTCAAAATTTAGGACAAGCCTCAATTCTTTTCAACCTCTGAATTTTCATTGCGGAGTTTCTGGGCGCAGACCCTGGGACGGACGAAAATCAAGGCCGCCCTGCAACGAGATCCAAAGCAATCTGGTGAGTGGCGACCCTCAGAAGCGGGATGGTCGAGAATTGAATCAAAATTGGTGGGTGAGTCTGAAATTTGAGTCGTCAGTAACCAAGAATTCCCCCATTTGCATTGTCGTTGGCTGAGATTTGTGCCTCAGACCCAAGCGTGTGGGTCTTAGTGTCCAGTTTCCATTGTGGTGGAATATTTAGACACGAGACTAGTTAGATGTTGGACATCAAGCTCAGGTAGAAAGGGCCATAGGATTGACATTGGGACTATACATTCGCTGATTATATCCAACCTAGAAGCCATAGATATCAGTCTCCATCCAAGTTTGGGAATGAAGCAACACCAGGCACCCGTGAAAACATACAAAACATCAACAGATAGGTCATACCAATCAGATTGATCATGTGCAACAAACAATACCCATGATCCTAGTATAATTCTACCATCACCATACGCCATGAATAATGCAGATGACGACTCACCAATGGATTTAGAGGTACCATATTTTCAGAGAAACCCATACAAGATACCCTCTGGTAAACGGGCTAACATAACGAACTGGAAAATCACCATGCTATCAATGGGTAAATCCACTATAACTATGGAAAATCACAATTTTCAATGGGTAAATCCACTATAACTATGGAAAATCACCATTTTCAATGGGTAAATCCACTATAACTATGGAAAATCACCATGCTATCAATGGGTAAATCCACTATTTCGACTGGGCCATTTTCAATAGCTATTTTGACACAACCAGAGGGTAACCATCAATACCCTTGGCTCCAAGGCCCAGGCTGCGTGGTGCCACCCTTCCAGCCGTTCCGGCCGTTCCGGCCGTTCCGGCCGTTCCGGCCGTTGCGCCGCTGGAAAGTGTGGCCGTGGTGCCAAGCGTGCCGGCGCCGGTGGCGGCGCAGCAAGCGGAAGGGCCCAAAGGGTGCGAGTTTCAGGAAGACATGGACTACACCTTCGTTGGAGGCCAGGAAGTCATCCATTTTTGTTGGGGCGGAGGAACTGATGATGATGATGATGGTGATGATGATGATGATGATGATATCGAGTTGGGAAAAATGAAGATAAATTTCGACTGGGACTGCCGATTTGACACTGATCAGCTGAAAGGGGAAATGAGAAAAAACAAATGGGTCTGCCTAAAAGAGGGGATACTCCAAAATGTTAGTTTTCATAGGGACATGATGATGAAGCATCATGTACCATTGTACCATGTTGATGACCGTATCAAATCCCTGGCTTGATGAAGGCAGAGGCAAAGAGGAATTGGTGAAGGCCAAGTCCAGCCGAGTCCGGCTCCCATCTGTGCTCTCAATGGAAGTCCTTGCGAAAATGGTTTGAAAACATACCCTCTGGTTATGACTAACATAGCGAACTGGGAAATGGCCCATTTATAGATGGTTTACCTATTAAAAATGGTGATTTTCCATCGCTATGTTAAATAACCAGATAGTAAGACAACTATAACTAGACATTAGAAACTAGAAATGTGTTTATGGATGTTTATGGTAGAAAGCCAATGGGTCCACTATGAGATTTTCCTGTAGTAATTTTCACAGAATTTCCTGTGGATATTTTCCAACTCTTCCCTTGGATCACTCAAGATCTTTGGGACCGAGGAAGAGTGCTGCCAGCTTTGTCTTCGTCGGAACCAAGCGGCTCCAGCCGATCCATGCACGTCTTTGGGCGGGCCGCGGCTAGGTGGTTTCCAACCACGCTTGGCTTTCATGATGGTTAATTTATGTTAAACATATGTTGATATCCAGGAATAGCCAACAAACATGGTGGTATTATTGAGATGTAGTGGACATCTAATGGCACAATGGCATATTGGTGGAATATTGATTAAAATATCATCTGGCAATCAAACATGGCTGCGTTTAAGGCTGTAAAAAGCATTGAACTGTAACTGGGGGATTTTCCAGCAAGGGAACTGATTACCAAGGCTGCAGTGACTTGATTTTTCCAGCAACATTGGATCGTAATTGATGATGGGTTTCAACCCGATGTTTTTCCAACAACTCCCATCTTTTTGGGTATTGGTAGCCGCCTGGTACCCCACAAAAAAAGTGGTTTGGTAAAACTCTCTACAAGGTGGGGCCCCCCAGTTATAAGTTGGTTTATAAACCCCATTAACTATAGTTATAAGTACCATAAACCATAGTTATTGGAGTTATAAACCAACTTAGCTATCTTGGGGGCACCACCTTGTAGTGACAGAGGATGTCCCGCATGCCGCGACGCCAGGGAAGCTGCACCGTGTCCGTGCTGAGCTCATCCTTCGACACGCCTCCTTTGGCGTGCTGGATCAAGGTGGTGCAAAAAAGATAGGCAAAACAACCATGGCTATATGAGGCTATTGAGATTAACCATGGTTGTTTAGCCAAATTAGGCTACTGATACTACCATCTTCCAAATATAGCCATGTATATAGACATGGTATTTGGAAGATGCAGACTATGGTAGGCTAATTGATATTAACATTAATGTCGATCGACATAGTCATAGTTGTTTTTGAAAAAAATGTATAAATTTCTCGTGAATCGGCCAATTAATTTGACACTGCATTTGTTGTTGCTCCTGGTTTCAGGTGTTTACTATTTACTCATCCATCTCATCCTTTTTTTTGGGCTGTGACTTGTTACTGCTGTTTTTCGTTGGGCCTTTTTAAAGGTCGACGTTTTGGTACGTCAGGCAGCCCCGCAGATGGGGGTGCGCATCATTGGGGTGATGAAACCACTGCCGAAGGGGGGAGCTGGATGCTCGGATCCGCTGCGAATATCTTACAGGGAAACCACGGGGCTTTCCATGTGAATCATATTGGAGGGTACCCTCTGGTAAACGTTTACATAACTATGGAAAATCACCATTTTTCATGGGAAAATCCACTATAAATGGCCATTTTCAATAGCTATGTTCAATTACCAGAGGGTACCAAAAGGATCCATGTCTTGGAACATCTGGAAATTTTGAAATACCAAAAAGGAATGGATACTAAAAAGATACTAAATGTATACTAAATGGATACTTAAGTGCCCCAAATGGATACTTTTCGATGAAACTCCGAAGCTTGGGGCACTTCACATCGACCAAGTTCGCCATTTTCCGCACCGCGTTGCGGCGTTTTTTGCGTCGTCGACCTAGGTGGTCTCGTGCCTTCCAGAGGGTCATGGCGATTTACCGACACCTCCACCCAGTGTTCCTCCAGCTCCTTGGTGTTTTGTTGGATGTTTTTATCTGGTTATTCTGGTTGGTGGTTTGGAACATGAATTTTATTTTCCGTTTCATATAAGGGATAATCCTTCCCATTGACGAACTCATATTTATCAGAGGGGTTGAAACCACCAACCAGTTATGATTTTTCATACGGGTAAAACAATGCAATTTTTACCACCCATGACTGGGAATGATAACCATACCACCTATAGAAATCGTGATGACTGGGGGATTGGTTATTATTGTTTTACCCACATTAGTGTTGGAACCATCTACCCTACTGAAGTTGATACATGCTGCTTTGGACAGTTCTTGATTGCTCATGTTTGCACCGGCAGAGACGCGCATCATTTTTATACGCACCATAATTTTTCTATGGCTCTTGTTTTTATATATTTTCGGTGTCTCGATTTTTCAATCTAAAGTATACCATCTGGTTATTTAACATAGCCATGGAAAATCACCATTTCTAATAGGTAAACCATCTATAAATGGGCCATTTTCCATGGCTATGTTAGTCATAACCAGAGGGTAACTCGAATCAAAACTTGCTGTACTTCCGGCCTTGATTCGGAGCTGAGTCCGGTGCTATCGTTGAGCATGAGAAAAGTCCGAGACTTGGAACGGAACATCGTGTGTGGGCTCCATGATTTGCAAGTCATGGTGCTTTAAGGTACAACTTATTCACATGCATACGTAAGGATTTTACTATTAAGTTCTATAGTACTTTGACTTTGAGTTTGCAGGACGTATGACATGAGTGTTTGCTTCACAAAAATGATGGGTTCTTAAGATTCCCTCAGTCTCCAAGCTGACCAGGTCTCTTATCCTTACAGCAGCTACCAGTGATGGATCTCAGATCTTGTTTTGCAACGTGTGGCAGGGACACAAATGATACTAGGGTCAAGTGTAATACACTTAATACTTAATAGCTTATAATATGTCATAATCTCATGATATAACATATCCATTGATATACCCATTGAGAAATACTGCACTATATTCCAGTAGTCATTCCAGTAGTCATTCGAGTCAACGACGAGGCGGGCAGTGCGCAGAGTGCCCGGGTGAATGCCATCCGCGACTCGATCCGACACGCCTGGGCTCACTACAAGCACTTTGCCTGGGGAATGGATGAGCTGCTTCCCATCTCCGGAAGGTTCGGTAAAGAGTCGGGAGAGCGTTGACAGAACCCGGCTTTTCATTGCGGCTTGGTTTTCTTTTGGTCTTGGGATGGCCAGTCTCATAGAAATTGGGAACTATACCGTTTTTTTCCTTCATTTTTCTTCTATTTTGATAGTTAACATATGTTAACATCATCTATATTCTAGCATGGGTTCCTTGAATTTGGAACTATGTTTTTTTTTTAGTAGTTGATAGTTAACATCTATATTCTAACATATCTGGTTGGTGGTTTGGAACATTTTTTATTTTTCCATATATTGGGAATGTCATCATCCCAACTGACGATTCGTCATATTTTTCAGAGGGGTAGGGCTCGACCATCAACCAGACAAAGTTTTCAATTGATGGTTAACATCAATATAGATTCGGGACATAGTGTTTATAGTTAACATCTATATATTCAGAATATATAGATGTTAATTATCAAAACTATGTCCCATCTATCTATCTCTATATATATATATATTCTAACATCTTCTAGGCATCTTCCATGTCTATTTCTACCTTGACCCCACCAGGGGTCGCAATCGGGGCTTCCACTTGGCCACCACCATGGTGGACTCCTTGGATACGCCCAGCTCCCGGATGGGAATCCATTGGGAATCCATGGTCCTTAAATTTGCCAAATATCAGGCTATATGATATATATATATATTTATATGTTAAGGGTCATATTGATATGGGAATCCATTGGGAATCCATAGTTCATAAATACATGGTGGTGAAATATGTTGGGACATGATGGTATTTATATATATATATATTTAATCATGTACTATGATAATGTACTATGACAATGGACTGTGATTATTAATAAATAGTGGGAGAACTAATGGACTATGATAATGGTGGAAATGTTGGGAAATGGTGGTGAATAATGGTTTATACTGGTTCATAATGGTATTATCATAGGACATGAATCATTATAAAGATTTATAAAGGATTATAAACCATTACAAACCAATAGTTATTGTGAAGCTTTATAATAGTGGTATTATAACCACTATAGTTGGGAAATGATGGTTTAAAACGGTTTATAAACCAAAAATCTTGGGTAAATAGGGATATTTCACCAAGAATTTTTTTGGGCGTGTCCGAAAATGAATTTATCCCCCTAAACTGTCACCATCTTCATGTTGGGACAATTTTCCAAACCATCAAACTATATGGGGTAGCCTCTATTTTCAGACAAAGTCCGCAAAAAATGGACCCTAAAACTCCGTTGTTTCAACTTTTCGTTGTTTGAGCAGGTGGAGCTTCACCATTCTTGGACCATGCCTCCATTTCATAGTAAACCCAGGCTCTGGCTGGCTGGGCTTCGAGAGGAGTTCAACGAAGCCAAGGACTGGTTGGCGCGGATCCCAGCTATGCTCCTAGAGCCCGGTGCCATGGATTCAACATGTTTGCGTCCATTGATTCGACATCAAGCAGACATAGGATGTCGCTTTTTGGATGCTGAATCTGAACTCTCGGGGTAGGACAGGACTATAGGAAACTAATGGAAACTATAGTGCTGTATTTTGTGGTCCAACCTGGACGTTTGCACAAAGAATCCATAGGAAGGCCATCCACAGTCGCGGATGTCCCTCTTGGAAACCTTGCCATTCCGTCATTCCCTTTGAGCCCAATCAATACATCTCAATCACACGGGCATTACATGCAGAATTGCGGATTGATATCAATTACCATGAGTTATATTAATTAACAGCTGGCATCATTGTAAATCCCCAGTTAATAAACCAATCATTATTGCAGTAATATACCCTCTGGTAATTTAACATAGCTATTGAAAATGGCCATAAAAATAGTTGATTTTCCCATTAAAAATGGTGATTTCCAATAGCTATTTTAACGTTTACCAGAGGGTATCACTATCAATCCACCATTCATCAAAGAATTACCCAAATATGGGCGAACTTGGCAGATGACCAGCTGTGAGGCCGGCAACCTCCCCCAGAAGATTTCTTCCGTGAGCTCGGATGCCCAGAAAAAAAAACATAAATTCCCCAACGAAACAACAGTGGAATTTCTTCAGAGTTTCTAGAGATTTCTTTGGGATGTGGGATCACCTTTAAAGGTTGCAGCTGGAACTCCATTTCAAGGAATTTTGAGCGTGAAGATTGTAAGCACCATCAAGGAGAAGCACTGTTTGGTAAGAGTGAGGAATCCAACCTCAAAAACCATCAATTTTGCGAGCAAATTGACTCAACTTCTACTGTAAACTCTGAAATTCACCATCGTTTGCAGGCAATCCCGTCTCCGTCTTCGAGACCAATATCCGGGTGCTGGGAGGCTTGCTGTCTGCCTATGACTTGTCGAAGGACTGGGCATGCTGCTCATTCCACGACGGGACCCAGCCAGACCGAGGATGGGTACAAGAGTCTTCATGAGTTTGGGGTATCACGGTCTAAAAATGGGGCACCCCTAGGCCATTGTGAAACTCATCTTAATAGGTTAGCCAGTGACAAATCAGAGGAGTTATGGGTACCTTAATTTCAGAAAAGACCATTTGGTGAATTTGGGCCTGTGGGCAATGTTGATTTTTGAGACAACCGAAACAACACAGTTGAGACTTGGAGAATCCAACCGAAAAACCTGACATTTTGTTTCCGCTCAGCTCTGCATGGAAGTCTGAAGCCAGCTGAGTTTCCGTTGGCAATCCAGGAGCAAACGTTTTTAACCCTGGCCGAACAGCTGGGTGGCTCCCTCAGTGCATCTGCTGAGGCTCCACTAACTTGGAATCGGTCAACCACCGAGGAAGACGCATCTTGCTGACGGTCAACCAACGAGGAGCACCGCAGGGTCAGAATGCACAGCCTGGGCTGTTGGTTTTGGGGGGCTTTGGAGGCTTGAAGTGCCCAAAAAAAGGATTTTCGCATCGGGTCAAATGGGAGTGTAGAGCTCAAACGTTTATATGATTTATATGGGAAAGCCCCCCGAAAAGATAGAAATGTGAGTCATCACTATCTGGTTGGTAGTTTGGAACATTAATTTTATGACTTTCCATATATTGGGAATGTCATCATCCCAACTGACGATTCGTCATATTTTTCAGAGGGGTAGGTTGACCACCAACCAGTTGCAGGAGTTACGCCCTACACTTTTGGCGGCGGAAGGGGAGGTGTCACTGAACCATGGGGGCTGATCTTCAAAAATGCTGGAAATTGGGGAGGGAAGTTATGATTTTAATGATAGTTGATAATTTTATGCATTTTTAATGACAGTTTTACTTGACAAGGGTCAAAGATAGTTGATGAATTTGTTTGGCTTAACCTTTTCTGAATCAACATGGCATAGCAGAAGCGAGTTTGGAACTGCAAAGCTCCTGCACAGATTTGCCCCATGTCCGTGCTTGGACAAGCATTCCACTTGCCTGATCCAATCATTTGATATGACATGAGTACAACCTGGTTTGTCAGTCTCTGGGCTGGGGTCCCACGACCAACCATGGTTTTAACCATCTGATTTTACCACTCATCGTAGGTTAGATGAACATCCACTGTAGCAGCAGCTTGAGAGAAATGGGGCTATCCCAAATGGCTGATATATCACCATTTGACGGCTCAAATAATGGGCAAATTCGGTGTCTTAATCCGTTGGAATTGGGTGAATCATATTTTCAGACAAACCAAACTGTCAAAATTCTTAGTATGTTGTATTTCATTATATTTTCATGATGCTTTCCCCATTTCTTGTTGGTTTTCACAGATCATGTCATGTCATGATAGGCAGTGGCTGTCCAAGCCTGGCTGAATCTGGGACGCTCCAGTCACTTGGACATATGGGTGCTATGTGCGTGTGTCTTAAAATGAGTTTTTTTTGGCTATATCCAGATTCAATGGTAATATATCCACCATTTAACCATTTATATAGTATTTTTTTGGTTAGAAGATGATACATATTTAATGGTGATTTATGGGATTTCACTGGAGGTTTCCTAAGTCATGGGGGTACACATCATCCAAGTCATGGATGACCATTTTAGTATTGAAAGTCATGGTTTTGGGGATCCCTCCTGTCAAGAAACCACCACGTGTATATATGGTCACCCCCCTACTGCACAACTATATTTTGGGCTATATTTTGACGAATCAGCTACAGTTTATAGCAGTACTATAAACTTCAGTCTGACACTGTATGTTATGGTAAACATTTTCGGCAATCAGTTATACAGAACTATCTATCCAGTCATAGAAATTCTGATTGGTGGTGCTTTTGGGCATAGTTTTGCAGCAGAATTGGACCGATTTGCAGCTTGATTGACACGTATTTTTGGGGTCAACTTTGACCCATTTTGACAGCTTCAGTACAGTACCAGCTGGAGAGCTGATTCTTAACGGACTTCATGTCTTTTCAGAGAAAGCTTGCAGGAAAATCAGCAACGGCCAATGTATCAATGTGTGCCCATCCCTCCGAAAATGTCAACGAGGCTCGAAATGCGATACCTTTCGCGGGTGACTGGAGATGAAGTTTTTGCTGCAAAGACCATGCGGTTTTATGCAGGGAGGCCAAGCCTGTTACATCCTTGGAAGTTGTGGAGTCCTGTGGAGATTGAGGTTTGTGATGGAGTTATTTGGTGACGTGCTGAACTTTTGTTTGGTTGCTGGTTGCTTCATGTTTCGTTGAAGGTTTCTGAACATCTCATGGAAAGGTATCAGTGGAAATCGGGATGCTGCCGGATGGGGTTGACACTGACCCAAATCCGCTCATCCAGTCCCTATGGTTGGAGGGCTCTATACCTTTTATACCCAAGAGATACCTATGAAGCTAAACTCAACAACTGGACTGTTCAACCCCTGGGTGTGGCATGGTGTGGCCCTCCTCAGCATATCCAACCACAATCAACGTTGGGTTTACCCCCAGAATCCAGTGGTTGATCATCTTTTTCCGTTTCCACAAACTGCCAGTTGGTTTGTGGGGTTGGGGATACCACATTTTCAGACACACCAAGTGGATGATTGGCTATGTCCGACTATGTCCCCATGAAAAAACCCATGATATCCACACTCTTCTTGTGGGTTATACCGGTTATACCATTTCTACTTCCATTTTTCCATTGTCCAATCCCATAATTCGTCATGTCTCTATGCCTATGCGGTCTCAGGAGACAGTCCAGGCACAGAAAAACCTCGAGGGGTGCGGCGTCCCAGGTGCTGAGGGGTTTCTGGATCAGCTCTGCCGCAGCGAGTCCTTTGATTCGCTTCTGAGATTGTGGCCGAATTGCTGGGAGAGAGGCAAGGGCAAGATCACCCTTGGCTGGGGCTGCCCAGTGCGTTTCAGAGATCCGGAAAAGTGTTCAGTTTAAGTGGTGATCCCAATAGAATGAGTGGGATCCAAGAATGGATGTATATATATATATATGGGTCATTCTACTGTAACAATAACAGAAATAATAAATTGATGATCACAACGATAATAACAACACTACTTTGATGATACTGATAATTACAATAGTGATAACTATGATTTGGAAAAACAGCAATAATAATAGTAACAATAATAATAGTGATGATGGTGATGGTGATGATGGTGATGGTGATGATGATGATGATGATGATGATGATGATGATAGTAACACTGATAACTGATAATGATAAAAGCAACCAAAACCTTTGAGATCCCAGGAGCAGATGGTGACTCCTTCTACGAATACTTGCTGAAGGCCATGGCGATGGGAAACCAGGGAACAATGCAACCTATCAACCAACAACAACCAACTAGTAGAATGAAATGGGAACACGGAATACTCTTAATGGCTCAAGTGTATGACATGATATTTGGTATTATATATCCATTTACATCATTTATATCGTTTATCAACCAACTATATCACGGATCATGATACCCCATGAAATACCATGATCTAGTTGGTTAATTATATCCACCATTGGGATTATATACCATATATTACCATGATATAATCCCCATATAACTGATATGATCTAAATGGAGGATATCCATTTCAGAAATCCCATGGAAATCTCTCCAGGTTTGGCTTCAGGGTGGTGCTCGTGAAGACGAGGGATTTCTGAAAGGCCGGGCGATTGGTGCCAAGGGCGGTTCGTTTTGTGGCGATGGCCAACATCTCATGGAGTTAAAAAGATCTCTTTAACATCCGATTTCGATGGTGAAAAACCATGTTGCTTGGAATGGATTTTGGGTTTTAACCATGTTTCTGGGTAAATCCATATCTTGGAATCCATGTTTCGTGGAAATCTTCTTGTTTTTTTTTCAATCGTTCTTGTCGAACTTGAACCTTCCAATCTTCGTTTGAACATGTTTTGACATGGCACTTCAAAAACAGGCAACCCTTCCACAACTCAGATGCGGAGCAACGTCAGGGTTGCACCGAACCTGTTTAAGTGAGTGCCAGCCATCAGTTTTCATACGGGAAGTCCAACCGAGGGTCATGGCTTGGTTCGGACATTTCTGCCATCAGACATGTACAACAACGCCGTGAAAGCCATGCAGAAGCACATGGTGAAGAAGGGACCTGCAGACAGCTCAGAGTTCCATGGTTCCATGGCCTCCCCGAATCGAGTTTCATGGAGAAGTCTCACTAAGGCAGCTTGCTGTGCAATAAGAATCAAACACTTTTTGAACACAAACACACCTGGCCATCATCCAGCCTCACTTTTCTGAATCTTTTGACCCATTTCTGAATCCGGACATCTCAGTTCTGTGCCCTTTCCATGGCGTTTTCGTTTCAGGATGGGTTGAGCTACATGGGCACCTTGAGCTGGGATTCCGCTTCTGGCTCTGTCGCCTACACACCGGAGATCCGGGGGGCGGTCATCCCGGATGGCGTTCTTTTGGGTCATGGAGAAGCAACCTACCATGCCAAGGAAGCATAATCCCGGATTATGGTGTAGTATCAGACTTCATTGCCACGGCCATTTTTTCTGCATGGTGAATAGGCCAGAATCGGATGATTTCTTCCATGCACAGGCCGCAGCTTCTTAGAAGTGGAATGAATCATTTGCCAAACATAAACCGTCCAATTTCTAGGACCAACAGCTGTGACCCATACCAGTACAATAGATCGCTTGAAGTTCCGCAAAACCTCGAATTGCTTGGTGAAGCTGAATTCCCAGCTGGTACACCCCGAGGACGAGAATTTTCCTCATGGCATCTGGGAGGTGTTCGATTCAATCTCCCACTCAGGGTGAAATTGCCCACTTCGCCCCCAAGATAGCTAAGTTGAAATATAAGTGGCTTAACTAATAACCATAGTATACGATAGTATTCATGGATATTCATGGGCTTTAGAAACCAACCAACTAAAAAAATGGGGGGGGCACCAGGCACCAGCTCTCAGCCCCATCTTTCTCCATCGAAAAAACGCCGTCAGCAGGAGATGGAGCATCTCATGTGTTTCGTGCCTGGATGGTTGGCCTTAGGCGCCCAGTACAGCGATCAGAGGCGGGACGATCGACATGGGGTTCTTTCTTTGAAGAATTGGAAACTATGGAACATCTATGGAAAGACTATGGCAAAATCTATGGAAAAGATGGAAAAATCTATGGAAGAGATGGGAAATCTACGGAACATATGGAACATCTATGGAAAACGGGGGACAGAAACCATGGAACCCCCCCAAATCGCATGGTTTATGATCACTTGTCCAATGAACAATTGCCATTTTACAGTTATACCATGTTATACCGTTGTACCCCATTCTCAGATGCAGCCATACGGCATTTCTTTTTTACAGTCAAAGTACTGGGGAGACATTACTATGATACTTTGGGTTATGTTCCCACGCACATAGTGGCAGAATCAGAAACTGAAATTTTAGTTTGACTATCTATTGACTAACCAACCTTCACTCTCCACTGTTATATAACGGCTTGGGGCATATCCCAAGGTATAAGTCAAGCTATTGGAATACCTTTTTTTGGACGCACAAAAATTGGTCATTTCTAGTGTTAAAGCGTCCATTTCGGTCTTTGATAATTTCGCAACATCCCAATTGCAGTGTGGATGGTGATTTCAAGGGTTGAACTTGATTCTTTAAGCAGGGAATGCCAATGATTGATGCGGGATAAAGATCAAGTGAGATTTATGATTATGGGACACTTGGAGCGTCAAAGTCACGACTCACCATCGATAATGCATGGATTTGTTGCACATATATACCTGTCAGTACCATTATTTTTTGTGAATGGTTGAGAAACTCATAGTAACTAATCACCGCAAGGTAATGTCCGGGAAAGTGTCGAAGTGAACATTCTTGGTTGCACCCCGTTGATCCTAAAAACTCTGGTTTCCTGTAGAGTTGCTATGTTTTACCTCAAGCCAACCGTTTGGGAACAAGCTGTGCGGATGTCAGGTCTGAAGTCATGGAACTCGCGGACGCTCTGGTGCCTTGTCTGCATGGCTTGTTTCAAGCACAGAAACCTGGATCCACCTGACCAAACATATTTCTCACACTGAAGAATGGCTACGGCTCAAAATTCATGGCCTCCCAAAGTTGCTGGCTCAATGCGAAATATATCTAACGATGCCCCGTTTTTAGTAGGTCCAAAAGGGCAACCCTTTCTTGGCACCAGTCCCCACAATCCTATAGTTTGCTCATCATTTTCTCTATGCAATTTGCCACAAATTGGAGCTAAATCATGGAGAATCCCATGACATGTCGCCATTTCGAAACCACATTCACAGTGATTAACCCCAGGCCTACACTTGCTGGCAGATGTATGAGAGGCAACCCACAGGCGAAACTGAAAAACCCTGACGGTGCCTGATGGATGGTTTTGGAAGGGAGCAGGTGGACATCTCAATACATCCACAGGCGACTTGAAGGGTCTTCAGCCTATGAACACAGAATAAAACATGGTGGAACATCATGTCCCCAGGGTGGATTTGGAATGGATTCCATGGCGCCAGTGGGGCATCAGGGCCCTGTGGGGCATCAGCACTTCTCACTTCACCCTGGTCCTGGACACTTCCCCACGATTTTCCAGCTATTTGTCCATGAGTTTCCCATTGCCTATCATTTTCCATCAACGGACACGGACAACGACTATAAAACAAGCCATTCATAGGATTTGATAGGAATCTATAGATGATTTTGGTTTATATATATATATATTATATAGAACTTATATAGACATGTTTTTCCAACATTTTCCAACCAGGAACCACCCAAAAACGTCCCCCCACCAGGCATTTCCCCCAGAACACCAGGCATCTCGCCGGAACGGGTCAAGAGCCACGCCATGGATCTCAGCAAGACCAACACCCGCGAGTGCCACGCCATGACGAGCCCGGGGGATGACTCGATGACTCGACGTTGATATGTCAGATATGTTCACCGGAAAGTTATGTCGGATGTAAATTAACGAAACAGGGTAGTTGAAAAACCACAAGCTATTGGTAGACATTGGGAGTTTTTTGGATTAATTTGTATTTTTCTTTTTTAATGGAGATGGGGAATATGACCAGTTAAAGTGGAACGATTTGATCTTGATGCAAGCAAGACAGGGGTATAAATCCAAGCCAGTATGGGACTTTTAACTTGTAACAAACAATATGATATGGATTTGTCAATAGTGGGCCAATGCAGAACATTATGTTCACGCATGAGAATTCTGGGGTGCCATGTGTTCATCATTTAGTACTAGAAACCCTCTTATAAGGTCAAAATGAAGGCTGGGAAAGTCTATGTATATGGATATATGTTATGATGTATGATATACGTATGATATTAGCATATATATATATATATATACATACATACATACATACATACATACAAACAAAAAACAAACATACAAACATACACAATGATACACAATGATACACAATGATACACAATGATACACAATGATACACAATGATACACAATGATACACAATGATACACAATGATACACAATGATACACAATGATACACAATGATACACAATGATACATAGATATAGTACTAGACGGGATAAATCTATGAACGCCCGTTTCAGGTACATTCTGCGACCAGAGGCTTTGGAAGGTCGCTGTCAAAACATTTTGCCAAGGTGGTGCCACCAATCCTTAGCTAAGTTGGTAAACAAAACTAGACCAAGTGGTGGGTTTGTGGTGACTATATTAACAACAACAAACTATGGTTATAAGTCACCAGAAACTTTGGGTTTACGGTTTACGGTGACTGTAACCATGGTTGGGGGGATGGCATCAACCAACAAACCCAAGACCAGCTGCAAGGTCATTGGCTACACGTTGGGAAAGAGTTGGGAAGGACCCCCAAAGGCAATCATTTGTTTCCAGCATCTTTCACCGTGACGCACTTGTATAGAATCTATTTTCAAATTTCAACGGTGTGCTTTGTTTTCTTTTTGAAAGATTATGCAATTTATATCTTAAGTTATATCCCCACCATGTATATTTTTGTCATGTCGGTACATCAAGTTATAAATCTCCGCACCATAAATGCCATATCTCCCTGTGACCTTTTTAGTGATCTGTGGTCAGGCTGGTGGTACATGTTTGAGATCACCAAGGACCCCGGTCAGGTTGCGCCAGCTGGTCAGCCTGGGTCAGCAAATTTCATTGGGTTTCAAAAAGCACCATTGGTTGATGATTCTGGGTTATACTACCCTGTGGAAATTGAGGATGATCATCTGGGTTATACTATGATGATTCCGGTTGATGATTCTGGTTGATGATTGGTTGTTGATTGTTGGGATGATCTTTCAAAAGCACCCTGTGGAAATTGAGGATGATCACTATGGCTGGGAAAACCAATTTTTAAACACCAACTCTTTCAATCCCTTCAACATTTCCCCAGGTGCCAACCCTGGAAGCTAATGGAACCCGTGGAACTCTGGGTGCAGGATGAAAAGTTCCGTGAATGGGGCTGGAAGACCTTCTTGGCCTTTGAGAAGCCTCGACCTGTTTGGATTTCTCACCTGTGAATGTACATCCTTTCCGTGGTTTAGATGGGAAACACAGAAATTTGTCTGTGGGAAACCCTGGCTGCCATAAACCTACCATTTGGGTGAGGCCCTCTCTTTGGAACGCGGAAGATGATCCTACGTCATCTTTGGGAATGATATTTAACACCCATAAACATGGTGATTTTAGGGATGGTTACTTCTTGGGTTACCACATTAGTCTCCTGTAGGTGTTTCTCTTAGATGGAAAATCGTCCTCGAAATACAATCTTGTAATATCTTGTATGCATAGATTGAGATGGAAACCGAGTCAAACTTCTTTCCCTATTAGCCTATGAATCATTTTTTTTGCTTTTTGTCTTGTGGTGCTGTCATTGCTATTGGATCTCAATGGAATTTGCTCGTTCGTGCCATTTGTGTGGATCAAGAAAGAAACTGACAGGAATCAGTTCTACACTGACGCCCTTGCGGGATACCCAAAAATAATCAAACCACTTTTCACGGAATCTGGTGACGCTGGTGCTTCGTTGCAAGAAACGTTGATCTTGAATCCATGGATGTGGCACAGAATAAGTCATTCCACAGCAGGTTGTAGCAGAAACCTTGTGCTTGACATCAACTTCAGCCGGTAAAAAAACATACCATCAGCCATCAGCCATCAGCCCACAGCTGGCAGTCTTGGAAGCCCCCCCCCCGTCCCCATCCCCTTTGTGGCTGCCACCCTAGGCCCTAGCCGTGTTTAAACGTCCAACCGACCTGGCCATGGGGGAAAATGGTCGACTCGGCTCTTCCTCTGCCTGAGCTTTGGAGACTCCGGACGCCTTCCAGCCTGGTCCGCGGTGTGGCACTGCTGAAAGATGGGGGCGACACAGGTCTGGGGGAGGGGAGATTTTTCCCATGTCGACTGCTGGTAATCTGTTTCCAAGTTTTTGGATGTTTTTAGAAGATTTGTCCCCTCAATCCCCATCAATGGAGGCACCAGATGCCAGTTTCTTCACCCATCAACAGCAATCAACTGTTCAGTGCATTCAGTGAATCGCCCAACCAATGCCCCCTCTTCACCCACGCTGGCTGCAGGTGTCACCACCTTGGCTGAGTTGCGCGCCCCGGGTGTTCCGGCCATCGATGGTTTGGCCGAGATCCTCTTCCCCACGGGGCTGCCGTCGCACTGCCCGCGGGGCTTTTCCACGGTGATGACGGACAGTTTCACCCATCGGACCTATGTAGGTGCAGGGTTGTGATGTGTTGTGTTGGGGTCCACAACAACTATATAAAAAAGGAGTTGGATTCTTTTCCTTGACATGTTGTTTGGATTATTTTCAAGTGTTTTGATGATGTTCTGACTTTTGTTTTTGACATGTATTCAGATCACCGGAGGTCGTTTTTAAAAAAGTCATCGCAGAACCGCACCCTGGAGGTGTCCAAATCTCCTACTCCAAAGGTGGAGAGGGATGTCCCTTGGCCACTTGCGCCTGGTCCCACCTGCCCGAAGTGGCGGCACCGAGATTCTTGAAGATGATGGAAGCGGTTCAGGCCGGGACGATATAGGGCCTGATAGGGCCGGGACAGGCCAGGAGCTCAGGGTCAACTAAGATTAGATGCTGTTAAATCCTTGTTATAGTATGTATATATACAGAATATATATATATATATATATACACCTGTATATATGAATAAATAAATAGATAGATAGATAGATAAGTAAATAAGTAAATAAATAAATACATCATTAAACACATAATTAAATATGTGAATAAATAAATATATGAATAAATACCTAAGTAGATATTAGAAGCACACCACAAAAAGGTGATCCTGTTAATTCCCGTTGCAACTCCAAAAGTACATGGCCCACTTATCGAAAAGGGTGGCCCATTTTTTTCTTTTCCCCAACGAACGACGTACTTGGAATGTTTGATCCACCTGGCTTTGTATTGGATCAATCCACTGATTTGGGGGCTGATTTGGGCCCTATGAAAAATGGGGTTTTTGGCTTTGAGGGATGGGATTGCAGCTGGAGCAGCTCTATGACAAATCTATGTGTCACCTGTTTTTTATTGTTTTTTGCCTTGAAGTCTGACTTCATTGGAGCAGACAAAGGAAGAAAATGGAGCTGGTTGATTCGATGATTATACTACCCAATAAACTGGGGAATACTGTATCACAATGTATGAGCTGGGGCCCAATCGACTAGGTTCTTGACAAGAAGGAACATCACGTTATTGGGAAACAGAATGAGGAACGTTTCCTAGCTCAGTTAAGGAACATTTAAACAAGGTTTCCCCCATGAAGTGGTGCCCCCCATTCTGCACTCTATAAATAAGTTGTGTTGTTAACCCATCTAACTCTAGCTATTACATAAACCCATCACTACCTAGTTATTTGCACCAACTTACCTATCGCAAATCAATGATGGTTGACCTTGTCTGTTGGCTAGATACCAATTTTTAATTCCCAACTTACTGTTCTGGTCACTGTATGTCATTGTATCATTCCACAACTTAAGTATACGTAGATGTATCCACCATGGACCTACTAGCTGGTCTATTAGACATAAGATATACGTGTACAATAATATGGTGTACCAGATATAAATAGAATGAACCCACTATTGGTAGGTATGGTTCTGGAATAAGTAGGGTTATATTGTGGTAAGGCCCCAACTTCTAGGTTATTTTACAACCCCATCCAACTATAGATAGATCTACCATAAATCCCAGCTAGCCTACGTAGTTGTTTCAATCAACATGGCAAACTCATGTTGGTTGATTAAATCATTTGGTAAAATGTAATCATTGGTTGAAACCCTGATTAACTCGCCATAAAATTCTTTGGGTAAATCCCACAGCCAACTTGGCTATACAGTTATAAACCAACTTCGCCAACTTAGCTATCATAAATCAGAACTATCTCTAAATCCCCATTTCTGCTAGCTAAATCCCCATTTTCGCCCCAGTTCTAGCAACTACCAGCGATCCCAGGTGCATCTTGCGGAGAACGGCGATGTCAGCAGCTTCGCGCAGCTCTGGAGCTGGTTGGTCAATGCGGTGCCGGCGCCTCCCCCGGGCACCGCGTTGATGCTGCATGGGCTGTCGTCCGACAGGCCCGACAGGCCACTCTGTGTGGTGTCACGACCCCCTCCAGCAGGATGACTTGGCTGGGACTGGGAGAGCCATCGGCCATGGTGATCATGTTTGGTTGGGGAAAATGATGTTCTAACTGATTCTAAGCCATCATTTTTTTTTGGGGTAAGCTATTTTTGGCTTGCCTTGTTACCTGCCGATCACTATTTCAGATCCGCTTACTCAATATTTACTCTCCAAGTTGCCGAACTCTGCCTGCTAGCCATTACAACTCTTAGATACTGATGGATATAGATTCTATTCAGTATATGATGTATCACATATATACATATGTACACAAATTTCATTTCCTTCACTTCATGAACCTATCAGCTGATGGAGAGTATGATTTGTCCGTTCATGAAGCTTGATGAGCCTGCCATCAAGATATATGTTGGGCAACCTTTCTTGTTAACCTTCATAGATCTTTGTGATCTATTCTTTTGAGTGACCAGCAACATATTGCCGACGACTAAAAAAAACCGGAATAAGTTTGCAACCCTTCTGACATTTGCATTTTCCAATGGATTTACCCTCTGGTAAACTGCTCCATGACTATGGAAAATCACCGTTTTTAATGGGTAAATCAACTATTTTTATGGCCATTTTCAATATAGCTATGTTTGTTTACCAGAGGGTACCAAAAATCATAGTGAGATGGGTCTCCTGTGTCTCCTTCTGCAGGACTTCCTGCAGTGTATGTCCCCTTACAACACCTCCTGACGCGCTTAAGCGTCTCTTCGATCTTGTTGGTCACGCGGCTGGTGTTGCTGGAGCAGAAAGTGCTGTTCGTGGGATCCTCTGTGGCTTGGAGCTGGGAACGTGGCGATCTACCCCTGTTGATTGATGATGATATGGGGTTATTATGCTGTTACCATGGTTATATTATCTGATGATGACATAAACGGGGATTATTATGGGGTTACATGGTTTTACTATCCAATACATTATCCAATATATTGGGAATGATCACAATCCATGGTGGGAAATGCACCACGTTTCAGACAGACCCAGTTGCCCACGAGGGATCTTTTTTCAATGTTTTCCAATGGATGCAATCATCATAAGGAAATTCTTGGGGCCACCGCTACAGCCAAGGTAGCCATGTTGACCTCGGCTTGCGAAGCGTTTTCAAGCATCCTTTTCTTCCCCCTGGCCTGGGTTCATTGCTACAATCCCCTGCTGCCCTGCACGGATTACCTGCAGACGCCACCTCCCTTCCTGTTCGGGGTCCTCAGGGAGATCATCTTGAAGGAAACCGGCGATTCGGACCTGCTGAGTAGTGAGTTGTTAGGTCCAAAATCCTGCCTGGGCCTAGCGGAGTCACGTGATTTCAGCATCGTGGACTTGGACACAGGCGCGGGACCGCGACAAACCATGGCGGGACCACGAGGTATATGGAGGTTTTTTGAATGCTGCTCGTACTTCGTTGATCAATGAATACAAGGTGTGTGTGTATATATATATACATACACAATAATGGTATGATATATATATATATAAATACTGTATATACATATTGTATATACATATTGTATATACATATGGTATATACATATGGTATATACATATTGTATACACATATTGTATACATTTTGTGTTCCCACCTCATTTTAATAGGAAATATACCCATTGTTGTTGGTGAGCTCTGCTGGTATTGTCAGAACTCTATCATGATTGGTCAATATCCCCTCGGACCCCCTAGTTTTTTTGATATGTTTTGCTGGTCATACTGATACCCAAAATGCCTGCCCTGCAGGGGATGTCTATCTCCATGATGGAGAGGGTGAGCTACCAGCCCTTCCAGATGCGGCCCAAAGTCGGCTGCGCTTCAGTTTCACCGAGCTTCGCGCGCAACTCGAGGCCCGGCAAGATGTGTGGCCGGCCGAGCAAGAAGCCACCGAGGAGCGCTGTTGTATCTGCTGATTGTGGTTGGGACAACTATGCAAAAACTGTAAAACTTGTTGATTTTGTTTGAGAAGCGAACACGAAGTGCTTGTATTCACAGCTGATTTCGGAATAACACTTCCAAGAATGAATAGCTGGAGTTGTTTTCTGTTTTTCCCCACTGATTAAAGTTCTTTGTCACACTTGGTCAAATCGTGTCAAACTCAGGGTTTTTAATTCATTACAACTTGAAAGATGAACTTATCCCATCTATGGTTTTTGTGTTGCCAAGTAATCCCAAATTCTTCATCCTTTGCCAAGTAATCCCTGTGTCGTTTGTGGTTGTTCGTTTGCCCCGTGACATCCCAGGAGCTCTTTCAAAATTCCGTGCGCCTCGTGGTTTCAAGGGCTTTTTCTGTGGTCATAATGATCCTGAAGTCCTGAATCCTCAATGACTAAGAAACATATTATTTTCCAGCACCTGAAGCACCAAGCATAGCAGTGTTCCCATGAGACTTCCATATCCCATGGATTTTCGGGGCTCCTTAAGTTTTCCAGGTACAGAAGATTTATTTGACCTTCATGGCTGACCTCTTGTGTGATGTGGCCGGTTCCCTTGGCCCGCCCTGCGAAACGGCCACGGCGGCGTCAGTGCTTAGTTCCTTTCAAGAAGGCCATTTTCTCTCGAGTGTGTCGGCCAAGGACAGGGCGGAAAATGAACATGAGGAAAATGTATAGGCAGTATAGGTTAGTTATATTCTAATTCCACCATGTATAGCGTTTTCCACCATGGAAGATCATGGGAACAATTTATAGTCATCCTAAATCCTCCATGTAGACAGAAAGTGTTCAGAATCGAATGTAATGGGAACATCATCTAACTATTTATGGAGGTAATAAGCGATGGCTGGGAAATCCAAATGGCCTAGTCATGGAGCTTGAGTTTGGGGAAAATCATCGAACTATAGCTAGGGGATTTTCCAGCAAGCCATGTTCGCTTCCCAGAGGGTAAGGTTACCCACATTTTTTAATTTTTGGAAAACCAAGATCCGGTGTTTGGTGGGCTAAAGATCACATTTTTCATGGCAAATGGATGCAAATGGATGCAAATGGGTTATTAGAGGATACATGATCCAGAATTTTTATTTTGGGGATCAAGACTACATGACCCTACAGCACATGGTGAATCATCGTGCTGAATATGAAGTGATGTAGTGATTGATCTTGATGTTCAACGCCCTCCAAGATCCAAACACAATGCTTTCATATCAATGATTATATTTTTTCAAAAACATTATCAGTGATTCCGGTATATTTTGATTTTCATTCCAAGCCCTGCAATGATAGAGACAACTTCCTTTGATAAGTTATGTCATATATCATATATAATATATCACATATCATATATCACATATCATATATCACATATATATATATATATATCATATATCACATATCATATAGCATATATCATATCATATATCACATATCATATTCAGTAATATTTTTTATTAATGTTTTTTTCTGAGTTCAGCCCTGCAAGGATAAGCCCTTCTTCGAGTCCTTTGTTCAAAGCCACGCCTTCTTGGCGTATCTGCAGACCCTGCACCTCTTCGGCTGCGCCGAGAGCCCCTTCGCCGAGGCGTTGCGAAGTCTGGGGCACCGCCGCAGGCGCCCAAGCCGCGGGCCTCCGTTGCCGGAGGCAACGGCGCCGCGGCTGTCGGTGGGAAGCACAGGTGGGGGGGAAGCCAAAGATGATGGGAATTTAGATGGATTTATGCCATGACATAGCCAATTTTATAGCGATTTTGAGATGTTTAAAGATGTTTTAAAGAAAGGAACAGGATTTTCTAAACAATATTTGCTGGAAAATATAAGGTTTTAAACCATAGGATTTTGAATATTTCCCAACGTTTTTCAGACCCAGGTGGTGAATGGAAACAGCAGGGTGCCATGATTTTGGGATGCGACCACCAACAAGATGATGGAAGCGATGGAACGCACGGAAACCAGGAGGCAATACTGGAGCTGCACCTGAGATGTCCAGGAGCTGAGTGGCCACCAAGTCAGGAGGGCAAGGTGCTGTTGGCTTCGGCAGTCCATGAAGTGCCCAAGGAAGGATCCAATGGATCCAATGGACCCAATGGATCTGGTGCAGAGAATGGAGATGTTGGACACAGCGGCATCCTGGTGGCTTTGGAGGCTGCAGCCGAGACCTTCCAAGATGATCGAATTCTTTGGGAGAAGTTGGCTTGTGACCTTTACCAATCCCCAAATCTCAAGGGCCTTCTCGATGTTTCGGAACATCATTGGTCACTGGTACTTCTCTATGCAGTTCTCTGTCGCAAAATGGGTGCCTCCATGGAGTTCTTACTGCGGCTTCACCTCACCATCGACCGTCCCGCGGCCCTGCCGACCCACAGCATCCTGTCGCTGATGAATGGCATCGATCCTCACCGCCTCTCAGACATCTTGGTGGAGGCTGAGAAGATCCCAGATCCACACGAGGCGCTGACATGGGGCTGACATGGTGGGGCAGGCTGTTTCTTTCTTGGACACATTTTGGGATGGAGATGGTTTTCCATGTTCTCTCATCTGTTTTTACAACTGGCAACTGCTATATATACTATACTATACTTCTTGTTTCCTTTGCACTTTGCAATCTTTGCATGAACCCAAACAACTTGACAACTTGACAACTTAAGTGATTTTTCTGATTTTTTCTCACCATATTTCTCCATATTTCTCCATATTAGCCCAGCCCAGCTTCCAAGATCCCAGGACACCGGGGAGCGTTCCAACCCCTCGGTGCGTTTCGCGCGTCGCCTGCTGGCCGTGGCGAACCCCGCGGCGCTGGCGTCGGCGGAGGCCGCCAGGGATCCCCTGGCGGCGCTGGCGTTTCTGTGCCCGGAGGAGGGATCCATGGTGGAGGCGCCTTGGTGAAGCAACTGGTGACCTGGTGGCGAAATCCTCCAAAAATGTGGGCCCTGCCATAAATAACTAGCGTAACTAGGGATTTGGGATGATTTTTTTGGATGGTTTAACCTTGATTGAATCTAAGAAGGCCTGTGGGAGCCCTCACAGGCACACCCCTGTAAACCACCACAAATGAAAAAATCAAAAAACAAAAAAAAAACATTAAAACAATAAAACACTATAAAACAATACAAAACAATAAATCTAAAACAATATCAATACAATACATTTAATAATATAATGTTTTTATAAAATATCTTGGATTTTTCCAAGATATTTTTGTTCATACAAGAAATGCATTGGTGAACATACATATGTTTGCTGGATCTTTGGGTCATCTGTAGCTAGTTAGGAGTACCAGATCAAAAATGGCCATAGCTTGGAAGTACAGAATCATGGCACAAGTGCGGACATATTCAGGACACATACAAGGAGAAAGATGTATCCACCAGGGCAGGGCAAAACAAAACTAATACCAACTTGATTGCGCACAGCGCCAGTTGATGCTGACATGACCAGTGCTTGGTTGTGCCCAAGAGTTGCCGGCAGCTGTTTGGCTTAATCTTTTGTGTTGTCAGCATGGGCAATGGTGGAGTTGAGTCTGGATGATGTTTTAAACATCATCGAAGATACACATCCCAACGAAGAGACATGTTCAGAGCCGAGGCCAAGTAATAGAGCTACTGTGCGGCAGAGGTTTGGGGCAGGTCTTCGACCGGGTTTGCTAAGACACGCCAAACAGAAGCGAACCAGAAAGCAAAGGTTGAAGAAAAAACAAAGCTTGGTGGACCAACAGGCAAATGAATACAATGCCAGTGGCCGTGCTAGAGGGGCCGACCATGCGTTTCCAGCTTCAGCAAATGACTTTGAGCAAAGACAGAAGAATAACATCAAAAGAAAATCATTGAAAAGCAGACCTGCTTGGGTCAAGAAGGGGCGGGTCAGCCGATTGAACGGTTTCCACATGTTTTTGAAAGAGATGAAAGCCCAGACAGAGGAGAACATACAAGGCGCTGCTGATGCTGACGTTTTCCTGAGACAGGGTTCATATGAATGGTCGTTGCTGTCAGACGAGGCAAAGAAGGAATACAGCGAAAAAGCCAAGGCTGAAAATTCTCAGCGGGAAGCTTTGAAGGCATCTGAAGCCCCACTCATGGCTTCACTGCCGGGCGGACCCTGGAGCTTGTCCAACTTTGGAAGCGGCGATAGCACATCCTGGCCTCTGCGAGTTGACGTGATGGATAGTTTTCTTGACGCTCATGGCTTTGACTCCATTGCGACAGAGTGGGTGAAGGACAAGATTTCCTATTAATGATTTGTAGGTTCACCTGGTTTTACTCCTTGCTATTATAATTGTTTGTTTTTTCACATCAAACGTCCAGGAGCACGGGGATGCAGAGGAGGTCTCGGACCCTGTGCCCTTGACAGCGAAGAACTTGTTCACCGCTTGCCCACCTGGAGGTTGCACTGGGCATCTTTCTCGTGAACAGCTGGCCTTGCACAGCAAGTTGCATGCAGACTTGTGCGTTCTGGTGAAAAAACATGATCCTCCTCGCAATAGGCCTGCGGCCGACCCTTTGGTCATCATGTGGGAATCTGCAAGTCTGGCAAAGACTGTGTCCGTGCTGCTTGCCTTCCGGACCATGGACTCTCCAATGGACATGTTGTTCCTGCGCTTGGGCCCCAATGTTGGTTTGATAGAGGAGCCCCCTTTCAGTTTGCGTGTGCCATATTATGCAGATCGCTTGGATGCAGCGCCTCTGTACGACAATGATTTGGCCATTTGTGCTCAGCTTGCCCTCGAGGCGGGTGATTGGGTCATCCACCGCTTGGAGCTTGCAGGCATTGATGATGATCCGTCAGAGTTTCGCATTGCCCGCAAAATTTCTTATGACGCAGAGCACTTGCAAGAGGAAGCCCGCCAACAGAAGGAAAACAACTTGGCCATGCGGGCTTTCCGCTTGATGCAACGACTCAAAAGTGGTCAAAAAAGACAAAGGCGGCCCCGGGGCCCTCAGCCCAGCACAAAGAAAGCGCGACAAACTGCCATGCCTTGCGATGAGCAAGGAGAACTTTCGCCTTCCCGTTTGTCTGAGGAGAGCTGGTCTGAAGACAGTGAATGGGCTGGCAGTGCCGGTGAAGAGGACCAGGACCCATGGATGCCCCTTGATTTGAATCTGGGCGCAGAGAAACTTGACATTTGCGGCTCAGACTCTGCCGCTGACGTTTCGGCCGTTGGTCGAGGCTTGCCAAGTTCCGAGCTTGGTTTCAAGGGAAGCTCCACGGAGTCGTCTGCAGGCATTGCTGTTGACGCGGCCTCTGGCCGGGCTGTCCAGTCCGCGAAGTCAAAGAGAGTGGTACAAAAGCGAGGGGTTCGTTGGGGACCCTTCTTGCTGTCGCCCATTGTGCCGCAAGGAGGACAAACCGGGTGGGGAGCCATTTGCGGCTTGCACCACAACAGAGGAGATGGAAGTGGCTCGAGGTGCAAGAAAGCTTTAAGCATGGGCCGGTTGAGCCACAGCGCTTGCATATTACGATTGAAACGGTGGCTTCTAGCCGGGCTCAATGATGCAGAGCTTTCTGTCCAGAACGCTCGGTCAGATCATGTGGCCATGGGAGGACCTGGCTTACAAGCTTTTGCCGAGGGCCCCTCAGAAAAAGAGATGGACGAGAAAATTCGACAATATACTGCCTCAAGTCTTTGAGTCCTTTGAAGTGACTTTCCGCTTTATAGTTTCTGACGTTGTTTAAGTTTTGCTTGTGGTTGTGACCTGGCTTTCGAAATATATTCGCGATAGATCTTTGGTAGCGAGCGGTGACAGTATGTTCAAGTACGATGGACCATTGAGATCTACATTCATATCACCCAGGTTTCTTTCCAATCCTTGATCAGACACAGCGTCTTCTTCTTATCCTTTTGCAGCAATCAAACAAGTAGTGGTGATCATGTTGGTTTGGATTTTGGTTTGCGGGGAGGTTTTGCCAAAGGCAACCCAAAGTAGTAACATTATCAGATATTTTGATATTTATTGTTTTTCTAAAAACAATTTAAATTTTCAAAAAAAATGATTAAGAAAAACAAAGAATTTTTCATTTTTGAAAATCATACACTTATCTTCCGTTTTCATTCACTTATCTCCTGTTTTCATACACTTAACTTGTGGTTAAGTGCGAGATTCCGGTTTTTCAAAAAAAGTTTGAAAATTCAAAAAACATATAAATATATCAAAAAAGATGAAAATAGCTTTCGCCAAAAAAATGTAGATTTACAATTCTGTTCCAGCCTGCTCCGAGGTGATTGGATTGGTTTTAGCCCATTGCCAGAGCTGACTAGAGACAGAGCAGACAAGTTTCACCTGAACAGTGCGCGACAGGCACTCTCGTGCAGCAAAACCTTGCAGTTGTCAGCTGCTGCTTGAAGTTAGCAGTTCGAACTTGGTTCTGTGCAGGGGAAGCCTGAAGCTACTGAGTTGCCACCTGGTTGTCTCGACTCCTTAGGCTTGTCTGCCAGAGGTCGTCCTTCCTGCTTAGGCTCAAGCTGTGTGAGTTGTAGTTGTTTTCCTTTCGCTTTTGCAACCCAAAGGGTTGGCAGGTCCGTGCCGAATGGCCAGTCTTCCAGGGTCAGACTTTGGAGGTCTGTCTGAAGGCGGTTTTGATGACAAGGGTTCAGAGGCATCTGGACCGGTAGCAGAGCAGATCAGTTTTGATCTGAGCAAGCCTTGTACCTGCAGAAGACCAGTGTCTCAGAAAGCCCCCTGACAAGCAGCCACCTGCATGACAAGCATGGCAGCCGTAGGCCATGGAGTTCCTACAGGAAAGTCTTTGACAAGGCCTCTGGTGTCACGTACCGGGTTCCCCAGTCCAAGTTGTGTAGTTTGTGCCGGAATGTCTGGAAGCTCTTAGGCTTTTCCCACAAGTACGGAAACATAGCCAAATATGTGAAGATGATCGCAGAGAAGAGAGTTGACCATGCCGTTTTCCTGGCCAGTCTGGACGAATGGATCAAGAAGCACAATGCAAACCCAAACGAGCACAGGCTCCGCAATGCAGATGATAAGGACTCTGTCCGGGACACAAAAGAGAAACTGGTGACCAAGGACGAGCACGGCTGCGAGTTTGAAGCCCCTGACATGTTCTTTGTTGAGGTGGACAACTGGAAGCCGGAATACGGCCCACTGGAGGAGGCAAAGATTGTGGAGAAGAAAATCTTTGACAGGGGGAACGGCCCAGCAACAGAAGTGCCAAGGATGCTGTCACAGCGGGTCTGCTAGCCATGCTGCTGCCAGTCCATGTTTGTTCGTGGATATTTGTGAATTGGGAGGCGATGTGGCGGATTGCGCCGCGCATGGGCAGAAGTGTCCGTTGCCACAAGTAGACCTCCTGGTTTTAGGGACATCTTGCAAAGATATGAGCCGAGCAAACCCCTGCCAGCACAAGGATTCCGCAGTGCTGTCTCAGCAGGTCAGTCGGGGAGGCTCCGCACAGACATTCCGAGGAATGCTGTCCGATTTGCAGAGCAAATGCCCACCCTTAGTGCTTTTCGAGAATGTAGACGCCATGGACGACAGCAAGGGCACGGACATGAACAACATGGACATCTTTTTGGCCGAGACTTCCGCCCGGGGGTATGAGAGTCAGGTGTGCATGACAGATGCAGCCGAGTTTGGATGTAGCGCCCGCCGGAGGAGAATGTATGTTCTTCTAGTCCGAACAGCCGTGAACCCGCTTCTGGACTTTACTACCAGGCCTTTGACAGCTGCTTTTGCCACCTTCCGGGCTTTGCTGCTTGGTTGCCTTCGAGGCGGGCCTTGTGTGACCCAGATCCTTTTCCAGGAAAGTTCGGAACCAGTTCAACTGGAACTCGGGTTGCGCTTAGACAAGCGGGCGAAACAAAGGGAGAAGGACGCTGAGAAGAAACAAGGAGCACCCGCTCCCCCTCAGAGTTGGGTCGAGCAGCACATGCAGTTTGCCCAAAATCACCGGTGCGTTGGGGGCAAGCTGTCCCAGCAAAATTGGCCGCCAATCAGTGGTACCAGACTTTGGGTGACCGTGAGCAAGACGCTTTGTCTTTGCTGCAGCAATGCACCCCGTACATTGTGTTCCGAGATTTGTCTTAGTCAATCGTGCGAGGAAATTCGAACACCTGGAGACAAGATTCCAGCAAGCATGTCATGAGCACAGTGCTTCCAAGGATGGTTCTTTGGTGTGAGGCACAGAATCGCCTAGTCCTTGGGCGAGAGGCTTTGCTCATGCAAGGCTTTCCAGTCCAACCTTTCTTGCAAATTTTGGCAGCGCGCATGGAGACCATGCCTTTGGCGCAGCAATGGCATCCTTCTGAAGCGCTCATGATGGACCTGGCAGGCAACGCCATGGCATTGCCAGTAGTCCTTGCTATGGTACAATGTGCGCTGGCTGCTTTAAATTGGAAAGATCGGACTCTATCCGGGCAAGCAGTTCAGTTGGCTTTGTTACAGACCGAGGACTCGTGTTGGAATGTTTGTTGACTGTTGACTGTTGATAGCGTGGCCAATGCGGTCTTGATATTCCTTCTCTTCCTCCTTTGGTTTCTCGCCTCCTTGATTTTTTAAGACTTAGATTTTGTGAGCCGTGAGTTTGGCGTCCCTCGTTCGTGTATTTAAGTGGGTTCATGGCAATTAGGTGGTGGCTGTTTTTGTGCCCATACATTGTGCAGGAGATGGCCCTTGCCCTTGGAGCGATGGAAGCTTTGGATTCAACTGCTCCCATGGAAAGCAAGCCTCAGGCTGAGATCGCGATGAGTGCTCTGGATGAGCGAATCTACAAGAGAGCTAGAAAAGGCAAGTAGAGACGCTTTCAAAGCGGGCAGTTTGATGATGAGCGGCAAGGTCTTCAAAGCAGCCGGTAATTCTTTTTTCAAATCATGTAGCGGCCAGAGCAAGGACTCTTTGCGCATGGCTCTGCTGAGGAAAAAAACTGTCAGCCTTTGCCTTGGCAGCCGTGTTGGGACAGGATGATATAAGCAAAGATTCCAACTGCAGCGAAACTTAATTCAACAAAAATTGACAGAAAAACACAAAAAATATCAAACATTTTTCAAAAAAAGTTTCTGTTTTGTTTTTTTGTTAGCTTCATTTTTTCTTTTTATTTGGTTTTATTTTGTTTTTTCTTATTTTTTTGTTTTTGTGAGTTCATTGTTTGTATACTCCTTTACTGAAAAGATCACAGCCCTTCTAAACCCAACCAAGTTTAACCATGTTAAACCCATTCAAAATAGTCATCTTGGGGGATTCTGATTAGATTTACCACAGGATCAATCTATAGTGTTGATGGGATTCATGGACCATGGATTTTTTGTGGGAGAATCATCAAACTCATCGGAGATGATCACCCAGGAAAAGTGGCCTGGGAAATCCATGGAGGTGAAACATACTTACCATCTGGTTATGACATTGCCAGTTCGCCATGGAAAGATCCACCATGCTATTAAGAACGGTAAACCATCTATTTCTATGGGTCATCTATACCATGGCGAACTGTTAAATAACCAGAGGGTAAATGATTTGATGATATTTGATCAAATTTTGATATCTGTTAAGTATCTGGACATGATTGCTCAAATTGGTGATCAAATTTGATTGTGATATATCTGTTCAAATTGTGATCATATTTGATAATTGAAATTTGCAAATTTTGAACATACTAAAGTTGCATTTTGATTCGTGAGGCAGATCGTTTTTTGGAGTTGAACGGATTTTTTTGAAGTCAGCTGGGTTGTTTTTAGGAGAGTTTGAGCAATGAGAGTCAATAAGAGTGAAGTTTTTCATGGGGGGCCAGGCGGCCAGTGACCAGAGATTCTCATGGGATTTCACATGATTTCACCAGGATTTTGTCCAACAGTAGGATTTTGCTGGAAAAAAATGGTGGGCCTTGGGGGACTCCGGGATGGCCGTTGGCAGGTCGTTGCCCTGGATCCCCTGGATGATTTAGCGCATGGCCCACCATGCGTGGAAGCGACGTCACCCAGAGTGGAACTGTTGCCCTTCAAGGGTCCCAAGGACCATGGGATTTTTCACATGAACCATCAAAGGAGGTTTATTTATAAGTTAAACAAAGGGGATTTAGATGGATATAGGTTTTTGAGGATATAATAATTGATATAATGGCAATATCATGGGGATATAGCACATATTCAACAAATTCATGTGATATTTTATTCCCTTGGAAACAAAGAATCATTCGATTTGGGTCTGAAAATGGGATTCACGACCCAATGGCCATTTTAATGAACATGCTGATTTTCTAAAACCTGGGGCCGGGGAGCCTGGGGAAAGCCTTAAGCGATGGACATCCCTTGGGGATCAGGCGGCCCCATTTTACAAACGGTGACATCCACATATCTTTGTTGGGTCCAACAATATTTCTATCCCCATATCTTTGTTTCTTGTTGAAATCTCCGTTTTTGTTGGTGACATCCCTATGTAACTTGAGTCAAACAATAGAGTTCTATCTATCTCTGTTTTGCTCATTTTCTTCCTGGTACCAACCGTAGGTTGGGGTTTCTCCAAATCCACCTTGGATGGTTGTTACACCATCAAAATCATGGGATGTTTGGATGTAAAAACCACCTATCAACTGGTCCAGAATTTCTGACAAATCCACAGTATCTCTGTTTTGTTGCTCATTTTCCCCAGCATTTTTCCATATCCCCAGGAGACCACGGTGCTGAACCACCGTCGCTTCTGCAATTGGACGGATCGCAGTGCCGAAGTTCTCTCGGTGCAGCTGGTGAGGGACGTCTACCGCGCCGCTGTGGCGGTGGAGCGCCTTGGTGTTTCGTGGGCCCGCACCTGGTGGCGAAATCCAAAACAAAATGTGGGCCCTGCCATAAATCTGACTGGGCGTATTTAGAGGGCTTTGGGATGATTTTTGTTGGATGGTTTAAGCCATGTTTTTTTTTTACCCATTCAAAAGTTGTCATCTTGGGGGATTCTGATTGGATTTACCACAGGATCAATCTATAGTGTTGATGGGATTAATGGACCATGGATGTAGTGGGAGAATCATCGAACTCATCGGAAATGATCACCCAGGAAAAGTGGCTGGGAAATCCATGGAGGTGAAACATACTTACCATCTGGTTATGACATTGCCAGTTGACATTGCCAGCAATAGCCATGGAAAGATCCACCATTTCTAAGAACGGTAAACCATCTATTTCGATTAGGGCCATGGCTTCCATGGCGAACTGTTAGTCATAACCAGAGGGTATCAACCGCCATTTTTGACCCGAGGAAAAGATGAAGGTTTCATCCTAAAAATGATCCATCGACGACAAAAACCATACCCAAAATGTGCCAAGGAAAGGCTCCAGTAAAGCCTACAAGCTGCTGGAGAGGTTGAGTGAACCACTGGCCGAGTTGCAGTGCTGTAGTTTGCAGGGCAAAAACCATGAGGTTCGACTCGCCTTCTGGCTGAATTGTTTCTTGGCGATGCTTAAGTTTCTTGTCCATGTTCACATAGATGTGGAAAACTCACCATTTGTTAATCACTTTAGGGAAACTATAGCTTTTCCACATCTATGCTATTTTTTTTCCACCACAGAGAGCTAATCTGACACTTGCGCATGAAAGTAGTGGCAGCAAACACCCTCTTTGACGTCCAGTGCTTTTGCAGTTCTAGCAGCCAGATGTGAAATCTGCCTATGTCTTCCAGTTGGCAGGTTGGATCCCAATATTGGTTTCATCCCCAGTTTTCCTATACAGATGCACCAATCACTCAAGCAGCCCTTCATGCTTTTCAACCCAGCTTCCATCCACAAATTTCATGTGTCAACTCAATTTTCTCAGCAAAATCAGCAGTTTTTCCAGGAAAAAAATCCAGGATTCACATGGCAAACACCCGCCATTTTCCGGTGGTCCCCGTCGCCAGGCTTGAACGCCGCCACGCTGCTGGCGGCGCTGGCGCCCATCCGCCTGGGCCTGGCGGAGCGGCCAGGGGATGCCGGCACTTGGAGCGAGCTGCTGCAGACGGCGCAGCTGGAAGTGCAGGGGGAACTGCTGAGTCTCATCGAGATGGAACAGGTGGAAGAAAGGGGGATGGGGAAATTTTTGGGGAGGATTGGAGATGAGTGTTGGCGGGTATTTCTATATCTATATCTATATTGATGATGATATTCAAGATTTATATAATTTTATATAGATGGAACAGGTGAACATGAGAAGGTTATGGGGCCAGTGATGATGTGATGATGATGGTTGGTTGGTGATATTCTCCAAGCCCTCATGTACTGTAGATTTAGATGGTGTTCAAAATCTGCCAGAGTTGGATTCTCTACCCATAGTCAAAAGATGGAGCTGGCAAATATGGTGAAGATGGATGAATATGGTAACGTGGAGCGTGATTCATGATGATTTCTGTACGAAAATGACATATTAATACATGAATACAATTAAATGAATATACATATGTAGAGAATTACGGGGCATGATGGAGGGTTGGGAAACACGAATGAGGGCCAGGAAAATCACTTGAGTTTTCGATAGATGCAACAGGTGAGCCAAAAGGAACCAGGGGCCCATTTTCTGCGGAGGTGATGGCTGTGAAGAGTGTAACGGGGTATTATACGGTATTATCAAGATCTAAAACCAGCCACTTTTCTGAGTTTTAGACCACCCATTGATGGTGAACTTGGATTTATGGTTCGTGATTGTCACCTTTGATCAATCATCCAACCACCAGTTCGAAAGATGATTTGGTATGACCATTGATATGACCACCTGGAAATTATTTAAAGAAAATGATCACGGTAGATCATGATCATTACATAACCAAGGACATTATGTATGTACTCTACATCATGAATCAGTTCAGGTTTTTGGTCAGTATAATTACACCATCTTTAACTGATTTGGTACCCATCATCCCGTGCTTTCCGGTGCTTTCCCCATCAGGTGATCCGTGCGCAGAATGAGATCTCCGTGCAGGATCCAATCCTCAAGGAGATGGACGAGGACTGCCGCGTGGGTCATCTGCAGTTGAAGCGACCGGTGCCCTTGGCGTCCTTTGCCATTCATCGGCCCACCAGGACGCAGTTACGCAACCTGGGGGGTGGGAAAGCCTGGGAATGCATAGGATGGATGGGGAACTCGAAGTTTGGAGAAAACACTGGCAAAAGTGTGGGCGTTCCGCTTTAAACATCATCGAATTGGTTACTGTACACACAGGATGGCTGTTGGAACGAGATGTTGTATAGCTGGAGATTCTGGGTCGCAAATCAAACTCAAACCCGCAGGTTGCAAGATATGAAGTAAATATCTTTGCTATTAAACCTGTTGTGGTTTCATCATGATCATGATCATGATCATGATCATGATCATCATCATCATCACCATCACCATCACCATCACCAGCATTCCCTCACCCCCACCCCCCTTATCTTTTCACATCGACATCGCAGGAGTGGCTTCCCACCTCTTCGCATCTACCAGGCCAAGCATCTCCAGGCACAACTGGAGCTGAACGCGGTCCACTTCCTCTGCTGCCAGATGTCGCTGGACTCTTGGCGTCGCAAGGTGTTGCTGCCCGAGTCCCTCAAGTGGCACCTGGCGGATTTCGGAGGGGAGACGCAGATGCTGGAGATGTTGGGTGACATTTTGAAGCGGGCACCGGAACAGGTGGATGGAGATGGAGATTTTATGATGACTTTATGACGATTTATGTTTTTTTGTGCTGGGAGATATTCTGATTTTGGTTGGTTTTCGATGGTTTCGGCTAGCGCTTTTGTGGCTTCCGGGCCGCACAAAGACGATCTGCAGTGGCCATTGCTTTGGACTCGGCCTTCTCATTTGATCATCAGTTGATTGCTTGGATCATGAGTTTCATGAAAAAAAATCCCTAAAAAACCAGCAGATCTTCCCGGCCAACCGGCGCCTTTCCAGGTGGATTTGGTGGGTGGTTCTCTACCTGAGAATCTGAAGGAGCTGTCTTTGGAGCGTCACGACCGGCTGCGGGTGGAGTACCAGGAGGTGCTGTGGCAGTTTCAAGTGCCGGAGACGCCGCTGGAGACGGAGCAGGGTGAGACAAAAGTGATGGCCTGGGGTGGAGAGGGATGATGGCGATGGAAGGCGATGGGAGATTCGAATATGGAACTGGGTCAAAAGAACCAACCAAGGATTGCTTTGAGGGAACATCTACAGGAACCCCTTGTTTTTGATTTGACCCACAAATATCATGGGTTCCCCAAGAATGGATGGATGAACGCAGACATTTTGCTGAAATTTTGTTGGGTGAGAATTGATACCAGGCACTTGTGAGACTATTTGGGGTCCATTTGACCCCCCCAACTCGTAGACGTCAGCATTGCGCGCTGGTGGAATGGTCGATAACTGGTGACTTGACCGGCTGGAGATGACCCAGCCAGGAAGTGGCTGTGGGTTCCGAATGGGCCGTGGTCTCAGTGGTAAGGTGGTACTGCACAGTATCCAAGAAAGAATCAAGAAGATGGAAGCGTATGTGAATTTTAGGGAGATTGGACACCAGCCACATTGAGTCTCCTGGATTTCATGGCGCAGCGGCGCTTCTCAGCGGGTAAATCTTGGTTTATGATTTGATGGGTGAATTTCCAACCACATCGTCTCCAACTCGAATCCAGCTTTTTGAAGAGGTAATCTAAGGCAAGCCATCCGTTCACAGTGGCCTCTTTGAGGTATGCTTCTTTGAAGGATGTGAGATCCGCATCGAAGAACTACTTGGACAGGACAGGATAGCCACAGCGCCTGCGTTGGCAGTCACCGTGATGGTAGACACCTTAGAGCAGCAGGTTTAGAGGGTGGTAGTGTGATGATTGTGATGAAGAGCAATGGTGATGAAGAGTGAGTAATGGTGATGATGATGACGACGACGACGATGATGATGTTGGTGATGGTGATGTTGGTGATGTTGATGTTGACGTGCATTATTGATTATTGTTTCTTCTTCTATGATCATTATCATCACAGTCAACGTTGTTAACCGTATTCATTCTCATCATAATTTATCTCTTAGTATCATCATATTACTATCATCATAAACACACTTAATATTCCATCATCACTACCACGATCATCATCACCAGATCTATCCAGATCTACCTTGCCATGCTACAGATCCACATCCGCCTTCTCCGTCAGCGCAGGATGGAGAGCTTTTTCATTGCCGAGACGCAGAAATACCTTCTGCTGTTGCAGGTCGCCGGCGATGGCTGCGATGGATTTTCCCTCATTTTCCCAGTGTAAAAGGAACTATGTCCCATTACATCTATGTAGGAAAATGAAGGAAAATTAAGGAACATGCAGGAAAATCCCATTACATCTATGTAATCAAAGTTGATGATTTATTTGTTTTTCTCTGGCAGGATAGATTTCATGAGGTGTCGAGAGTATGAGTAAGATTGAGCAAGTCTAAAAAAGGAACAGGTTGTTCTCTTCCGATGATATATATATATGGTTTCGGCATGTTTTGGCCAAATGTAGGTAAGAACCTAATTTACATTGCAATTCTTGAGGGGAAACTGGCTTCTCCAACTGTCAATACATTATTTCCAGACCAACCCAAATGTTAAGAAAATCCCAGCCACGGGTGACTTGATCGATTTTGAACCTATTAACCTTCCAGCCGAACCATCGATTTCTGCGGATTTGATAAGTCCTGGGGGGGTGCCTCGCGGAACTTGAGACGTACGAAGGATGTTATCATCAACCAACAACGTGAATTTCCCATTGTGATATATGGATTTTGGATGATTTTGGAATGAGATTCCTTTTGGATGTCGGAATGATATTTTACCATGACATGCCCATGAAAAAGCATTGTTGGAATGATATTTGACCATTTTGCCTAGTGATAGTCTCGTGTTTATTGAAGGACACCATTTAGAGATGGGTCAGAATCTATAGATATCTATAGATATCATATGGGGCATTAACATCCCATTTACCAGCTATTTCGGTGTTCACCAAAATGCCAGCACCATTTTTCGATGATGTCCAGGACCCAGATCACACGATGCGGTTAGACCGATACGTCTTCAACACGGAGGTGGGAAACGCATAGGACTTGACTTAGCCGGGTCCGGTATTTCGGGGAAACCAACTTTTGGGAGAAAAGTTGCATGGATTCAAATGGGGGAAGCAAGTCACCATGGGTTTCAATACGAAAATGGTCAAACAGTTTGGATGAGTTGGGGGGACACCCATTTTAGGATATTTTAGAACAACTCCATTTGACTAATGACTTGTTACATCTTTGTTCTATTTCAAACGGGTCTGTAGTGCCGTCAATAGTTGAGACCACTGGATCGCGTTTTTTAAGGCGATCCTTTCCGGGGCGATGGCTGTGGGTTCACCATTGGGCGCACTGATGGCACAAGTTCTCTTGGGCCAAAAATGACTTAAACAACCTAAGGAGGTGACATTTCCATTTGAGATGGTACCTCTTGAAATTATGCTGAAATTACAATAGAAATTACAATATATTGAGATCTATGATATTAATTGATATGGCATTGCATCATTATAAAATTACTAAATTCGAGATTATATTCCAAACTGCTACCTCTTGAGACGGCTGCCATGGCGCTGCAGGCGCATCCGCTTACGATGTTGGACTTGATTCAGAAATGATTGGCCAAAGATGCCAGAAAAACCGTGGGCGTCTTTGGGGGGCGTTGCGCTCCGGGTTCAATGAGAGAGGCGACATACATTTTTTTTGAGCATAGTAGTAATAATAATAGTAAATAACAATAATAATAAATAATAATATTAATAATAATAATAATAATCATCATCATCAAGCGATCGGTGCATTATCATCACTCTTTGTTGGCTGCCTTGGTTCATTGATGTTCATTGGGGACCAGAGGTTTGAACCATGCGGCCTACCTCTCGACCCACCGGAACCACCCATGTGTCCATCAGTCGGAAGTTTGGCGTCTAATTTTCCGTTGGCAAAAAAGGTTCAAAACAGTTAAAGAGAATATGAAATAAAACATAGAAAGCCAGCCAACATGTATAGCTTAAAATAAACACAAACATAACATATAGTAAAATATGAACACATATCAAACACGTGAATTCTGGAAACAGATGCAGCTGCTCACTTCTTTCCCTTGAGCCTCGGTCCAATGGAATACTGCAATGCACGATCATACCACTGAATATCGAGGTTATTTGCTTGGATTTTGGTACATCCTGCATAAAGACGTGAACTCTTTCATTGGTCACTTGGGTATTTCCCTAGATATATTTCAATGAGATGTACCCGACTTGCCCACTTTGCCCCCATCAGGGATCATCTTGAGGCTTGGTCACGGCCTGTTGATCCGGCTCACTGAAAAGCTCTAACCACGACCATGAGTAGATTGATGAAGAAAAACATGAACAAAAACACGGTGAAATTGGCTGACACATGAATTTTTGCCACATTGGGTTGAAAGGTAGTTCTAGATGCAGGGATCTACTTGAAGGTATCATCAATCTTGTTTTTGTTGACATCAACAGAGAATCATTAGACGATTGAGCCAACTCAGACCATGACAGACTCATCCTGAAGTCCACCGTCATTTTCCATCGCGATGCAGTTTACCCCTGGGCTAATCTGTAGGCGCGCTGCGGGAAAAGTTTCTGGACTTGCTCAGGATGTGTTTGTTTCGCTGAAAAACAACAAAAAAATGCATTTCCGGCAGCTCTTGAAACTGGTCCATTGGTTTGTACCTTGTCACCAAAAACCTCTGGTGGCAGAAAAAAAACTACTGGGTGAATTCAGGGATCCATCCAACATCCAATACGCAGTGATGGTACGGACCTCTCAGTGTGGCAGGTCTTGAGATGCAAAGAATGCCGCCACAGGCGGTGGCCATGGGGAATCCCATACCGGGGGCTGCTGCCATGTGGCTGCCATGGGAATAAAAACTCCCAGAAGTTGGGATATGGTGCCCCTACAACTATGGTGAAATCTATCCTTATATAGCTGAAGCTGCACTTCCAAGTACTTCAAAAAAGATCCCATGGTTTATCATTGCCAGGCACAGGGACGACGACAGCCCCAAATGCCACAGGCGGCCGCGGCTGAAACGACGGTTGTTAGAAACCCGATGTTTTCGAAGGGTTTCTCCAAAGACACGGAGATGATATTCCCGTGACAATCGCAGGAAAAACTGGGGGTTCCCAATTGAAGAATAGATCCCAAGACATGGCAGTTTTTTTAGGTCCCAATCTTGGCCGAAGTACCTATGATATCAGGACCTCGCTGATGTTATCATATGGTATCCACATCACCGTCCAAAACGTGAAAAACCGGCACTCTATAACTTGTCTTTATTGATGACTTAATGGTGAATGATGGTTAATTATTGTTCATGATAGTTCACCTAGTAGTCAAGTATGAATCAGTAGTTATTTCACCATAGAATCCATTGTTGTTGACGCTTCATCATCACTGAATTGGTGAATCATTAACGGTGAATGACGATGCATGGTGGTTAATCTCTTCCTTACAGTATCATCGAACTTCAGAGAAATGGGTCACCCGTAGTATCATCGATCCAATATCAGTTGGTTTTTTAGACCTCATTAGTTCGATATATCTACCACAAATCATGGAACTTACCTACCTGGGTTACCTGCTAAACCTGAAACCTAACAATTCCTAGTGCACATTGAATAACTTCTGAATAACTAGTTATTCGTCTTTTGCCCTAGAAATTGTTAGGGCCCTAAGAATATGCGTTCAAGATCGTTTAAACCCGTTCAGACCCATCCTGAAAGGGCAACAGTTTTGGTGTACAGTAGGCGTACCCGTTCATACCCATACCTGCTCAAATGAGTTCAAGACCTGTTCAAAATGCGGTCAGAATGAGTTCGCTGGCAAAATAATGTTACCCTTTTTCTTCCCAAGTTGTTCTAAGAATGAACATTCAGACTTAACTTTCAACTTTTGCACTAGAACCCAAGGGAAATTAACCAACAATAAACCCACATACCTAGCAGTGAGATTTGATGGTGGATTTCCTGTCCCATCTCGTCCCCGGAAAAAGCGAGGCTCCTGGTCGACGCCCCGCGCGCTTGCCGGCGCCCGTAAAGCCTGGGCACCCGGGAACGAGTCGGCCGTCGGAATGAGCCACATAGCCATGGAATTTCACCATTTTATGATGAGTTAATCGCTAAATCATCGAACTCAATGGGCCATTGAAAAACCATAGCTATGATAAATGACCGAATTGCTGTTGGGTGAACTCTTCTGATTAAAAATGTCTGGGACGTTTTCGAAGTGGAATTTTTACAGTTTTTGAAATGACACTTCAAAGGCTGGAATTGGCAATAGAACTTATAAGAAGAATTGACGACACAACCAGCAAACATGGACGAATCAATGTGGATAGATATATAGATGCAATTATGGGCTGATATCATCAGATATTACCGAGAAAGAGGCGATTCAAGCATTTGGACCTCTAAGAGTGGGATCGTTAGGTATATGAAATGTGGAAAGTAGGTCTTTTGCGGAAAATTCTTCCAGATCAAAATTCCCTTCGTCATATTTGCTTATCAAAGGGTATTCCACCATTCTGTGTTGAACATGCTCTTTGTTGGAGTTTGTTATCAATCCTGCAAAACTAGCCTCCCCAAATGAGGAGGTTGATCGTTGATGATTGCTGTTTGATCGACCTGTTATGGCTCTAATTTCCGGCATCGCTGAGTCACCGAGTGTTTAACGTGTTACTTCCTTCTACGCTGGTTGATTACTTGGGTATAGGTCAACCAAAAAAGACCTGCGCAAAGACCCAGGTGAAGCATCTTGTACTGAACGCTGTCCCAGATTTTGGGTACACAATGACTTCAATTATACCGTATACCCACTAATTTTCTTGAATCTCCCCGTTTATACCACGGTTATTGAATATTGCTGTTGTTGTTGTTGTTGTTGTTGATGATGATGATGATTGATGAACTGCCACTTCACCATTTGATGTCTTTTTGCATGTTTTCCATTTGAGCTGCATTTGAACATATCCTGATCTGCAGCTGCCCCTTTCAAGCATTTGACAATTCGCGACTTGAAGGAGCTGTTGCATTTCGCACCTTGCCTGCACCTGCCGACGAGCAGGTTATGAGCCCAACGACCTCTTGGCTCTGAGATGATGCAGAGGAGGAGGGCAACAAAAGAAGAGCTCAAACAAGGAGCTGAAGAAATTCGGCAGGCTGATGCAAGGATGAGGACAGAAGCGGCAGCGTTGGGTGAGGAGCCAATAGAAGATGTAAAAGCAGATGAAGGGAAGTCAGAACAAGTAATGGAAAGCCTTGAAGATGGACCCCAACAAGTGGAAAGGTATGTAGAAGAGCCCCCAAAGAATAGCCCAGAAGTAGCCAATTCAGGATCAAGACCAGGTGTCCCAAGCACACCACCGCCACCACATCCTCCTGAGTTGGAGGTGAAATCTGCGGGTCTGCAAACACCAGGTCAGACCAGCACTGCCAGGAAATCTCCCGAGGTCAGGAGCTCTGTAGTTCAGCAGGATGAGAAGGCTGCTGGATCGGCTCTGTCTGATCGACTTCGAGAGGACGTTGCAACCACACCACTGTTCACTGAGGAACAAGCCAGGACCTTGAATGAGTTGCATGATAGGGCACCATGGCTGTACCAATCAGGACGGTCGGCATTCTCTCCATATCTTCATAGGCCTGCTTTCTTAGAGCATGAAGAGGATAGGCTTAGAGAAGGGTTGTCAGAGAGGGAACGCCAGTTGCAATATATGAGAGATCGGTTGTTTCAAGAGCAGAACGAAAAAGAAGAGCTGAAAAGAGCAGTTTCGTCAGTCTTGGAGGACAATCAACGCATGAAAGTTCGACTCCAGGACTTGGAAGCAAAGGTGAGAGATCCTGAGCAGAAGTTTTCGACTCCGGAAGGGTCACAGAAGCAGGAGGCCGAGACCACCAAAGAACCCCGAGGATCAAAGGAGGCTGAGACCACCAAAGATCAAAGAACAGGACCAGAAGCCGAAGCTTCCACCTCGGCACATCATGAGCCGAGACCAGAGGGAAGCGGAAGCCTGACTGAAAAGTTCATGCTTCTCATGATGGAGTCTATGAAAGAGATGCAGAAGAAGTACCTAGAGAGCAAAGATGAGGCTGGAATGGTCAGAGGAGTAGAAGTGGTCAGAAGTGGAGCACCAGAGCTTCCACCCTTGCCGGCATGGAACCCAACGCAGGGCCCCTTGCAACTGGGAGATTGGCTTCTACTACTAGAACCTTTGGTTGCTGACATGTCTGCCACGTCAGAGTTGTGGTGGAGCCTCATGTCAACAGCAGCAGAACAATGGTACCACAAGCATACAGCCTTGTCACCCCTGGACAGGATTCAGCACCAAGCATCTCCGCCGTCCAATGTCCAGCTTGACAAGTGGCAGCGGTTAGAGAGGAGGATGTCGGCGATGCTACTCCAATCAATCCCGGAGATGATACGGGATGAACTTGTGGCTTCACGACGTTTGAGCGTCTTTGGCATCCTGACTCATCTCTACACCGTCTACTGCCCTGGAGGTGTCTATGAGAAACAGACCCTCCTCAAAAGCTTGGAAGAACCAGCGGAAGTTACTTCGCTGACAGAAGCACCGGCGGCCATCAGGAAATGGTTGAGGTGGAGGAGAAGAACAGAGGAGATCGGGGCAGTGGCTCCGGACCCAGCCTTGTTGCTGAAGGGGCTGAATCGCTTGACGCGCAAGGTCATCGAGCCGAACAAGGAGCTGCAGTTTCGCATCTCGATGGTGCGTAACAGCCTGGGGGTAGACACAACCCCCACAGCAGTGACAGTTGGTCACTTTGCCACACACCTCCTGGCAGAGATCGAGCAAGTCGCCCTCACAGAGAAGCGATCAGCACCAGCAACGAGAACAGAAGCACCGAAGTTGAAGGCCTTTGAGGTTGACAAGGCCGACAAAGGAAGAGCAAGGACTTCAGAGAAGCAAGCAGAAGAAAGCACAGGCAAGCCAAGATGCAAGTTCTACCTCAGTGAGGCTGGATGTCGGAAAGGAAAGCAGTGCACCTACTCTCACGACGTCAAAGACGAGAAAAGACGCTGCTGGACATGTGGCGCTGTGGATCACATGGCATCGTCATGCACAAGACCCAAGTCCACCTCAGCTGAGAGCAGTCCCACAAGGCCGAAGGTCATGAAGATCGAGGGGGAGGAGAAGACACCTTCCTCAAAGGAGACAGATGCCCAGTCTTCGGCACCTTCTGAGGTGTCAATGAAGGAGCTCATGGAGGAGGCAAACAAGATGCTCAGATCGTTGTCCTCTTCTGGAGGAGCCCCATCACCACCAACAAGCCCTACTTCAAAAGAGGAGGATGCCAAGACTGAACTGATGGAGAAGCTACAGCAGCAACTCAACAGCATGAAGCTCAAGACACTGCGTTTGGGACGGATGTCAACAGAAGGAAGCCAAGGCCTCATTGACAGCGGGGCCACCAATCCACTACGTCCCAAACGATGCGGCGAAAGGATTGAGCACTACAAGAAGCTAGAAGTGTCCCTTGCAGATGGGACCACAACCAGACTTCCAGTCTCTCCAGGAGGGGCGATGGTGAGCGCCAACGACAATACGGAGCCGATCGTTCCAATGCATCAGCTCACCGGCCTCTTGGGGTGTGAAGTAAGATGGAAAGGCCAGGAGTTGGAGGTCATTCACCCAGACCGTGGCAAGCTGCCTGTTCAGCACTCAGGAGGCTGTCCACAGGTAACAAGAGCACTTGCCATTGACCTCATCTCGGAGATTGAGGACCGAGTCCAAGGCATTGGCACTGAGAAGAGCCAGTTCACAGAAGAAGAAGGTTGGATGAGGAAGCTGGTACAAGAGCACCCAGTACTCAAAAGCCTTCCGCCTTGGATTCAAGAGAGGCTGGTGGTATCCCCAGGAGAATGGTCTGGGCTGCCGCTAAACAGAAGGAGGAGGTTGAGACAAGAAGGTTTTGTCCTCCACCTCTATGCAGGCGAAAAAGAAGGGTTCAGCTTGCAGAGAGCCCTCAAACAGGTTGGAGGAGATGAAGCGAAGCTGCTGGAGATTGACATCAAAAGAGGTCCTGAGCACGACATGCTCAGTGACACCAAGGTGTATCCCAGTCTTCTACGAGCAGCACTTGAAGGAAAGTTGAAGGCGGTCCTAGGAGGGCCCAACTGCAGAACACGAAGTGTTCTCCGGCACTACCCCATAGAGGGGAATCCCCAAGCTCCGCGACCAGTCCGAGAATGGGATGGAGGAGAATTTGGGAAGAAAGACTTGAGCCCACAAGAGGAAGCTCAAGTGAGAGAAGATGACATTCTTCTCTGGAGGATGGTGTTCCTCTACATGGTGGCCAACTATGTATCCAAAGCTCGAAGCCACAGCCAGGTCCACTTTGCACTTGAGCAGCCAGCATCACCCCAGGAGTACATGCCACAAACAGTGAGCTTCTGGGACACCAAGCAGTGGAAAGAACTCAAGGCCGAGTTCAATTTCGAGGAGATCACCTTTGAACAGAAGAGGATGGGTGGTCCAGCAACCAAACCAACAACAGTAGCAGGCACACTTGAACTAGATGTAGGAGATGATCGATGGACCAAAGGCAAGAGCTGTGCCAAGATCTCCAACTCAAAAGATCTGGCGAGATGGCCACCAGGTCTGATGCACATGATGGCCACAGCCATCGTCGAACAAGTTTTGCACCAGGAAGTGCAAATCAAAGTTCTGTCATGGCAAGAACACTTAGCATACAACCACCTGCCGTACCGACGTGACTGCAGGGTGTGTCAAGAGTCCCTGCAGCAGGCAGATCTCCATCGGCGGGTTCGCAACCCGATGGGCGGTATCCTCAGCATCGATGTTGCTGGTCCAATGAAGCCAGCATATGATCAAGGAGGAGGACAAGCACGGTGGATCTTGGTGGGGGCATTGTCATGGAGAGTCCCACGGGGATCCACAAAGATGAAACAGCCAACAGAAGAAGCATTAGAAGCAGATGCTCCAGAGATCGAAGAAGGCCAGGCAGAAGAAGAAGACCAGGCAGAAGAAGATGGCCAAGAAGAAGAAAGTGAAAGGCAGCAGCAAGGGGAGGTTGGCGGAGGCGTAAGTCGGGATGGAGGAGACCCCGGCAATCGCCCGCCCGGCGGTGACGGACGTCAGGGTGGAGGAGACCCTGGCAATCGCCCGCCCCCAGGTCGAGGAGTAAGTCGGGGTGGAGGAGACCCCGGCAATCGCCTCCCTGGTGAAGGAGCACGTGAGGGTGAAGAAGACCCGGCACAGCTCCCTCCCAACATAGAAGAAGAAACTGAGCTGCGTGTCTTTCGAATGGCCCTGCCGATGGTGACGAAGACAGCCAAAGAGGTCACCCGAACCACCATGGAATTCCTGCTTAGGCTCAGAGCAGATGGGTATCAAGTGCACAGAATCCACTGCGACAGAGGCCACGAGTTCGCAGGTGAGTTCAAAAGATGGGCCAATGCGCGGGGAATTCACATAACCCGCACACCGGGTGATGATCCGCGAGGAAACGGAAGGGCCGAGGTTGCAGTGAAGGCGATCAAAACCCAGATCAGAAGAACTTTGAGCCAGGCCTGCGAAGACTCCAAATGGTGGCCATGGGCGTGCCGCTATGTGACAGAAATCAACCGATGTGTGAGGTTGGATGAGAAGCCGGAATGGCCAAGGTTTCTGAAGGAAGTTCGAGTGAAGAAGAGAAGATGGAAGAGAGGAGACTTCGAAGTTGGAGTCGAGAAAGTTCAGTACCTATGTCCATCGACAGAGGACCATGGACATTGGGTATACAAAGAGGGCGAAGCACCAAGGGTGACAAAATGCCTGATGAGGCCAACAGAAGAACCCCTGGACGAGAGTGTCTGGGTTGCCATCGAGAAAGAGATGGTAGACGCACTGGTGCTTCGAAGAAGATTGAGGCAGAAGACATCAGTGAGGAGGTTGGATGCTTCGATGAAGGCACCCAAAGAGGAAGATGATCAAAGGAAGAAGATCCGAGATCGGATCATGAAAGTGGTAGAAGAAGAGGCTCGGCAGATCATAGAGGATGATCCTGAGCTGGCATCTGAGGAGCTCAAGATTGTGGCAAAATTGAAGAAGATGGCAGAAGGAATTGAAATGGAGGAAGAAGAAGTACTCCAAACGAAGATAGTGGGACCGAGAGAGGTCGCCGCTAAATGGAAGGATTGGCTTCCGGCCATTGAAGCAGAAGTACACTCCTTGGTGGTAGAAAAGGAGGCCTTGAAGATGCTGTCAAAGGAGGACTTCAAGGAGTTGAAAGAAGCAACAGAGAGAGCAGGCACCAAGCTGGAAACAGTTCCTTCAAAGATGGTGTTCACCGTCAAGCCTGGACCTGATGGTGGAAGACCCAAGGCAAGATGGGTCGCATGCGGGAACTATGAGTCCAAAAAGGATGATGAGAACAACTACTCAAGTGGCGCAGATGCCACAGCGTTCAGAGTCTTGGTTTGGAAGTCAGCGAAGGAGCAGTGGGTGGGTGTGGTGATTGATGTGAAGACAGCATTCCTGAATGCAGCGATGGATCAGAAAGGAGACGAAGGAATCCTTCTGATCAAACCACCAACCATCCTGGTGGAAAAGCAGTTTATGACCAAAGAGGCTCTTTTCTTGCCACTCCGTGCTGTATATGGCTTCCGAAGATCTCCAAGACTTTGGGGAGATCACAGAGATAGCGTCATGAAGACCATCAAGATCCAGTTCGTCAGCTCTGGTCAAGCCGTGGAGCTAGTCTTGGAGCCCCTGGAGTCAGAACCCAACTTGTGGAAGGTAGTCAAGGCCGAGGGGGAGAAACAACGAGAGCTGGAAGAAGAGTTTCAACTGTATGGCATGGTCATGACGTACGTGGATGACATTTTCATCTCTGGCTGTCAACCAGTTGTGGAGGCGCTCCTGAAAGAGTTTCAAAGCATCTGGGCCACTTCGAAGCCAGAGTGGGTTTCGTCATCACCGGTGCGTTTCCTGGGCATGGAAGTGACCAAGGAGGTGGACCCTGAGACACAACGAGAAGTATGGCTCATAACACAGGAGTCATACATCAAAGATCTCGTGAGCCGTCAAGAAGAAGAAGTCAAAGAGAAGAAGATTCCAATATCACGAGATCAAGCAGCCATGGAGGTTGATGAGGAGCCTCCCAGCATAGAGAGGGTCAGAAAGTGTCAGAAAGCGGTAGGAGAAGTGCTCTGGTTAGTCACTAGAACCAGACCGGACATAATGTTTTCAGTAGCCCGCATGGGTGCGAACGTCACTCGCGCCACCAGGAAAGTGATGGAAGCAGCTTCACAACTCTGGGGCTTTCTGAAAAAGACAAGTGCAGAAGGCTTGAGGTATGAGGAAGAGACAGAAGAAGAACCGGTTGTCCAGGTGTATACCGACGCGTCCTTCGCGCCGGAAGGTGAAGAGTCACACGGCTCTTACCTGGTCATGGTCAATCGATGTCCGTTGTTCTGGCGATCTGGTCGTCAGGCATCAGTGACGCTCTCAACTGGCGAGGCAGAGCTGAATGAGCTGGTGGAGGGACTCAATGCAGGAGAATCAGTAGCAGTGCTGATAGAAGAAATCCAAGCTGGTGTCAGAAAAATGGCTTGGACTGACAGCTCAACAGCAGTGAGCATCCTCACCAGTGAAGGAGGCTCTTGGAGAACGAGACATCTCCGTTTGCGCTCCTCCTACGCCAGACAGGCGATCTTGGGAGGAGAATGGGGTCTCAACCACTTGCCAGGAGAAAAGATGATCGCAGACATCGGCACCAAAGCATTGACTTCTACAAGAATTGAAACACTCAAGTCAATGATGGGCATGGGGAAGAAAAGAAAAGAGGAGGAAGTAGGAAAAGAAGCGAACCTGCCAGCAGAGAAGCAGGTTGCATCAACTGAGCAGGCGATTGCAGCTGTTCGCCTGATCACTCTGGTCGCCATGATGTCCGTGGCCAAGGGTGAAAAACAAGAGGAGGAAGATATGGAAAGTTTCAATGCGTTTCACTGGATGGTCGCGGCGTATACCATGATGGTCATCGTCGCCACCGTCACTGTTCAGGCTGTTTGGAAGGTCGCAGTAAGGATGAGACAGGGAGAGACCGAAGAGCCTCAATCCGGGAAGTCCCGAAGTCGCCCCAACAGCCAAGGAAAAGATTGCGCGACGCTGCTGGACAGGGGGATCATTCCAGGTGATGCGGTTGAGGGTAGAGGAGACCCAAACCAGCTCCCTGAAGCAGGTGAGGCGGCTAAGGAGAGCCAGCCCCCTGAGGCATGTGTGGCAGTTCCGGGTGGAGGAGACCCAGGACGGGCCCGTGCCGGCCATGGTGGCCCTTCGGGTGCGGCATCATCAGGCCAAACCCTTGATTCCCTGATCCAGCAGCAGATCGCAGATGATGAACGTTGGGAAAGAGAATGGAGAGAGCTAGAAAGAGATGAAGCTATGATTCAAAGAGAGCTGAATACACCAGGGAGCGCACTGTGGACAGAAGATGATCCACCTGAACCAGCGACTGACTTTGATGTCTACTATACACAGTATGGAGCTGTGTACCATCAAGATCGAGCATGTGGCCACCTGAAAGGGCCCAAGGTTGGACAGGTGTTTGAAGGAAGATGGTGTCGAACGTGCCAAAAGAAAGCGGGTCGTCAAAACAAGGCTCCGCTACCAGGAAAAGAAATTTTGCTTGGAAAGTCAGTCAGAATTTTCCACACAGATCTCCAGTGTCCAAAAGGAAGAAAGAATGAGAGAACTCCAGTGTGTCAAAGCTGCGGAGTGAAGAACACATAGGGGTAGTTTGAGCGGCGAATGATTTCCCCCTATCGGGGTCATCAAGGGGGAGTGATGAACTGCCACTTCACCATTTGATGTCTTTTTGCATGTTTTCCATTTGAGCTGCATTTGAACATATCCTGATCTGCAGCTGCCCCTTTCAAGCATTTGACAATTCGCGACTTGAAGGAAAACACTGAGGAGCTGTTGCATTTCGCACCTTGCCTGCACCTGCCGACGAGCATGATAATCATGATGATGATGATGATGACAGATGATGATGATGATGATGATGATGATGATAATCATGATGATGATGACGACGACGACAATGACCATGACGATGACCATGATTATTACTACCATTATTGTTACATTATTATCATAATTCTTATTAACGTCATTATATATTATTCACACCGTTACTACTATCATCTGATGATCATTGTTATTCTGAATATCATGAATATCATGATGTGATGTTGATTATCTACGTACTTTTATTAAGATCAGATAGGTTCATTATTCTGAATATCATGAAGATCATGAAGGGTACTTTTTATAGCTTCGATGCCGGCTGACACTTCCCCACTTCGGCTCAGGCGTGAAGCGAGCGACGATCGAAGCCGCTCAAAGCTCAGGGTCTACACCGAAACGGAGCAGGCAGGGGAGACCGCTGGAGATGGGGGTGGTGCAACGATGTCCAACTAGGGATACAATGGGAATACGATGGGGATAGAATGGGGATATATAGAGTGATACTTTAAAACCCCTGTTGGTTAATGATTATAGGGTCTTATACTCTCCAAAAGGAACGACAGAAATGGTATTGAACACTGCAGAAATGGGGATGGAATGGGGGTATAGTGATAGACCCGCTGAATGGAGATCGATTCCCTCTATAGTTCCCTTCATGTACCTTCCGAATTGAAACATATCCAATACATGTCCAGTACCAAAACATTTTTTTTAATTGAGGGGTCTTTAATTAATTAGGGGCAAGAGATTTATTGTGTGGGATACCAAATTATTTTTCAGTGGCCGTTTTAATGGGATCTGATGATCAACCATGGGGATTTTTTCAGACACCCATTAATCACAGGTGAGGATGGTTGAGACCCTGGAAAATGGGTAGATCACCGAAGATGGTCAGTGGCGACATGTGAAGCAACGGACATAGTGGAACTTGGAAGTGGGATAAACTATTGGGGTTCCAAGAATCGACCATAGTCCATCATTTGTTGATAGGTCAAGAATTTGCACTGTTTTGATTGGTTTTATTTGAACGATTAGAAATACCCATGTTGATCCCGTGTTTTTTGTGGGGCTATACTTTTGGAGATTATAGTCCTTAATAGGTTGAGACGTGCGTTTGCTTCTTGACTTGCCATTTCTGTAAAATCCAGAAACTATTTCTTGCACAGGTAGAAACCATTTGCTAAATACTAGAAACCAGTTGCTTAATACTAGAAACCGTTTGCTAAATACTAGAAACTATTTGCTAAATACTAGAAACCATTTGTTAAATACTAGAAACCATTTGCTAGATAAGTAGAATATGCAAAACCAATTGCTAAGCAAAGTAGAAAATGTAGAAACCATTTGCCAAACCATGTTGATTTACCAGGAACCATTGCTTTAATCAAAGGGTAATAGTTGCAAGTAAAGGTTGTTATTGACCATCTTATTAGGGTAAACCTATTCAATCTTGGAACAGTCATTTGCCGATAGTAGTTGGTGGTGAGAAAGAACCAATGTCTTTACCCCACATGCCAGTTCAATTGTACTAGCGCCTCCTTCACGCGTGGTTCACCACTGTGAAACTGTTGACGCTTGAAGCTTGAAACCATCTAGAATCCAATTGGGAGTAATGCTTTTTCAATCCAGGAAAGGGTGTATCATGGTGTATCAAACAGCAACAAAAGCATGGCATACTCTGTGCCCAATGCACTTTGCTGCAAACGCGCCATACAACACTGCGAACACTTCCGCGCTCGATACCCACAAGTTGTATGTGGCTGATAGCCTTTGTTAGCCGGGGTTTGCCACATGACCTTTTGACACCTTAGAGGACACCCAAGTCAGGGATTTCCCCCAAAAGTCGGGGCTGGCTATCTGTCCGGGTCTGTCGTGGGGAGCCCAATTTCTTCGGGAGCCTACCAGCTTAACCCTCCTAAGATGCAAATATGAAAGGAAATTATTTCTTAAATCCTCGAAACTATTTCTGAAATCCTGGAAACTATTTCTTAAACCCTAGAAATTATTTCGTAAATCCTGGAAACTATTTCTTAAATCCTGGAAACTATTTCTTAATCTGGGCCCCAACTCCAGAAACTATTTACAGAACCAGTTTGCTTTTACCAATCCCAACCATTGGACAAGGATTGCAGCCAATCACTTGAAGTCCAGAGATTCCCCCACACAAGACACAAGTGAACCGTGTTCTCACCAAGAGAGAAAGGCTGCCAGGCTGTTGGTGCAGATGTTCTTCATTCTGTTTCGTTCTGTGTTCATCGACTTCTCATCTCAGAATCAGGCACTCTTACTTTCTTACGATTCAATCTGTAAACAGTTTTCATGCTATATCATCATCTACGTCTATATTTGTCAACTTGAGTTATATTTATCAGTCATTGTTAGTATATTGTGTTGTTTGATGATTTCAAAATTTAAAGCAGAATAAGGGTATCACAGAAACCGTCTCAAACCGTTTCCGACTATTGTCTAGGTAATAGTCCGAAACGGTTTCAGACCGTTTCCTGCTATTTGCTACTTCGCCCTGGCAAAAACACAAAACAGTTTCAAATATTTTCAAATAGTTTCTAAGTATGGCTAGTCCGAAACCGTTTCAAACCGTTTCATACAACTTACTAGGTAGTAGTCCGAAACCGTTCCAGACCGTTTCAAACCAATCCCTAGAAACCTAACTTACATTACTTTTTGTTTATTTTTGGAAATTAATTTATAGTTTATTGGATATTGTTGCAAAAGTTTGTCAAAACTTGGATTGATTTAGGAAATGGTTTCTGTAAATAGGGTTTATTTAAGAAATAACTTCTTGCCTCCACAGACAAAGAGGCCAAGGCACTCCCCAAGTAATAGGTGTACCTCTTGATCATCCACTGCAATGGATGTAGGGGGTACTTTTCACTGGGAAGCCCTCGCCAGGACGAGATTGGTATAGCGACGCTTTTGGGCGAGTATACCGAACAGGGTGCCATGGCTGTGGCAGCACGAGTCGGTGGTGAAATTTCATGAGTTCACTGGGCTGGGTTTCCAGAATCTGGAGGACACCCCTGGTTTTTTTTACTGTCCAAAGAAAGGTTTTTTTCCCCGTCCATGTTCGTTTCAAAATCACTTCTGGGATCAGTTGAGCGTCCATTTTCCACCTTGGATCTAAGGTGTGAACCATGGGCATCCGACGTATCAGAAGGCCGAGCTTCAGTAAACAAAATGGGAACCTTTTGCCGAAACATGGGGTGATATTCCTATAGAATCTGGGATTCTTGATGTGTTTCCAATCTCTACAATGAAACCAAATTGATTTCTTTTCTTGGATAGAGGATAGCTGGGGATCACGAGCAGTCACTGAGCCTTCTTAACACGATACAAACATGTTGTGGGACATCTTGGGGAGGACTGTTGTTGACATTCTCCGCTGGTTGGTAGGGCCTTTGTTGGTTGCTTACCCTCGAGTTAATCAACATCGGGTTTTCCAAATCTACAGTATGATGGTTGGCTACAGAGGTATTGGTATTTTCTTTCATCCACCATTGTTTGACATGGGCGGCATTCTTCCTGTCAGGTGTTGGAGAACCATGATGAGGCGCCTAAGGATCTAGGTGATCCTTCTATAGGTGTACTTGGGCTCAGCATTGGTGTTGTGTTGAGCACGACGTCCAAATCATCCAAATCATGAAGCGTACCCGAGGAGGTTTCATCAAACCTGGTTTGCTGGAAAATCCCATATTTACTTCGATGATTTTCGCAGCGAACGAAGTTTCTCCATGGCTAGTTCGGGGACTTTCCCAGCTGTAAAGGCGGACCAAAACTCTGGTGGATGTACAGAACCTAAGCTCTCTTCCAGTTCCGCAGAACCAGAAAGTTTCTGGGTCCATGAGTGTTTGCAAGTTTTCTTCCCCAGATTTGGCTAAAAGTTACTACCCCATCCCAAAACAGGCGCGGTATCTTCCCCCAAAAAAATGGCCAGGATCCAGTCGCTGATCGCTGATCGCAGGTGAATGTCTTCGTGTACTTCTGGGACACACGGGTGGCCTGGATCAAGCGGGGATCAGAGATATCTCAGATGACGAAAGTCTACATTTCTTATCCGTTTTTGGATGAGACATGAAAAACCCTGAGGCGGATTGTCCACTATCTATCATCCTTTATAACATGTATAGATCATTTTCCAGTTGTAGATCCCTTTCCTTCAGAGGAATCGTGTTTTTTCAGTGTGTCTGATTGCCGGAGGGTCAATGGAACACACATGAACTGTGATCACCATCCCTTCTGTGGCTGGCGACCCCGGAAACGACCTGTTCGTTTCCACGCCAACCCCGTGGATGGCGCCTGAGGATGGGTCAGAGTTCTCTGGCTGGTGGTTCGGTGACTCCGTCGGAGGTCAACAAGTTTGGTCCCGATCCGTTGAGACGGGGAAAGGGAAGGTTGGAAGCTCAGAGACAGCTGGCTGGCTGGCTGGCTGACCTCATAGTGTGGGAAAGCCATGGAAAGCCTCTGCCATAAACCTACCATCTACTGTGATAGTTTACAGTAGCACCCATAAACACGGTGATTTGGGGGATGGTTTACTACTGGCTTTACTACATTGACAAAAAAAAAGATCAATTTTCCGTTGAGGATCAAACTGACCCAGAGCTGCGGAGCCTAAGATTCGTTGAGGTTCCTCCAAGTCGCGGTTGGCGAGTCCCCTGGGACGCCGAGTGTGTAGATGGTTTGTTGATCGTCTGGGAACCCGGATGCCATGGCGAGGATGAAGATCAGCACCGATTTTTTGGTGTGGGAAACGTGTGGGAATGCCTTAGGTGACCGGAAAATTGTCTATTTTAGGCTTGAGGGAACTGCAATCATTGGGTTGAATCAACGTACATTCCAAATTTTGATGCAAACACAGACATTTGATCAACGGCAAGGCATGGTTTACACCTAAAACAGAAACTGTTCATGTTTGGGATGGGTGTTCAGAATACCTTGGTAGGCCTCTTGATGAGTGATACCTGGGTATTCCCTACTGACTCGGAGCTAGAAGATTTGCTCCGAAATGGAGTGACCTGCTCCATTCTGAGAGATCTTGAGTGAACCCGATGAGTGACCTGCTCCCGCGATTGACATACTTATTGCCACTCAGCAGATTTGTCAAGATGGGTTTGCAAAAAAAATCTGATTGACATACTTGTGCGAATTTCCAAGTTGGAAAAAGTCAAAAACCAGGCCGCAAAATTGGAACCAGATCTTGATCCGTTAGGGTCAGACAGAAGTTTGGAAGTACACTCAATTTGTTGTTCATCTCAGATATAGATGCCATATGTGCTATGGCCGTCCCACATGTCCTTGTCGGGTCAAATCATTCTGTTCCCCTCGAAAAAAATATGGTTTCCTACCAGGCATAGCAAATCTCAGACCTGAGTTAATCCAATTGTTGATGGGGAAGTCCTAGTTTTGTTTGTTGAACTCCGTGTATGGTTGTTGAAACGATTATTTTTGGTTTGTTAAACACTGTTAAACACCAACGTCTTGTTTCAAAAGCTTTGTGTTCACCACTTGAAAAGACTTCGGTCCAATGCCTGGTGCACAAAAATATCTGAGATACCGAGATACCCCTTATTTCATCTTATGCTTAGATATGCAGGATCTAGGATTTCCATCAATTTCCAATTCTTGTGGACCTCCCTGAGTCGCCAAGGTGGAAGTAATTGACAACTTGGCGCAGCCCGTTTCCAATGGCCCGACACCTCCCAGTAGTAAGCCGCCACACCCCGCGGGCGCCCCGGAGCGCGCCCCGGTGCCACAGCCCAGCACCGGTCCTGGTGCTGCTGGTGGTCCCACGGGTCCCACGCCGCAGCCGTTGATCAAACCCAAAGTGCAGCAACCTGATGACAATCAGATGCTGATGGCGGAGTAGGGAAACTCAGACAACCACATAGTTCACGAGTTGGGGCCTGAACAAAACGGCAAGGAACTGTGGCCAACATTTTTTTGGTGGAGAAGAAAGTGGGGCACGATTTAAATAACGGAGAAGGTATAACCACGGAATGGCCGACCAAGCAGCGGAGAGAGTGAACAGCTTGTTGGACACCATAAATTCGGGATACTTAAGATTTACGGTAAATCAGGTTGATCCAGAAACATCCAGAAACATCCAGAAGCCAATTGTCACGGAAACCACCTCACCACCTGAGTCGACTGTCCATTTTAATGGGGTCAAATCCGCAAAGCTCCCCTGGTTTCAAAGCTCCTTTGTCCATGAAACTTGCCATAAGTTCTTCCTTCCCAGCCATCATTTTTGGGTGCGACAGCCACATGCAACGCATGACCAGCAAGGCGCATCAAATTGGCCACTGATCGCGTCACTGCCGCAGAAACGGAGGTGGAGCAGGCACTGAATGTGTGACTTGGGTCGAGCCATTGGCGGAAAGAATGGGAAACAACTCAGCTTGTTAAGTCTCCCAAAGATCCCTTGAATCAGATTTTCATCATTTTCATCCCATTTCCAGATCCGGAAAACCAACAACCACATTCTAAAACCCCACAGAAATGGCAGCGTCGATGCGTTTGGGAGTCATCTCTCTGGCAGGTGATCGCAAGCTCCAAACGCACCATGGAATCGAAGGACTCTTCGGAAGTGTCAACGGCGGATGTCGCTTCAATAAATTGGTAATCTTAATTGGGAAAACGATGATAAACGTGAGCTACACCGGAATATTTTTTTAAAACGCCACTTTGTTGTTTGGTATAGTCAGGTACCCACCTGAAGGTGTGATTTCATTTATCTAGATACCAGATTTGGTCACATCTTACTTGGAAGTGCGGGCAATTTCATGACACATATTAATTATTTACGTACAACTTCAGTTGTCTTGGGGATTTTGGACATGTGTTATACCCTCCAGTAAACTACTATAGCTGTGGAAGCCATTGCCCTTTGCAGATGATTTACTTATGAAATTTGGTGATTTTCCATAGCTAGGGCAGCTAGGGATTGCCAGAGGGTCAATTCCAAGTGACCCTTTGGGAGCGGAAGAGAGGATTGTTTCAGTAGAAAAGCGTTTGGAGATGGTGGAGTTTCCGCTTCCAGGGTAGCGAAACCAGTGAAGGTGCGACTTGGTGTTTGATCCTGATTTCTTGTGATTTATTTGGTCCAAACATCAGGGTGAACTTGAGGCTAAACCATCATAGGAATCATAGGCTTGGTGTTTGGCCAACTGGTGCACAAGCATTTTTACGCATTTTTTGGACAAGTCTCCCAGATACTGGTGGAACATTGTAACAAGTCTGAAGCTTTCTCTCCGGTCGATCCCATCAAGACAGCTTTGGGCATTTTTTCAGTGATCTCTGTGGGCCCCTGGAAAGCAAGGGCTACTTCCCGATCTCCATGGACTTCTCACATTTTCCCAGCGTCCCCATCGGAGGAGGTGGACGAAAGTAGCATCTTAGAGGTCGATACGGTGCTGCGTGCACAGCTGGACCCGGGTTGCTGCTTCCGTGGATCGCAGTTTCGTTTGAATGTTCCAAGCGTTTTTTTAAACCAAGAATCATGGGCTTTTATCATGGGGAGACAACCAACCATCTGATATTTGGGTCTGAGAAAGGGAGATTTATCATGATTCATCCACCAATTTTTGGCAATTTGGAATAGGGGCAAGTATGTGGCCGTTCATCCAGTAAGATGAGTAGAGTTGGTCCATGTGATTTCAATGGCTTTACTACGTACTTCCGAAGCCCTCCGTACCCTTCTTTGGGTGGCAACTCACCATTTTTGTTAGCGGTTTCCCAGAGAGGTGGTGATAATTTGATTCCAACCCACCATCCCGAACTGCCAAATCATGGTCGACGATGTTTGCAGTGGGTGCAATCTGGAGAATGATGAGAATGGAGAATTCAATGCAATTGTGATATGGGTTTACATGGTGGCTTCCCAAGCCCACAAATTTCCGTGATTTTTGGTAGAGTTACCATGTAAGTCCCGCTATTATGGCACCCCAATGATATGTGACCGATGTCATCTTTCCGGCTACATTCCGTTGCTCAACATTCCCAGTTGGGTATGGATCAAAATCATCAACACCCCCCCAAAGTGAATGCTTTCAAGTCCTAACCCTAGTGCTCCAAATACCCTAAATTCGAAGGTGTTTGGATTCCAAAAACCAACTCCAAATACAGTCTCGGAAGGTGTTTGGAGCTGTAGGGATAGATATATCATGATATATCATGATATATCATATACCGCAATGTGATTATCGTTCGGAGCTGTAGGGCAAGATCACCAGCTATTTTCGGGCGACACCTCACTAGCTTCACCGATCTGCTCCAGCCTTCCAGGAAACGGTCCAAAGCGAGCAGAAACAACTGGCCAAGGCCGGCTGGCGCTTAGCCTCTGGTCATTTGTTACATAGCTATGGAACACCACGATTTTATTAGGACAATATTTCCAAAAATGCTCATTTTCCATAGCTATTCCATAGCTATATGTTGAAAGAAACCAGGGGTAAACCTCCGCACTTGGGTGAACATGGCCAGCAGAATTCAAGATCTACATGCTTTTGAAGAAGAATATTTTCAAGCACGGCACGTTGCTGCCACCCCAGGCCCTTTTTTTCCGAGGGGGCTACTACAAATGATCTATTCATTTCTTTTGCATCATCAATTTTCCCTATTTTCAAATATTTTCCCAGTTGGTTGCTTGATTTTGGTTGACTAATAGAGGCCCCCCCCATTCAACAACCAGCGGGATCAATGGGTAGGGGGAAACAACATCCACCCTCCGGTAATCAAACGTGACAGTGGGTCATTTCCTATATATGGAGTTTTTTATTTTTGGGAAACTTATCTATAAATAGGGGGGATTTTCCACCAAGCCACGTTTGATATCGTTTGATGACCGGAGGGTCATCATGGATCATCAATGACCATCACAGATTCCCCACCTTCTTGGTGGATCCCACGAACCAGGAGTTGACGGAGTCCCGTGCGGCGCGTTGCAGTTCGACCTCGCTGGGTGAACTGGCGCGGCTCATGCGCGGAGACCGATGTCGAGTGGAGCAGAGAATGGGGAGTTTCAGCAAGAAAACATGTGGATATCACAGGGGTATGGGGGATACTTATGATGTATGATGGTCATATAATAGTGATACAATATGATACAATGTGATGTATATATATATAATTACAATTAATTATATATATATATATACATTGGATAATATTACTCTTTAGGATTCTTACTACATATTCTCAATCATACCCAAGGGGGTTTCTCCGTGTCTACAGCATGCTGTTTTTTGCTCTGCCTTGATCTAGTATTGTGGGTAAACCAAGGCCATTTTTACCACCCATGACTGGGAATGGTTTAGACTATACCCATAAAAATGGTGATTTTCCTGGGGGATGGTGCGTTTCTGGCATAAAGTTTTACCCACATTCGGAGGCTTGTTGTGGTGACAAACCACATACGGTAGTGCAACACAAAGAATCGAGGCCAACCATTCCGCCACCAAGTCTGGTCGCATCCGTGGGCTTTGACAGCCTCACTAGATCAGATGGTACTACAAAGCGGGGGTTGTGAGTAGGTCATTCTCTACCGACTCCATGGTGCTTGTTGACCAGGGTTAGTCCCAAACTGGGTTCTCAAGTCATTCCACTTTCAAAGAATGGGTCTATTCTGGGTTTCACGACTTTCCCAAATCTCAATAGCCATTTCTGTGAGAGGGACTTCAATTCTTCATATCAACTTTTCGTTTTTGGACAAATCGATATCAATTATTCATTGCTTAGGTTCGTATGAAGTTCAATTCACCATCAAAAGGTGGCCACAAAAATCTTCCCCACTTCGATATGCCTTTTTCGCACTGAAACTGTGAGCCTTTCAGGCCTAGACTCAGAGGAGCCCTCAGCAAGGTGGAAGCAGAGCTGGCAAAGGCTGGTGGATGCCGAAGTGGGTAGCATCCCAGTGAATTATATAGTGATAAATTGTTTTTTTTCTATTTTTTTTTGAGGTACTATAGGGATAGGATATATATATATATATATATGCATACATACATATACACAGTGTATCACCATAACATGGATGGTGGTTTAAGCAACGGGTGGGTTTGAGCATGAGACAAAGGAGGCAAAGCAGCTGGTGTAGCTTGATACAACTGGAATCTTGTGCCATTTGGATGGGAAGATTTTCTGACCAACTAGAGATCCTTAGATCCTTTTTTTTTTTCCGTGGAACAACGCGAGATGGAGTTTGAAACCGGAGTTTGCAACAATTCGTAAGCCCAAAATCAAGGGCAATAGGATCTATAATTCAGTGGTGAAGTGGAAACAACCACTGGTGTTGGGTCGTTTTTTGGGACCCTGAACTCGAGGTCAAGAACACCCTGCAGAAGGCTCGAAGTTGGGAGGAATGCTTCGGTGTAGGATTGGCAGATGATGGATATCCGAACATCCCATCGGCGAATATTTTTCTGGGGGTGTGAAACCAACCAGTTAATTTCAGCAAATCCCAGTAGATCCCATTAAATCTCATTAAATCCCGAATCAAATCCCATTGAATCCCATTAAATCCCTGTAAATCCAAGTCATTTTATCCTACCCAGAATGCGTGGTGTCCGGATGTTGCCGCTACAGGTGCGCGCAGAAGCGGCACTCGCGAAGCAAAAGGCGGGGTTGAGATGTGGAAGTCTCATATTTGATGGTAAATTTACGATTCGAAGTTTCTAGAAGTATCAAAAGTTATTGGGTTTAACATGGTTTAACCATCTTTATAAAGATTGATTTATGGGTCAATTAACCATCATTTAAGACGGTTGATACCCTCTGGTAAACTAACATAACTATGAAAACTCACCATTTTTAATGGGAAAATCCACTATAAATGGCCATTTTCAATAGCTATGTTAGTTTACCAGAGGGTAGCATCAAGACATTGAGATTTCACCGTTGTCTTCACGGATCTTTCGAATGAAGGGTCAACAATTCAGGCCCCTGGGCATCTCTGTCTGAAGACCGGTGGCTTTTTTCGTCCCAAAAGCTGTGGTAATTTAACATAGCTATGGCAATTTGTAGTGGATTTACCCATTGATAACTATGGAAAATCACCATTATTAATGGGAACATCACCATTTATAGTGGAAAATCACCATTTTAATGGGAAAACTCACTATTTCTATGGTCATTTTCAATAGCTATGTTAGTTTACCAGAGGGTACTCTTTCGTACACAAACACGGCCATGGTCCAGACCGTGCAGATGATTGTTTCTTTCTAAATGCTGATCTTACTGGTGCTAAACGCAGGGAATTTTCGGGAATGATTCACAATCACTAGTAATAATCATCCTAGTCCCCCATTCCCATCCATTCCCTTTAAGCACCAGTGATTTTGTGATTTTCACATCTTAAAGTAATTACCGAGGATTTTTCTCGTTGAAATCACCACATTTTTATGTCGTCAAAGCCCAAGGTTTAGACATTATTTTTTCGGTCAGATCACAAAACAATTCCCATTTTTTTTCAGATTGAATCATGTTGAATCACCTTCGAACATCACTACACATAAATATGAACTATAATTTTTATGAAAATAGTGACATATCCCCATGTTTGAATCCCCATGTTTGTTTGAATCCCCATGTTTTTTCCCCACATCTTTGTGTGGGGTTCTTGTTTTTGATTCTGTATCCCGGGCTTCTCCTCCTCCTCCCGCCGCCTCCGTAACACAACACACACAAACTTAACATACAATAATTTCACACACACAAACTTAACAGACAATAACTTCACACACACAAACTTAACATACAATAATTTCACACACACAAACTTCACATACAATAATTTCACACACAAAAACTTAACACACACAAACTTAACACACACAAACTTAACAGACAATAACTTCACACACACAAACTTAACATACAATAATTTCACACACACAAACTTAACATACACAAACTTAACACACACAAACTTAACACACACAACAACACTTCACACACACAAACTTAACAGACAATAACTTCACACACACAAACTTAACACACACAAACTTAACAGACAATAACTTCACACACACAAACTTAATATACAATAATTTCACATACACAAACTTAACACACACAAACTTCACACACACAAACTTAACAGACAATAACTTCACACACACAAACTTAACATACAATAATTTCACACACACAAACTTCACATACAATAATTTCACACACACAAACTTAACATACGCAAACTTAACAGACAATCACTTCACACACACACACCGTCGTTTTGCGTGGCAGGCGTGGTACACATGGCACTGGGTGGCGCACTTGGTGACATCCACCCTCGTTTCACGTGGCAGGCGTGGCACAAAACTCGCATCCACCGTCGTTTTGCGTGGCAGGCGTGGCACTCATGGTACTGGGTGGCGCGCTTGGTCCGGATTTGTCGCCTGTGACGCCGCGGCACTTTGCGTGGCAGGCGTGGCACTTGGTGACATCCACCCTCGTTTCACGTGGCAGGCGTGGCACAAAACTCGCATCCACCGTCGTTTTGCGTGGCAGGCGTGGCACTCATGGTACTGGGTGGCGCGCTTGGTCCGGATTTGTCGCCTGTGACGCCGCGGCACTTTGCGTGGCAGGCGTGGCACTTGGTGACATCCACCTTCGTTTCACGTGGCAGGCGTGGCACAAACTCGCATCCACCGTCGTTTTGCGTGGCAGGCGTGGCACTCATGGTACTGGGTGGCGCGCTTGGTCCGGATTTGTCGCCTGTGACGCCGCGGCACTTTGCGTGGCAGGCGTGGCACTTGGTGACATCCACCCTCGTTTCACGTGGCAGGCGTGGCACAAACTCGCATCCACCGTCGTTTTGCGTGGCAGGCGTGGCACTCATGGTACTGGGTGGCGCGCTTGGTCCGGATTTGTCGCCTGTGACGCCGCGGCACTTTGCGTGGCAGGCGTGGCACTTGGTGACATCCACCTTCGTTTCACGTGGCAGGCGTGGCACAAAACTCGCATCCACCGTCGTTTCGTGGCAGGCGTGGCACTCATGGTACTGGGTGGCGCGCTTGGTCCGATTTGTCGCCTTGACGCCGCGGCACTTTGCGTGGCAGGCGTGGCACTTGGTGACATCCACCTCGTTTCACGTGGCAGGCGTGCACAAAACTCGCATCCACCGTCGTTTTGCGTGGCAGGCGTGGCACTCATGGTACTGGGTGGCGCGCTTGGTCCGGATTTGTCGCCTGTGACGCCGCGGCACTTTGCGTGGCAGGCGTGGCACTTGGTGACATCCACCCTCGTTTCACGTGGCAGGCGTGGCACAAAACTCGCATCCACCGTCGTTTTGCGTGGCAGGCGTGGCACTCATGGTACTGGGTGGCGCGCTTGGTCCGGATTTGTCGCCTGTGACGCCGCGGCACTTTGCGTGGCAGGCGTGGCACTTGGTGACATCCACCCTCGTTTCACGTGGCAGGCGTGGCACAAAACTCGCATCCACCGTCGTTTTGCGTGGCAGGCGTGGCACTCATGGTACTGGGTGGCGCGCTTGGTCCGGATTTGTCGCCTGTGACGCCGCGGCACTTTGCGTGGCAGGCGTGGCACTTGGTGACATCCACCTTCGTTTCACGTGGCAGGCGTGGCACAAACTCGCATCCACCGTCGTTTTGCGGGTGGCAGTCGCGTGGCACTCATGGCACTTGGTGACTGGGTGGCGGCGCACAAAACTTGTCGTCCGGATTTGGTCGCGCTTGGTCCGGATTTGTCGCCTGTGACGCCGCACTTTGCGTGGCAGGCGTGGCACTTGGTGACATCCACCTTCGTTTCACGTGGCAGGCGTGGCACAAACTCGCATCCACCGTCGTTTTGCGTGGCAGGCGTGGCACTCATGGTACTGGGTGGCGCGCTTGGTCCGGATTTGTCGCCTGTGACGCCGCGGCACTTTGCGTGGCAGGCGTGGCACTTGGTGACATCCACCTCGTTTCACGTGGCAGGCGTGGCACAAAACTCGCATCCACCGTCGTTTTGCGTGGCAGGCGTGGCACTCATGGTACTGGGTGGCGCGCTTGGTCCGGATTTGTCGCCTGTGACGCCGCGGCACTTTGCGTGGCAGGCGTGGCACTTGGTGACATCCACCTTCGTTTCACGTGGCAGGCGTGGCACAAACTCGCATCCACCGTCGTTTTGCGTGGCAGGCGTGGCACTCATGGTACTGGGTGGCGCGCTTGGTCCGGATTTGTCGCCTGTGACGCCGCGGCACTTTGCGTGGCAGGCGTGGCACTTGGTGACGTCCACCTTGATTACATGCAAGGTCGTTTTGCGTGGCAGGCGCCTCACTGATGGCACTTGGTGACATATTATACACCTTGATTTCACGTGGCACGCGGTGGGCACAATCTCACGTCCATGACGCCAGCAGTTGATCATGACTATTTACCAGGTATGATTACCAGCCACAGGGCATGCAGAAAGAGTTCGCAAAATTTGCGGCTTCGCCCGAAAGAGTGCAGAACATTACTTTGGTCAGCGGAAGTATGGAGAGCACACCATCGCTTTGATAGAGGGCTCTGCCATAAAAGCTCTTTCGGGAAGCAACGTCGGGGAAAAAACCATCAGAGCCTGGTGGAACTCGAAGAAGGCGAGTGAGACACGTCGTGAGACCTAGTGTTCAGCACACACCCTTGGATCCCACAAAGAATTTCCGTGGTAAGCATATCTTGTTTCTTTTCTGGCCTTCAGTGACAAGTCACTATCTAGTGGAAGAAACACCACCAGACGCGCAACTTTGTCACACACATACACATACATACATTCATACATACATACATACATACGTACGTATGTACATACAGACATACATACGTACATGCATACTATCTTTTCACATACTTTCACACACAGTCTTTCACCACCTCCTTTGTCTTTCCTTCCTTCTCCGACCCCGCTACAACCTTTGAAACTCATTATTGGAAGAAGTTGACTTGTGGGGTTATCCGGTCCTTTAATTCTGTTCCACATCCCCCATCTTTGTGGCCACACGGACCAGGCCGAAGCACTGGAATCGGCGGCGGAGGCGGAACAGCGGGACGTCACTTGGTGGATGATGGTGGATGATGGTGGATGATGGGAAGCCGACTCTACCACCACTGAAATATGGTAGATGAGCTACAGCCAAATATTGATGACAACCAAAATTTAGGTTAATGGAGACTACCACAACCAAAAGAGACTACCACAACCAAAGAGACTACCACAACCAAAATTTAGGTTAATGGAGATAATACACTCTTCAAAAATTGATGACTTGGAGCTGATTATTAGCAAATATTGACCGTGGCCCATATAATGTTAGATAATGGTATAACGTTATGGTGGATATGTTCTATAACATTATAAGGATAGAACGCCCAGATACTACTTCTGATATATAATGGTATAATGTGAATTAGAAGTATATGGTGGAATGGTATAATGTTCTACATAATCCGACTGTTCTATTGTGGATAATGTGAATTAGAACTATTCCGATATAGTATATACTGGTATAACAATGATGAGATAACATAAGATGAAATCATGGAGAACTATTAATTAGTAGGAGTACTATTCTCATAACAAATATCATAGGATAACTAGTATGGGTGGTTTATTATTTTCCCTCATATTATGATGAACTATGATGAAATAATGGAAACTATGAGCAGTAGGATTACTACTATCATCACAACTATCATCATAGGATTATATTTGAAATGATTGTGGGTTAGAAGAATATCGTAATGGCAATAGTAATCTGTAAATAGCAATGCTAGAACTATGTAGTGTTGATGTTGATGATGTTGATGATGTTGATGATGATGATGATGATGCCCATGATATTCAACATAATGGGAAGACATAATCCCGGTCGTTTTTTATTTATTTATTTATTTATTTATTAGGAGACGACAATCGTTTCTAATTATGGGATATGGATCTTTTATGGGGATATCATGAGAATATAATCCCATACAGGTATGTAATGCTATAGTTAAAATATGTTGAAATCACCAATCACTGAAGATGCTGCTAGAATTGGCTAAGTGCCTCGACAATTACAGCTGAGAGGTTATAACATCTCATAAGTTATAACATGTTATAACTTGATAACTCACTTTTCGAAGCTTGCAAAGAATACAGGTACTTGGATGTTGCCAGTTATTGCAAACACGGTTGCGGCTGTCATGGCTTGGACTCATACTGAATAGCCTTTTTAGGGTTTCGGGTTACGCCAGTGACTTCCCCCTGCTGAATCTCATTGGTTGTCAGGATCGATCCCTAAGTCTCTACGTAAAGGAGCACGAAAGACAGCCTGATCCGGTCAACATTCTCTTAGCGCAGTATCCTAGTGATCCTTAGCAGTTCAGGTATAGTAAAGACTCAGATTTCTTCCCAACGGCTCTCAACACTGATGTGGGGAAGCTGATCTTTCCACCTTAAGGTGTGTGCAGGACTCCTTCGATTTTTGTCTATCCAAACTTGAAAGAACTGTTCAGTGGCCCTTGCTGGTACAGGAAAGTCACGAAGAAATGTAGTAGTACAGGAGTCACTCTGAAAGTCCAACCAGAAGTACGCCACAAGCGGGCAGGAAATGCATGGTGCAAAAGGTATCAAAAAGTATTTTTCCAACTTACTGCAAAAATTAACACTCTCCCAGCTGTGTAGCATATACAAGTGACCACTAGAGGCATGAATCAAGGTGATCCAATGTGATTCAGTGGGTCAACTCGTCAAGACATGGTTACCCGGTTGCCCAAATATCTTGACGACAAAAAGTTGGGCGGAGTGGCTCCATTCGGACGCCTGAGAGCAAGCTGCCTGCACAATACTCGTAGGCATTGAGGATATTGAGGCCACTCTTCTGCGCAAATCGGATGCACATGATGCAAAGCTGGGACCGTCTATATATCTAGTCTAGTATGTCTAGTAACTAAGTCTGGATTTTCTGGATCATTTGTAGAGTGTCGTAGAGTACATGTATGCTGTATGGAATATCCCATTAAATCCCATTAAACCACCATTTTCCTATGGTTTTCCTATGGTTTTCCTATGGTTTTCCTATGGTTTTCCTAGATCTCACTATGGAATAGTTTACAACTCATAGCTCTTTGCCAAGGCCCGAGCCTTGCAAGCCGCGCTACCAGAGGCGAGATCAGTCGATTCTTCCCACCCAAAGCACCCATTCTGCCACCATCTTTTGGCCTTCACGGCCAATCTTACCTGTTTTTATATTAGTCTACATACATAACCATACATATTATATATATATAATTAAACAGCATTTGCTTGTTGATATAGTATAGTATAGTTATATATATATATATATATATATCTATTTATCTATCTATATATCTATATACATCTATATCTATATAAATCTATATCTATATAAATGCAATTAAATGCATATCTATCTTATATAACATAAAACCAGGCCATGGAAGTTGTGACTGGAGCCGAAGATGCCGTGGAGTCACCTGGCCGTGGAGATGGCGATCCGCCCATCTCTAGTTTTTGGGACTGGGACATATATGGGAAATATGCTGATTGTATGATACAAATATGGTGATTGTAAATATTATGTATAATAACACCATATACTAGTACGGGAAATATGACCATAGTTTTGATTACATGACAAGGTCATTTTGTGGTTATGTGGCAACTATGGTTATTATGGGCTTATTATGTGGCCAATATGGTGTTTTATGTTGATGAACTGTAGTTTGATGGGCTTTAACCAGCCATAACAATACGTTTGAGATTATTTTGGGTTGACATCACCAATTGACATGGATTGATTGGTGGTTAAGATATCTTGAAATAGTGCGCATAACTTGATGGAAAGAGGCAATGATGGTGAAACACAAGGCAAAAATAAGAAAGTCTTGTAGGCATCCAATCCTTAAAAGAGTGGCCAATCGAAAGTATATTTCAAGGCCTATTTCAAGGACCATTTCCATTTTCACAGAAATCATTTCCAGAGAAAGCGTGGCTTTTGTTTCCGCCAAGCCATGCCCAGCCATGCCAAGCCATGGACCAAGGACTGTGGCGATTTTGGCGGCCGCCATGAGTGCAGATGATGATGTGGATACCAGCGAAGCACACCAGGTGCAAGCCATCCAAGATATCGAGACGTCGGGCAATCCCAGAGATTTCCGGGAGTCGACCGAGAAAACATGGGGCAATCGTGATGCTAGTGGACCCCCATTGTGACGCAAAAATCACTGTTTCATGAAACAAAAATCACAGACCACGGGAAGCAATTTTTTTTAGGGAAGCAAAATTAATGTAGGTGATATTTTCAATAAACCGTACTACAGATGTATTTATCAGCGTCCATATCCCTGATATAGATATCATTTGACTGGTGAATGGCTGCTTGGCCCCTGCGACTGGTCGGAAAACCAATGTCTCTCTTCGTCTGAGGTCGGCGTCTAAAGCCTCCAACGACTTGATGGAGGCCGCGGTGGAACAGAAATTTAGGGCTGATGGGGATCAGTTATGTTACCCTTTGGTTATTTAACATAGCCATGGAAAATCACCATTTTTAAGAACGGTAAACCATCTATAAATGGGCCATTTTCCATGGCTATGTTAAATAGCCAGATGGTATTTTTTGTGAAAGTTTTTGTGAAGTTTTCTTAATGTTTGTTGATTTGTTTTTGGTTGCTTTTGGTTGGTTTTTGTTGTTTTTGGTTGTTTTGATTTGTTTTGGTTGGTTTCGATCGGTTTCGGTTGTTTTTGGTTGGTGTTGGTTGTTTTTGGTTGTTTTTGGTTGTTTTTGGTTGTTTTTGGTTGTTTTTGGTTGTTTTTGGTTGTTTTTGGTTGTTTTTGGTTGTTTTTGGTTGTTTTTGGTTGTTTTTGGTTGTTTTTGTTTTTGTTTTTGGTTGTGGTTGTTGATGGTGATGATGATGATGATGATGATGATGATGGCGGCCACGACAAGGCACACTGGCAACCACCGCTATTATGGATGATAGGAAGCACACGAGTAGTTGCATCCCTCTAGGGGAATATCTTGAAGGCGCCTGAGTTCAGTGCAACCATGGTCTTTTGGGTGAAATTGGTATGGAATATCTGCGCGCTTTGTCAGTTTGAAGCTCACTCCACTTGGTTTCCCCATTTCGCAGGTCCTACTTTTAGAATCCCCAAACATTTTCCACTCCACTCCATGAACAGCTGAATCAAGTTTGCCACGCCCCGCGCTCTGCGCGCCCAACACCCACTCCCCCTTTCGAGGCTCGGAAGTTAGTGTCCAACCGGGTGAGAGATTGCAAGAAATATGCTCCAGAAGCCAGGAAGGTTGCGACCCAGGAGTTCGAGGCCCTTTGGATGGCAAACCCCGTTCAGAAATTCAGAAAAAAAACAACTTAAAAGACACGGAATCAGTTCCGATCATTTGGGGATACCATCTGGTTATTTAACATAGCCATGGAAAATCACCATTTTTAATGGGTAAACCATCTATAAATGGGCCATTTTCCGTGGCTATGTTAAATAACCAGATGGTATTTCTTGGAGATTTTCTATGGGATTTCTATGGGTTTCTGTTGGATTTCTATGGCCGTTTCAGATCATTTTTTCAAAATCAGGCCATGGAGAAACGCTTGGCCGAAGCCACCAAGAGGCTGGCGCCCCTCAGGAAGTTCCGCCAGGCAGGATCTTTTGGAGGATTCAATGGGAATTTATGGTGGTTTTTCATGGGATCTTTCATGGATTTTTCATGGGATATACCAGAAAACTATGGAAAACTACCCAGATCCCATGAAAAATTATCAGAATTTATGGATATACCCTCTGGTAAACTGTTACATAACGAACTGGAAAGATCCACCATGCTATTTTCATTGGTAAATAAATCTACTATGATTCAATGGCCATTTTCAATGTCGTGAACTGTTTGTCACTGTTTGTCATTACCAGAGGGTATGGTACCATTGTTTTCAGGGGAACATCCATAGATCCCAGCTAGGCTGGTGAAAAGCATTGATTTCCGCCAGGAGTTTGAGCAGAAAATCGCAGCCAAGAAGGCTCTTCAAGAGATCCAAAACAAGCTCAACAGCGCGGATGCTCAGCGATCTGTGATGTTTAACAGGAGGCAAAACAATACCAACTGCACATCAGCATTTTGCGGTATTTTGCCAACTAGTGAATGCCATCCCTAATTTCTGGGTCGAAAAGAGATATGGCTTTAATTAGTGACTGTGAAACGTCGTGAAACGTCGTGAAACTGGTGACCTCGGTGAAATCTTCAGCGGATGGATGAAAGCATTACCTTTACCCATCTCATGTGTTAGAAAATGGGTACGGTATGGGTCAATTCATTGGGTACTTCCAAAATTGCATGATCTTAAATCTTGAGGTCCCAAAATTGTCAACATGGACTATATGTTGATTAACATACTAATATATATATATAGAATATATAATATATAATATACATATACACTTTCAGATAGCATGATCCTAAGAAAATAGATTCTTTAACTATATAGAGTTTTATTTTTCTTCGATACTTAAAGTCATTGTTTAGATCATGAAGCAATATACATATAAACAAGGACTTTTTTCAGGTCCAGATATCATGACCTTCGTCCGTGCCCAGTCCGCCGACAGGTGCGGAGTTGGAGATTGAAAAGGCCTGGGGCAGTGGGGTGGACTGAATGAAAATCGGTCGTTGAAATGGTTCAAGGTGGGCCATAACTTCAATTTCACTAGGGGTTATGGTAGATTGGAATATCTAATACCAAACCCATTCCAATTTCACTATAAACAAGGTGTCAATTATGGTAGATATATCTATAGTCACTATGATTGGTATTCCAACAAACATAACCGGGGGAGCACCACCTTGTTTGGACCTTTTCCATCCTTTTCTGAAGTTTAGAATCCTTGAGGACTGGATATTGGTCAAAGGTATCAACCCCAGATGAAGGGTTTCATACTAAAACAACCTGTCCGACCAGTAAGTTTCAATGGACGTTTTTTTTGTTTTTTTTTGGGGAAAAAATATGGCACCGGTAACCGGTAACCTCCATGGTTTTCATTGGAAAATCCCCATGGCTTCCCATGGCTTCCTGGGCCACAGCCTCTCCAGGCCCACATCATGACATCGTCCACTGACACGCAGATGGAGCAGGCGATTCGGCGATGCGATGGCATGACCATCACCAGGCTTGAGGTGTTACGTGTATATAGTATAACCTTTAAATAATGTAAATTATATGACATATATATATATAATATATATATAATAAGACGAATATAAGATGTATCAAAATCTTTAATTATATTAAAATTATGTATATATATAGATACACAACTATAGTAATTGTGTATATATATACAACAAAAAATAATGGCAACAAACATATTACTATATATGTATGCAGTAATATGTAATATATGATATATGTAACAGATATGTGCACATCATTGCATATCTGTATCTCTAGAAAATTACATAGATTACATTACATGCACACACACACATATATATATATATATTATATACACATTTTTCTTGGCTAGTTCAGTTTACCACATTTTCAACCTTGGCTTCCTGGGCTCGAGCTGCCAAAAGTTGACGTTGTGATCGATGGCTTAGCTGCCCTTAGCTGTTTGCCGTCATGGCTTGGCAATGGCTTTGCTGGTTGAGTCTGGTAGCGGCACAACGTCCCATCTGTCAGATGTCAGATGCCTTTGCAGCATCAGTTGATATGCATCTGTCAGATTGGGATAGTCAAATCGACTTTGCTCTCAACGAATCTCTGAATTGTTCGGATTTTCTGGAGTATGTCTACCTCTCCAGAGATCGGATTCGAGCACAGTTGGACTACGTCGCCGAAAAATGTGCTGAAGTTTTGTGTTCTTCCAACTTCTTCCAATTTCCCTGTTGGTATGTCCACCATTGAGGAATCTACCGCGACTTTTTGAAAAATACATTTGACAACCCAGCAGAAATTGGGAATCTACCATGATTCTTGAGGTCTTGACCCATAAATTAAAGCTTCACCATCCCAGAAATGGAGGTAAACTTTGGGTTCCAGCTTTTACTGTAGATAGATTCGATACATATTATTCTTATTATTGTTAAGTACAGTATACATAAATTCTATATATAAAATCATATATTTATACACTATATATGTATATATATGATACATGTACTTTAAATGGCCCCTTACAACATATATCCAACTTTGCTTCGCCTCCAACTTCCGCCTGCAAGCTCCAGCAAGGTCCGGGGCAACTTCAGCGCGGAAGACGAAGCCTTCCGCCTGCAGGGTGCCGTCGGTGGCTCTTCGGCCTGGGCCATGACGCACATGTCGCAGGCCGCCTCGCTGTTGTCGGCGCACATCCACATCCATGGCATTTTGTCAGGCGGGGGATATCTGTGATGGGGAGATTTTCTGAGTTTGTTGATGGATTTTGTGATTTGATAAAAAATTGTTTGGGGAATATCACAATCCGATTGACATTTTCGATAAATTTGGAATTTGAATCTTCACTGGAATATCCTGGAATATTGTTATTATTGCTACTCTTATTTTGTCAGGAGCTCTGCTCAGATGGCTTGAAGCTGTTTTTTAGCTAATGATTGGGAGATGATCTTGTTGACGAGTTACTAATATAATATATACTGGTTGGTGGTTTGGAACATGACTTTTATGACTTTCCCATCATATTGGGAATGTCATCATCCCAACTGTTACTCACTCCATGATTTTTCTGAGGGGTAGGTATACCACCAACCAGTATATGTATATACATGATTACCCTCTGGTAATTTAACATAGCTATGGAAAATCAGAATTTTTAATGGGAAAATCCACTATTAATGGTCATTTTCAATAGCTATTTTGACATAACCAGAGGGTATACTACCTTATATACTGGGGATTCACCAACCAATGGAATGAGGGATTCACCGAACACTGCTCAGTAACGAATCCCCAGAGGTGCTCGCCCGGAGTGTTTGAACGAACACCTGCAGCTGCTGTTCCTGATGAGTCTGCGACGCATGAAGCATCTCCTGCACTCGCAGCTGCGACATCTCTGGTTGGTTTTCCAGGGAACAGCTGAGTTGGTGAGGCACATTGCAAATGGGGCTTTCCATAGTCATGGGGGTACCCCTTTATCGCTGGATGGTTAGTGGATGAGAACTGGGGGTAGCCCTATTTTAGGAAACTACCAAATGATGTTTGTTCGTTTATATACCATGGCAACCACTTTTATAATCTTTTATAGATAGATACATCTACCATAGACCCAGGTAGAGTGGAGTTATAATAAAGCAACTTAGCTGTGTATGATCATGAGGATAAAACCACCAATCAGCAGGGGTTATGAAGGGCTTATTAACCACCAACAACCACTAGCAAGGGCTTATCAGCCGTCTATTCTTGGAGGGTCCGCTGAATCACAGAACTTGCTTCAAAAATAAGTTGTGGTGTTCCCTTACTATGTGAGAGATCATCAAGAATGACTTCAAGGGTTGTTGGTTCCTAAGTTTTCAACCCTTCAACTCAACACTTTGTTGCTTCCTATCCAGTTCTTGAATATTTCGGCTTCTTGGGAACCGCTGGGTCGTCAGGCAGGGAGCTGGGAAGTGGCTGGCAGAGGTAGTGGACCTCTTTGAAGCCGACATCCGAACCTACGAATCCATCATGGTCAACTGGCGGTCCAAAGAGGAGATCGAGGCCCGAGAGAAGCCCGACCGATGGTGTTTTTCGTTGGGGAGAGAAACGATGGGCCACTGACTGAGTTGGGTCGGTCAACTGATTTCAGATGAGAGAAACTCATGGAGACGGGCTTGATTTTGGCCCGCAAATTCTTTGGTTGCCCCCATGGTCGGCTTTTGTCATCTCGAATCGAAGTGTTTTGCAGATGAAAGATATTGCCACCTCGCTCCCATTCCCCCAAAAACGATCCTAGTTATAAATCAATATGGAAATCTATATTTAGCCTCGCCATGATCAAAATCCCAAGTCAGATCATAGTTTGATTCCTTTTCGACCCCCATTTGGCCCCAAAATCCACATCCAAATCCTCCAAATCCCCAAAAAACATCCTTCAAGACTCCATTTCAAGAATTCTTCACCTCAGGATATCCTCAGAATCTCCCAGAGTCCCAGATAGTCGCAGACTCCCACGGCATTTCCCAACCCTTTTCTTCACCTCGGCCGTGGCTAGGCCAACAGCACGGGCGCGGTGCCGCTGCGGCCGGGCCCACCGCTGCCGCGCTTCGAGGCCTTCGAGGCCGATGGCTTGGCGTTGAGCACCATGGAGGTACTGAGACGCGACACCTTCGAGGAGTGGCAGGTGCCAAGATCCAAGGGCCGGATGGAACATGGATGGAACATGATGAAACCATGGTGAATCTATGACTGAAACTGAAACTTAGGGCTTTCCGGCAAGAATTGGGGGATTTTTGATGATTTTTCTAGATTTAGGGAGATGTTGGGGGGTTTCCGGCAAGAATGGGAGTTTTTTTTTTGAGGGATATTAAAGGGAGATAGGGTGAACTAGATATACAAGGTACCAGGACGTAGGTATCCCTAATAATATTGGAACTGGGTCATGGGTATGGTTCTTACAGAGTTAATCTGGAGTTCATATACCCTTACATCCCCATCTTCGGTTAGTAAAACTAATCATTCTTGGTGGGTGAAATAGCCATCTACAGCTGCGATCAGTGGCATGTTACTTTGTTTTGGGTGGTAAGCCCCCATATCTTCTTGCAAAAACTCGCCGCTGATGGCTAAACCCAATATTGTGAAGTTTTTACAAGCTGGTGACCCCAAATTTCAAGTTGATAAATCCCATGAACCATGTCAAGAAATCCACCACAAACCATAGTTAACCATGAACCTAATTATTCCCACCTTGGTTTTCATGAATCCACTATGTATCCCCATAATAACTTTCTTCTTTAAATCCATATGTTTGTCACTACAAATCCACTAGAAATCCTGATTTTTGCTGCAAAAAAATGGTGATTTTTGGTCGATTTTTCACGCCATTCCTTGGACCCTTGGAGGTTCCCAAGCCCTTACTGCGTGCCTTGCTGCGCTATGTCCTGCCCCGCGACAGCCTTGTGGCGGACTTCTGCGCCGGCGCGGGGCAGGGCGCGACCTTTCTGAACGACACGGGCTTGGTGAAGGCCTTCGCCTTTGATGCCTCGACCAACATCAAGCTGTTGAGCAAAAACGTGGTGGACACTTGGCCTATTTTTTTTGGGATGTATATATATATAATTATATAATTACATATATATATATTATATTATATATTATATATATTATATATTATATATATTATATATATTATATTATATATAGATATATCTATACTAATATGGTGTTGAGCTAATTAAAACGAGAATGCTCGGCACCATAGTGCTTTTTCTGAGCATTGAGCATGCAGGAGTCACAGACTCGAGCTGGTGTGGAATAAATAATAAAATGGTCTATGAATCGGATATGATGTGGGATAGTTAATTAACTATAAGCAAAAATGTGGAGACTTGGGCGTACAACTGGTAGCTGCTGGCTACCAATTCGGTCAAGTGCAATGCCATGACTGATCCAGTGCTATTAACCCTGGACTGGATGATCAGATTTTCTTGACATTTTGGGAATAGAATCAACAGAGAGGGTTTTTCAAGTTCTATTTCCATGGAGTTGGCAATTCCATTGGCTAATCCTTGTTGTTTTCCCAAATGATTACTGTAATCGCCCTTACTATATTGGAATCAAAGAAAGCACTCTTCATCACAAATCCCACTTTTTGCACTTTCCCAATCCATCAACTGGCTTCAATCTCCCCATGTTTTTTCTACTTCCTGGGACCTTTTTATGGAGTCCAACAGCTCTTAGCTTTTTAAGGAACCGCTGCGGATCTACAGCGAAGAGGTGAGGTTATGGACGAGTTTTGATGTGACCATCTGCCTGAAGGACTTTGGGAGCCCAAAACTCTGGACGCAGGTCTGGCAAAACATCGAGGCCCCGTGGAAAGGGGGGGATGGCAATCAGATCATGAGATGTGGGATATCATGGGATATGAATGGGATATGAGTGGGGGAAGGCTCAACCATTTCCAGCAAATCTTTTGGGTTTAACCAACCAACTACTTGTTGTTGGAAAATCAGTTGGCTACATATTTGGGGAACCCCGAAAAATCTGTGAGCGCATTGCAGCTGATGGGGTTCATTCTCCCAATCTCAATTTTTCCTGGGTTACACCCCCAATTTCGATGGGTTCAATCCTAGTTTTTGGCGGTTCGATCCCAGTTTTTCTTGGTTTAAACCCCATTTTCTTTGGCCACCAGAAATTGCTTTGGCCAACCCCACCTCTGGGAAGGTCAGCACCAAGCGCATTGCGGTGCTGAACTGCGGCAAGGAGCCGGCTGTTCGCCAAGAAGCGATGACACAGGCGGCCACTCACGCGCCGGCCTTGGCGTATGATGAGCAGCTCAGTGCACAATTCGCGGAGCTCTTAGATGGGATTTGCATCTTCTGGCGCAAACCGCTGGCTTCGTAAAAATTTGGGTGAAGCTTGGGGGGGCAATTTTAGTGGCTTTTAAGTGGAAGATCTTGTTATAGTGAATGTTTGGAAGGACCATTACAGCAGGAAGTGGATGGGGCACCTTCCAATGATGAGTAATTGGCCGCAACAAGACTCTTGCGTTTGAGTACACCCAGTTTCAGTGAAGCCTACCTTATTTGTTGCTGGAAACATCTTCAAAATCCAACATTTGTCATATGGTTCCAAGAGATCTCTAGACAGTCCACTTGTATTTGGGTAAAACATCCAATCCAATAATTTATCTCTACAAACCTTGACAGGAAGCCTCATCCGCCGCCGGCCAGGATGATATTACTTCCACTTCGCAACTGCTGGGCCCCGCCGAGGTCGGGGAAACTGTTTCCGGTGTGCTGATTTTTCCTCGTTTTTTTTTAAACATTCGAAATCATCCAAAATCATCCAAAGTGCTCGAAAGTCAGTGGTTCCCCAACCTCCCAACAGACAATCTTGTAGGAATTGGAACCACAGCATAGGGATAGATGTTTTTGTGAGACTTTTTTCGTGGCTGAAACAGCTGGCCTGGGGTTCTCCAGAATCTCTAGATCCATTTGGTCAAGTTTCGAAACTCCTCAGACAAGAAATCGCATCCTCCATATATTTTTTAAAGCTAAACATGCATACTCCTACATTTTGTATCACATCCCAAATTGCGGATATTTCCTGAAATCATGTTGTGAGCTAAGACATATATATATATAAATACTGTACATATATACACAGAAACATCAAGTTGTTGGCCAGCCGAAAACGCCACCCAAATCCTTGCTGGTGCTAAACGTAGGCAATCAGGAATGGGGCAATCAGATGATTGTGAAAATGGATAGTTATGGATTGGATCTCACAACAATCATGCCATTCCCATCCATTCCCATCCATTCCCATCCATTCCCTACGCCCCTAGCAGCCCTAGCAGCGCCCCAAGCCTCGCAGTCACATCCCCAGGAGGATCTGCAGAAAACCTGGACCTTGATCCACCAGCGTCAGCCTATCCAGGATGCGGCCGCACAGAAGGAGCTGGAGGTGCCATGATATCCATGATGGATTGCCATGAAAAAGTTGGGCGTTCCAGCCATGGTTTTAAAGATCAAAGCCTGGGATGGAAATGGGGGGTTGGTACTGTTGGTACCTCGAAATTCTGGACCCCGCGACAGAAACATGATCAACATGTCAAGCTGTGGTTTCATCCATGGGATGGAAAAACAGCCAAGTCAGGATGGGTATGGCTTGAAGGATCTAGAATGAAAAACAGCTATGCCATGGGCATATCGTGTTTGGGAACTTAGACCCTGTCTCCTTAGGTCTAAGTGTAGTATATTATGGGTCGAAGTGTAGTTTTGTCCACTGTGTGGACTCACCCTGGTATCCCCCATGTTCATTCTGTCACCACCCACATTTTTTCATGGTGAAGCCACCATTTTGAATTTTTGGCTCAACTTTTTTCATTTTTGGCGATGTCGATTGAAGTCCCATTTTCCGTTGAAGTCAACCCTTGGGAAAACCACCATCTCCAGGCCATGAAGAAGCGCGTGACGGAAGCCCGCGAGAAGTTGAAGAGCATCCGTGCTTTTGCTCCAGCGCTGGTGATTATTGGATCGACTTTTCGGGATTAGTATGATATTATATATATATGTATATATATATACATACATATACATACATATACAGAACCACATTTTGTATGGATGATGTCAAGTAATAACTAGTAATAGTAGACAATACAACTAGATTTTGATGTACAACATTGGATGATGCTCCCCAATGACTAATACTATGAAGTGGGCGGCTAGAAACCACCAAGCAGTTTCGTAGCATGATGCGATGTTGATGGATCTGATCCTTTGACTTAGTCGATTGCTTCGACTTTCCTGGGAAAATGCATGTTAAGTCACTCATCGTTCTCATAGGCCATGTTTGAGAACATGTTTGGCTCCCCAAAAAAATAACAATGATCAAGCCCCTCCCTGTGAAAGTTACTTTTTGTTGATTTTGAATTGGTCTTGTTTCGACTTGATGGATTGCGTTACTTATATATAGATTGGTCATTATGTTGGTTTATATTGTTGGGCAATGTGAATAACATGGTCACTAGTATGGTTCTGTTTCCAACTACCCGTTTGTGGAATAGCTCCGTAGCACAATTGGTGGTCCCCACGGGAAGATGGATGGCAGTGGTTCCAGAGGCTACTCCAACGATGGCTACTCCAGTTCAAGTGGTTCTTTCCACGCTTCCAATCCTTCATAGATGAAGCATTCCTCAACAATTATATACCACCCAGAAACCCATAATGCATGGTTTCATGATTTCACAATCTAAACACGACCAATTTTGTGCGTCCATCAAGGTACCCCATTTGTTTGGAAGCCATAGCCACTTATCATACCATCCGATATTTTTCAAATCTCATGATTACATCCCATATTGATCTTCGTATCAATTGATTGGTGATTAATGACATGGGATTAATCATCCCTATCAGTGATCAATTACATCATTACATCCATGTCCATTTACATTCATTCTCCACTTATCATTGATCCATTCTGGTTTATCATATGGGTAGCCATACTGGTCGGTGGTTTGGAACCATGGATTTTTATGACTTTCCATGTATTGGGAATGTCATCATCCCAACTGACTCATATTTTTCAGAGGGGTAGGTCAACCACCAGCCAGCCAGCAATTCATCATCGAATCCCATGGGATGGAAGCCGAGATTTGATCCCAGGTGATGTCCTGAAACGTCAGGAGGAGACGTTGCAGGTGGATGGCACACTGGCCCAGGCCGCTGGGTTTGCCCCGGGAGAAGGCATGGTTCACTTTGGTCACTTTAGTTTTGGTCATAGCAAAAATGCTGCAATTGTTTGGGATCTAGCTAGTTTAGGCTTAGCTTGTTGTGATTTAGGCTTGGTGACTTGATATGACCATTTTTCCAGATGGATATGGATATTGTTGGACGGCCAAAGGATCCAGCGGGGTTCGAATTTGGAACCAACAACATCGCGGGTGTGAAGCAGTGAACATGGATTTCTGGAGCGGAAAGGTGCATTTCACAGGAACAGGGAGGTATGGCTGACACCAGTGGATGTATAACTACAGCAAATGGTGGTTTCCGATGTTTTTCCCGCAGCATCCTCAATTTCGTGCTGTTTTTTTTTTCAGCTGCTTTTGATAATCCACACTTTTGCCTTGGCTGGGCTATTCCTAGAGTGGGGCGACGCGCCCTTAACCTATCTATGGCACTGGCTCAATAGCATTTGACCACAAAATTGGATGATCTGAATCTGATAAATCTGATGATGTGGTGGTCTTTGGATGCCAACATATGGGGGGGTTCTTAAGTCATGGGGGATCCCCACGTCACCATGGCACCTGATGGCACCTTTGCAAGCCAGCCTTGGCTGTATCGGTACCACCGTCACACGACGTATGGATATTGTTAGCATCACCTCGATTCGTGATAGAGATTCCACACAATAGTAAGTCATGATTTACCCTCTGGTAAACTAACATAGCTATGGAAGATCCCTCATAAATGGAGGTTTTAATGGGAAAATCCACTATTAATGGCCATTTTCAATAGCTACGTTAAATTACCAGAGGGTATCATTACTTTTTTTCCCTAAAATGTAATGAACAGTGTTCAAAACCCGGTCTTGGTTGATTGTAGGGGGTTGTGCTACCGAATATCTTGGGAATTGTCATAATCCGGCAGGTGCATGAAAAGATTGAACACGCTGAAGAGGTGGGGCGGAAAAAACGGTCATTCAGTGATTCTGCACCCCAGCACTTGCAGCCTGCCACCAAAGAGAGAGGAGCAAGCGACATTCCAGAAGATATGATGGGACTTAACCATCAAAAGTGTTTTAACAAGGAAATATATGGGATATAGTTGATAAATGGTTGTTAGTCGATGCTCATTATCTTTTGTGGGAATCTAGCGGTCACATTGTAGATATAATGGGACTTTTTTTCGTTTCCACTGAAAACAAGTTGTAATTGCATAAAGTATTGATCCCCTTCAGTCGGCACTTAAATCATATCTCTGCCGATGGTGTAGCTCTAGATTTAATGATCACATTGAAGCTATATCTATGATATCTATGAGCAAAGAGCTTTGTTCGCTTCATTCGTGGCCTTGGTGATTTGGGCTCGGCTTCAGATTCCACCGAAGATTCCATCAGCGCCAACTCAGCTGTTGCTGAAAATTCCATCGAAATATCTCCATGGACAGTGCAGAGGTCGGTTGATTTTTGTATGATTTTTGTCATCTTCAGAAATGCTTGATTTCCTTCTCCATGGCTATTCTATCATCAGCCATGAAATTCACAACCCGATAACATCATGAAATACCTGCCGCTTTAGACGATGGTTCTCTTTTCTGGTGCTTTCAACTGCTAGTGTGTTTTCATGGTTAGACTACCACGATGGAACAAAGATGATATGATATTCTATTTTACTAATCACTGCCCCCCAAGTATCCGATAGCCACCAATCGAAAGCCTGGTTTAGTATTGGATCCATGAAATGGGGTTCCTGATCCCTTTACATTAGGACGGGATTGTCATAAACACAACATTTGGGTTTTCAAGATCATACAAATTATTTCCCCATGGAAAAGGGTGAATATTTTATGTGTACCAGCCATACAGTATCTTGCTTTGACAGATGGATTGCTTTTTTCAATATCATAATGATTCATCAGCAAGCACGGCAGGCCTTCCTTGCAACCTCCGAAGCAGAGATGCTGGGGACCAAAAAGGGTCTGCAAGTTATAATGATGTACAATGATGACATATGATGACGATGGTCACAAGTTGGAGTTTTCTTTTTTTCTTTCCATAGAAGGGGATGGTCATGCCCCAATGAACATAGGGGATCCTGGGAACATCCTCTGGGAACCCCTGGGAATGAGTAAGAGTTTGCTATTAAAAATGGCTAGTTATAGCTATGGGTCTATGTTTGTTTTCCGAAATCGATGCTTCAGGGTCTATTTCTTTTTTCCAGAGTACCTATCAAAAATGGAGATTTTCCATAGCTACGTTAGTTTACCAGAGTGTAATATGGCTTGAAACCATTCCAAAAGCGCTTGAGAAGTCTCACACATTGCCCAGTTTGGCGATCGTGGCAAACCAAATCAACCAAGACTTTGGTGAACGTTGATGAACATCCTAGCAGCACAATGATCTTTTATTCCCAGGGGTCCCACGAAGAGACATATTTTGTAGGAGTTTTGAACACGTCTAAACCAGGAGACATGCGATTTTAGTCAGGAAAACCGGAAGTCAAAATCGACGCTTGGTGAGGAGAGACACACGCAGCACGTCCCGCTAAAAATAGAGCTGTCTGCAGCAAATCGGCATTAGTCGAAGCGACTTGAAGACCAACAAACGCAAGATATAGCTATAGAAAGTGGCCCATTGATATGTGTTTTACTCATTCACAACGGTGATTTTCTGCAAAACAAATTACCAGAGGGTAAGTGCCAAATCCAAATACCCAGGCCTTTCTTGAAAGGTTTGGAGGTGCGGAGCGGGCAGTGGGGACCGGCTTTGTGGTTCCCCATCATCCTGTTTTTCCTGCCATGATGAATGATCGTTTTCTGAGTTTTCAATATGATCGATCCCAGAGAATATACGGTATAATTCGTATTCAAGTATTCTTTTGAATATGATAGTATAATAGTACATTCAATGATTACTTCAATATGATGATACTTGAATATAGTACAATAATTAGTATTCAAGTATCATCATTTTTTTGGGCGATAGAATTGTTTTTACCCCTCTGAACTTCGATAAGAAATGATAAGAACGCCAGGGGCATGGCGCAGTGTCGGTGTTGCCATCAGTTGGGAGTTGAGCCCCGAAATGTGGCCATTTTTGATACTCAATATATCTCAATATACATGGATCACTTTCAGGACTCAGTTTACTTATGTCTATAATTGCTTTTCCATGTGCAAAATCAGGCAGATCAGTTCGAAGATTTCCCTTTCCAACTAAGAGGCTTACCAAGTGAACCCATCGATTTTGCCAAGGACATGACTGACTGGACATTCCCCATCAAATGATGGAATTCTATCAACATCCATCCTAAAAATCAAAAGTTCGATTCTGAAAACTGCCAATTTTGAGTGGAAGGCAATCTTCCAACCCCTGACTCATAGCAAGGTCGTCTTGGTTGGGGGGAATCTCCGACAGGTTCTGCCCGTGGAGGAAGGCATACAGGCCGTGGCCCAGTGTGAGGCGGGGCACCTGAAGTCTGGCTACACCTTGGTACCTGAAAAAAGCAAGGAAAAGGCCATGAAATTTGATGACAATGATATACAATGACGATCTCCCCATATGAATGGCTGATGATTTTGGGACAAAGCCTTCTAGGAGGCTTAAGGCGGCTTAAGGTAGGTGAATTCCTTGTGATCTTCTGCTCTTTTGGAGGAAAAATGGACCTGACCAGCTCGAAACATGCCCTTGATAGGCGGGAAAACCAACCTTTCAGCAGGACATTTCCCGACAGCAGTACGACCCCAGGCGGCCATCAAAAAGTGCGAAGCGGCGCTGGAATCTGCGAGGTGCCGATGTAACTTGGGACGCCGGATCGACGGGAGACGTCGGGAAGGGGTCACATCCGTCCAGGGAAAATCTCTCTAATTCCACCATGGGGAAAAAACCAGATCGTCGCCCGCTTCAGACACCAAAAAAACACGATTCAGACACCAAAATGTACGATCATGGATAAAAAACCATGAAAAACCATGGTTTCCAGTTGAAAAATCTTCCCATCCAATCCATTGACCACTGAAGGAACTATATCAAGAAGGTCGAAGCGGACTCCAAGACGAAGTTCTCCAAAGAGGCAGCAGAAATTTCGGCGACAGCCGTGGGGCTTCATCAAGCAAGCAGCTATATATCTCCCATTGTACATTCTGTTAATGATAATATATCGTATTATATACATATATTATTAAGTATATTGTAATTTAATATGTATATATATATATCATAATCATATATAGATTATATATATATATATATCCTACATTCTATCTGCAATATTATATCATTGAGCTATATCAACTATAGAACTATAAATATAATTAACTATGGTTAACTAGAGGTATTAAACCCAATTCTATCCCCATGAACCGGAGCTCAGGCGCTTCAGCACCTCATGGGCGAGCTCACGAAGTGGGTCTCTGAGATACCGTTGGGGAAAGCTTTTTTTTTGCAGATGATGACGAACAAAACATGGGTCATTAAATGTCCCCATTGAACATCACCCAACCATTAGGTATATGGTCTATAATGGCTACTATAAGGTGATGTCCAATATACCCAAAATGGGACAGTTACCAACCCCTGCAAAATGGGGAGATATCAAAACCCTCTCAGAATCGGGATTTAAGCAATATATATATATACATGTACGAAGATTTTGTGTTTGACCATCCAAAGTTGTGACTTAAAACAACAACCATTGTGGTTTTAACAAAGATGGTGGGGTTTCACCACAAACACCAGGGGATTTCATCCGCTGAGAAGGGATCGAGATCCAGTGGTTGGAACCATTGGCTGCTTATCTGCGCAGGTCAGTAGGTTCATGGCTTTGTTTGAACATAGGGTCTCCCCAAATCCAGGTATTCCATCCAATATCCCAATTATAAATCCATTGTATCACAATAAAAATAGATATTAAAACAATTTTAAACAGATATCGTTTATGTATCATTACTCTGTCCCTGGTAGATCTGGTAGCTGGTTTTTTAAAGCCCAAAATCTTGCTGTTCATCCTGGCGATTCCAACGGTGTTCCGAACCATGGCTATGGGTCACAATTGGCCCTTGAACAATATATATATATATGTGATATTGTTTACAATATAATATGGTCCCCCAAGCTGATTCAATATGGTGTATATATATATATAATGTAGACACAATATATATTCAATACAATAAAGACTATACTACAGTAAATGACTATACCCTCAGCTAATCAAACGTGGCAATGAATGAAAATCCACCACTTTACAGAAGAAGTTCCCAGCGATAAACCTCCATTGATCTATAGGGGATTTGCCAGCCATGTTTAGATTACCTCCGTACCTAAGCAATTGTAGGATTAGTCGCCATGGTCTCACTATCTTTATTCCCAGCCATTGTTTTCAACCCATACAATGCCTATTAAAAACAGTATATATACATATATATATATATAATTATGTATATATATATATATGTATATACAACAATGCCATTCTATATATATATGTATATTGTTCCCAACCATTGGTGCCAGCTACTACCAACTTGACCCCATCTCCCCGGCTTCGTAGCTTCCAGGTGTCGGCAGCGAGGCGAAGACACTGAGAAGAAACTCATAGCCTTCAGGACGACGTCCCTGGTTGAAAACTCTCCCAATTTATAGCCGAACTTTTCAGGTTCGTGATTTTGGTGTATTTTTCCGGAATATAATGTACATATATATATATATATATACATACACAGTACATATATATATATATACAGATATACAATTATATCTACGTGCAACGTGGGGAGATTCTCTAAGCAGAAACATAGGGGAGTCAATGGATTTCAGTTGCCAATCTTCTTGAGCCGCGCAGGAAAGAGACGCGGCAAAGAAAGGCTAAGGGAATGGTCCAAGAAGTCAACGAGAAAGTGGTGGCCCATGCCATGTCTTGGCGGCGAAGAACCATCGATGCCATAGGAAGATTTTCGGAAAACAAGACGCACATGGCAATCAAAAGCCCAGGTTTAGTGAACGAATCCACTGTGAATGCAGGATTCTCCATCGCAAATTTTATTTGTTTACCAGCGAGTTTCAGCATTTCTACATCAGTCCTAGGGTCACTAGCCTTATCCTGAATATTTTTATAGCGACCTCACGGCACCAAGCCCAATAGATGATGGTCAAACCATTAGGATCCCAATTGATAAAAAACGTGGCCATCCACAAAGAGTTGCTGATACACTGGCCATGCTGGGTTGGTCATGGTTGGTCATGGTTGGTCTGTTTTCATGCCATCCCGTTGCATTGCGTCAAGAAAATCCGTTTGATACTTCAAAGCTATGGCGTTCCTCTCATGTTTCCGATACATTCAAAATTCGATGGCATGCCATCTGGTTATTTCACATAGCTATGGAAGCCAAGGCCCATTTATAGATGATAAACATGAGGATTTTTCTATGAAAAAGGCTGATTTTCCATAGCTATGGCTATGCATCTTCGCCAGGTGGAAGCGGAAAACCAGAGCCAAGCCTTAGCCGAGGCGGGGCCCTTCTCCCCTGCTTTCCCAGACTTCCCCAGATCTGTGGCTTATCCCAAGGAAACATGATCAAAAAAGGGTCAAAACATGGCTATTGAGTGGTTGAGCCATGTTTTGTTAGTGATATTTCTAACTCCGGGTGGTGATCTGGCACTAAACCTTGCTGGTTGATGGTGATTGTCTGGTGATGGGAAAATTTCACCGGAAGCGATGGGAAACTCAGCAACGAGCATCACCACCACAATATGTTTCAATATGGCAACGGGCCAAAATCTTCCACTCGTTGGGCTCAATTATAATTTAAATGGGTTTCTTGGGCACCCAATTTTTCCCAGATCTGCAGGTTGATAAGGCTCCGCGGAAAGTCAATGTGATGGTTTGCCTATAAACCATCCCCAGTTTACCCAGTTTTACCTTCGTTTGGGGGTATTGAAGCTACAGAAAGAAGGAATACCAATCAAGCGCTTAACACCAATCAAGCACTTCATCATCTTAAGATATTTTAAGTGTCATTTCTCCCCTTTCTCCCCGTTGACATTGCCTTTTCCGTTGTTTCCCATGACTCCATGTGCGGCCACAGGTGGTGCAAGTCTTGCACACGGACAACCTGGATACAGTCCGAGTCTCGTGAAGGGACAGCCAATGAGAGCGGGTGACCAAGTATCATTATTGTGTCATATGTTGTTTTCTTAAGTCTCATTATCCTGGTTCCTATGGACATTCGATCATATATTTTAAGTGTCATTGTGGTTATCATTTTTCTTCTTGTTATTATTCTTATTTTTATTACTATATATTACTATGTTACTATGCCGCAGACTATGCAAACTCGATGATTGTCATTATTCTATCGAGTTTGCATAGTTTTGACCACTAACAACCATAGTGTATTACCACTAATAAGTATGGATTATTGTCATTATAATACATCACCATGGCCCCTATTAAGATACATTACACTAATATAAGTCTAGATTGTGTCCACTGATTTGGTTAGTAATATAATCAACCATTAGTATACATTATCTAACCATTATAGATTATCAAAATACATTAAAATACAATACGCCAATATTTTTCTTAATCGTTGGTTGTGACTACGGCCATCTCCATGAGGTCACCGTTGATTCCCTGAAGATGGCTTTCGAGCAATCCGTGGCCGCAGAGAAGGTGCCCCTGAAGGGAACGCCATGGTTCGGTGAACGAGACATGGGGATTTTTAGAGCAAACAACGATGAAAAAGCCATGGCATTAAACAAAACCTGGGGAAATCTTGGAATATTGGGGATTTTAAGCAGCAGAAAAAATGAGAAACACATGATTGAAGTAGCAAACAATTGGACAAATATATGGAGACTTGACCATTTTTTCACCAGCCCACAAAGACGAAACTTGGGTTTGACGAGTCTAAACTTGGGAAACTTCAGGGATTTAAAGATTCGACCCGCGAAATTGGGGTTACCTTCCGTTTGCCAAATACGGCAAGCTAGCAAATCCCCTATTAAAAGAATATATTCCTTCAAAATAGTTTTTAATCGTTCATTGCTAAGTTTTGATTTCGGATAGTTCAGCAACTAGTGAAGGCTTCGGACTCCTGGCCTGGCCCAGGAAGCGGTGAAGGCCTACAACGAAGCGCGGAACATCATCACAGCGAAGCAGAAGGAGGTGAAAGAACCACCCGTGCTGTCCGCTGGCTCAGCAGTTGGCTGTTCGGCCTGGTCAGTTGATGATCCAGTGGGGAAAAGATCCAGTGATTGGTTGGTTTTCTTATGATTCGAGATCCATTTCTGAAAAATGGGATCCAGACTGATGTCGCTGGACCAAGCCTCAATCCGATTGCGAATTATGCCAATTACTTGGGAGAAATCTTGAAAATGGAAACCCCAAACTCAACACTTCCCATGATTTCCAAAATTTCAAGGTAATCCCAGGGGCAATCCCCTTTAGAAATTTCGCTAATCCCATGGCTTTGGATAATCTTTTCCCCTGCTCCAAGGAGCGAATTGTCCAAGTTGCAGAAGAAGCTGGCGGCAGCTCATCAGGAGATGATCAAAAGCAGGTGGGGTCAGCGTGCGACTCGTCACGCTTAAGGGATGGAGATGGTTTTGATCATTTGGAAGAACTATCATCTCCCCAATTAAATATGCCAGTTATATATGTGTATATAATTCCATGTATATATACATATATAATTACACAATTATATGTATATATATACACATATGTATGGATATAACGGTTTATACACGATGTTTATATACGATGGTATACACATACATGATATATATATATATGATATATATATATATATTATATGATGTATATATGATATATATATATGATGTATATATATATATTATGATGTATATATATATAGATATACGGAGAAGATTGTTGAAATATCCAGGAAGAATGGATACACTGTGGATTGAACCCTTTACATGGAGATTTAATCTCGGCGAGATGGTGGCCAGTTAGCTTACCATCAAACTGGGGGATGGGATGATTTGGTGGGGGCAATCATGGTGGATGGGGCAAGGATGATGGGTCAATGGATGTTTTGCAGGAACTTTTGCAGGAACTCTTGCAGGACGCCATGGTTTTTTTGATGTTTTTTAGACCAAAAACTGGGTTTTCCTGTGATTTTCCGCTTGAATCAACCCTGGTAGATCGGGCGTGTGTTATGATGTGGTGACATTGGGTACTTCGCAATCTGAGTGCGCCGATGCTCAAAACAACATCTTGGTTTCTCGTGTGTTTCTGGTCTTGTTTCCTGGTTTACCGGCTGCAGCTGCGGGATTATGACTATTATTAACAGGTACAACCATGGTAACAACTATTATATAATCCTAAGTGATGTAACCATGGGTCAGTTGGTGTACAACCCTTATAGTAACCCCCAAAACGATAGAAAAGTAAAGTCCCATTCAACTAGTGGTAAATGTTAATATCAATGGATTGGTTTAAGAAGTTTAGGGGGAAATCTTAACCGGAAACCATGGATATTCCCATGACAGATGGGCCATTCCAGTTAAACATTTCCCTTGAACCATTCCATTAATATGAAACCCAAGTCCCCCAAAAAGATAGAACATATTAGCATCCCATGAGCCGGGGTAAGATAGATGATTAAGGGGAGATAGCTATACCATAGTCCTATAGCATCTTAATGGCTATCCCATATAATTCATAGAAAAAGATAGATGATTAAGAAGATAGCCATGATTTTTCTATTTTTTGGGCGGTAATCCCATCCCCCCTTCATATTAAACACCCGCATTCCACGGTCCCAGTATGTCCCAGTCATAAGTGTTTTACCCACATTCATACATATTCATCTCTAAAAGATAGAACAGCTTGGAAAAGCAAAATCCCATTCAAACATAGTCCTGGTTGGTGGCTTCAAACATTTTTTATTTTTCATTTCATACATGGGATGTCATCCTTTCCATTGACGAACTCATATTTTTCAAGATGGTTATTGCACCACCAACCAGTAGTGGTATAAGTGGTATATCCTCTGGTAATTTAACATAGCTATTGAAAATCACCATTTTTAATAGGTAAACCATCTATAAATGGGCCATTTTCCATAGCTATGTTAAATAACCAGAGGGTATATGGCCTTTTCGATCTTTTTAGGGCCCAGGCAATCTAGAACTCCCCAAGTGTTTGGACAACGGCCAGGCAGTTGGCCAAGGGCGGGGAAGCGCTTATCAAGGGCAAAAAGGCAGCTGGTGAAGTGAGAACTGCTGAAATGGGGACACTGAAAACTGGAAAAATGATGGAACAATGGGGGGAATTTACCATAATTTACCATAATTCACCTTGGAATTTGACCAATGGAACTGGGGATTTAGCTCGAAACATGTTCGTTTTTTTTTCTGTGTTGTGCACAGCGAAGCCAAGAAAGTCCCCGATTCTTGCGAAGCCAAGGGATGCAGCGGATTGTGGAATTGGGGGTTTCTATCATCACTGCAGAGGAATTGTGGAAGGTTTGAAAAAAATGTTGGGACTGCCATGGAAATTCAGAGAGAACTTGGACATGTGATTGATTTGATAAGGTAAGTCCAACATTATGACAAGTCTAATCATCCAGTTCGCGGTGTTTCATTCTAGTACCTGAATGTCTAAATTGCAGCGAGAATCATAAGGACGAAGATGCACTCTATTCAGGGCATGGTGGCGTTTTGTCAAGTTTGAGAAACCCTGGCATTTTCTCTTTCAGCTTAAGATATCTTTTTTGTTTGTTGTAGCCACATGTAGCCACTGGTTAGTGGCAGATCCGTGATGAATACCTTGACCAGATCCCCACCGGGTCAGGTGGTGAACGATGAGGAGAGGAAAGTTGTAGCCATGGAGCAAGCAGTGGAGAAGGTACGCCTTCATTGCTGTGGACCTTTTTTTGGGGGGGGGGCAGGTAGTCGGTGGTCAACGAAGGTCAAAGGTTTAATAGGTTAACTGATGGCTTGTTGTGTTTGTTACCTCCTTTTTTTTGGCGAATGCTGATCGTTGAAAAAGGCTTTCGAATGGAACATGCGCAACAACGAGCCAACAACAATCGAAGATGTGTGAGGAGTCCCAAACATTTTCGACATAGACACTCTAAGGATGTTTCTAAAGCAGAGAAATCCTGACTTTTCATGACTTTTCCTCATTTTTTGGGGTCCAAACATCATGCCACTTGGTCAAAAAACTGCATCAAGCACCGCCTGGGCAGGTAGAGAAGCAGATGCCCAAAGAGGACCAAGAAGTCAGTAAAGAGGCCATGGGAACCATGGGAACCATGGGAACCATGGGTGGCTGGGAATGGCGCCAGGGATGTGTCTAGTGATTTTAAGATGGTTTACTAACCCCCATGGAAATTAACATAGCCATGGAAAGATCCACCATTTTTAATAGGTAAACATAGGTAAACCATCTATTTCTATGGACCATTTTCCATGGCTATGTTAAATAACCAGAGGGTATATACAACAGTGTCATTGATCACAAAAGTTTAGATTCGGATTGGACGTTTCCATCTTTTTGGGGGATGATTTTCCACCAAGGGTTGAACAGCTTCGACCCACACAATTTCTGTGGCGACTTCCCAGAGCCAATGCAGAGATACCCTCTGGTAATTTAACAGTTCGCTATTGAACATGGCCCAGTCGAAATAGTGGATGACTACCCATTGATAGCATGGTGGATCTTTCCAGTTCGTTATGTAAACCTTTACCAGAGGCTAAAACCACCATTTTCCTATGGTTTTCCTATGGTTTTCCTATGGTTTTCCTATGGTTTTCCTATGGTTTTCCTATGGTTTTCCTATGGTTTTCCATGAAAAATGCCATGAAAAATGCCATGAAACGCCAGATGTTTTTCGCAGGATCTCTTGGCCATGGATGCGCAGATCAAGTCAGCTATTGCGGTGGGGGATGCCGGCTGTGAAGTATCAAACATGGGACCATGTTCCTTCATTGGACCATGGATGTTACCCTCTGGTAATTTAACATAGCTATTGAAAATGACCATAGAAATAGTGGATCTTCCCATTAAAAATGGTGATTTTCCATAGCTATGTTAAATTACCAGAGGGTACCACTTTTTTTGGGGATATGTCCCAAATGAGATATGTACTCAGCAGTTTTAAGGCTCAATTCAATTCAATTCAATTCATCCAATCCAAAGTCTCAGTTTTTTTTGGCACTGCCACTACTCACTACTGGTAGCCTTCGAGGTAAACAATGGCCAGTTCGGAGATCACCATTTTCGGGGGGAAAACCATCACCACAGGTCAAAGATTCCAATTTTTGGCCGCTCTTTCAAGGCGGTACACGGCAGCCAACGTTCTCTGGAACAGCAAAGTGCAGGCGGCAAGATGACAATTGCAGCATCTCCGTTTCTGCCATCACTTTGAGTACCTCATCATCCCAGGATGTTGGGTATCTGTCTATCTCCGAATTTTTGTTGGTGATTTTGTCCAGTTATTGTTATAGTGATTCATAGGCCTTTTTCCCTCAGGTAAACCACTAGTTCACTCAAGGTGGTGCCCTCCCCAGTGATGTTTCTTGGTTTTTAAACCATAGTATCTAGTTCGATATATCTACCATAAACCCAACAGTGAAATCGGAGTTATGTTCACCAACTTGGCTAACCAACTTGGCATTCTACTGTCAACCACCAATGATCATCAGGTAAATCACGAATTCTGATGTCAAGCACTAATGATTCACTAATGATCATCAGAATCATCAGGTCAATTTCTGACCAACAAATCAACTAATTCGTCATTGATCATCATTGAAAAAAACATCATTCCACTGATATCAATGAGGTAGAATCCACTATTTCATCATTTATTTTTTACCAGATGGTCCGAACGATCATCATTGGATCACAATTGGTTACTAAAACATACTAAAACTAATTATAGCGACATAATGATCATTATATTAATCCATTAATTTTCATGTTACTAAAACTAAATAATGGTTATTAAAACGGCCAATTAATGATCATCACTAATGAAATCATGAATTATTTTTATCACCATGGTAATTAATGGTAATTAATGGTGATTAATGGTGATCATCATGAATTGTACTTCGAAATCGCCAGGTGCCACGGCCGCCTTGAAAGCGTCCCTGACGAAGCTCATGAAGCGCGTGACCGAGGCATCGGCCCGCGTGGAGAAGGCGAACGCGGGACGTGGAACGCGGGACGTGGTGATGTTGGAATGGCAGTGATGGGCTGTGGTTAAAACCGTGGTTTTTTACAGATGGAATTTCCAACACAGCCATTGATGATCATAGTATTTTTCAGTGATGAAACCTCAGATTTTGGTTAAAGCAGTTAAACCATGTTAAACCCCTATCATCTCCTGGTCAAAGCGAGTGTTGCCAAAGGCCAAGCAAGCTTCCAAGACGCAGCGGGAAAAGGCCGCGGCAGAGGTCGGGGGGTGCCACTGTGGCTGGGGGTTGGATAACTGGCTGTGGAATCATGGGATGAAATGGGATTACCCTCTGGTAATGACTAACATAGCTATGGAAAGATCCACCATGCTATTAATGGGAAAATCCACTATTTCGACTGGGTCATTTTCAATAGCGAACTGTTAAATTACCAGAGGGTAAGCAACGATAAAACATAATTCACTGAGCTAAATATTTGGGTTTATAAGGGGATGATGCATGGCCATGGCTCAAGAAAGGTGTACGAATGGACCTTTATAAATCTTTCCTTTTTATACAACAATGATTTTGGGTTCCAACATTATGGGGTCATTGAGGCCATTTTCACAGGTCAAAATTGAGGGTCTTGGGTTTATAGGTATAGATTGAAGAGATAAAATCCCATAAAACATCATAAAGCCTAAAACATACTGTAATTAGCACTCTTTTGTGTGAGACTTCCCATAGACCCAATGTCTCATGATTGGGTCTGTCTGAAAATTGGGGTATATCCATAGAATAGTAACTTTCATAGAGAAAATGATGACAAAAAATATGCTTCACTTATGGATTTCGAGATATTTAGCGGCTTTCTCCCATCAATTTTCAGCCCTACTGTGGTTGCGAAATCCAGCACCAGGATAATCCCACCCCGTCTCCAGGTCTTTGTGAAGGAGGCGGAGCAGCAGGTAGAGCAGGTAGAAGCTGCGCTGGTGAAGGTGGCCGAGGCCGCAGGGGGCTGGGATTTGGCGCCCCTCATAGTGGGAGATTGGACATATGAATGGGATATCAATGAAATAATATGAAATCATCATGAGGTTAGTGAATGTTAGTGATTTTAGATGCCCTATACGGTGTTTACAATGGGATGTCGATGGGAACATCATCTGACTACATGGAGGTCATCAAAGATGGCTAGCTTGGAAATCCCAAGCGAAATGGAGGTTTCACCGGCCGAAATCATGGGAAAATCATCGAATGAAATAGGAGATTCCCAGCAAAGCATGTTTGATGACACCGCAGGGTATCATGGGAATCAAACTTCAAGACCATTTCAGGGTAATGAACAATATTTCATGGGTACTCCATGTATGATAAATCATTTCAATATTTCAGGGTATCATGGTAATCAGGGTATCATGGGTAAAAGAAAAGGCAACGTACAGCATGGGAATGATCTCGCTCCCGATTTGGGGATGTCGATCTTTTCTAATCAACCCATTTCTGGTTTTTGGGACAACATAGTTGATTGGGTTTACCACACCACAATGCATTAAAACATCCACACTGATAAATAGTGATGGCTAAATCATTATGTCACTTCTTCCTGTTTGATGATTTTGTATCTGTTTTGTTTGTTTAAACCTTGGGAGGAGAGTATTGGGGGTTATTGTTGGGTGTTCCTGTTTTACCTTCTGGGGTGTTGATCAAGGTTTTTGGGGTCTGAAAGAAGAATGGACCCATCCCAAGATGTTTGTTGGTTCCACTCCTTTTTCCGGCTGGGGAACAAAACCGCATCTTCATCCTATATCCCCAAAGCTTCCCACAGGCTGAGCTGCCTTTCCTGAAAGGCATTGAGGCGCAAAATCGTTCAATGGGAAGGACACGAACAAAAGTAATTGTGGTAAAAATCCCATCCTCTTAATATTGAGCACCCCCTAAATGGTCCCAGATATGCAAGTCCCCTACTAAACCATGTCTTCTGGGAGGTATTGAATATTGGGGGGATTTCCAGTGGGTTGGCAACACCATTACCACAAAACCCCTCTATGGACCGTATGGATATCCAACTCTATTGTTTATCCATATCCAACATCCATATCAACATCTATATATGTATAATTATCCATGTTTATCCAGTAAAAAGTATCCCTGAATCCATGAATCATCAATCTATACATTGGTTCATCTATATTCATCCAGATCATTATCCATACATTACTTGGTGCAACCCTTAGGTATCATATCATACTATAAGATACCATACGCAAGTATATACAGTACCATGTTTTTTTTTTTTCAGCACTACATAATTTATCTAATAGATTCCATCCTGAATAGCATCATCCTTAAGCCCCCATCCTTCAGCCCACGTCGCGCAGGTGCTGCCCTTATCAGAGGCTTCCACGGCCATTGCGGAGTGCGAGAAGGCGGCCAAGCAGGTGCAAGAGGTGCGGGCTGGATGGGATTTCTGGTGATGGCTGGAAGAATGGGAAGAACTTCAATGGTTGGAATGAATTATGATTATCCATGAATTCATCAAATTTATCAATGGAATTATGGATTTATGGAAGATTATCCATGAATTCATCAAATTTATCAGTTTGTGTATCCTAGTATCTAGATTAATGCTTATCCAGATTTATTGGGAAGATAATTTTGATCTGGATAAATCTAGATAAACATGAGGATAGATACTGATAAATTCATGGATAAGCGTTAGGATGATATGATGTCTAAACTTTGGAAGATGAGTGATCGGTGATCTCGTGAACGGTGATTTCTGCCATCGATTTCGTTTCAACTACTGAGGCCTTAGAAAAAGCCAAAGGCTTCGTCAACACCAAAGTCTTAGAAGTTCAAAGGTTTGCGGAGGCGGGAAGGGCTGGGCTGGGCTGGTGCCAGGATGGTGAAGGTGGGATTCTGAAGTTGTGATGGCTAGGACAATTACACACACATATATATATGTATGTATGTACACATTATTTAGATAAATAAATATACAGCATACAATAGTTTAGATATGTAGGATTATCTATAATCTGCATATGTGTATGACATTATATGACATTAGATGAAATGACGCGTGAACCCACAGAAAGAGCACTATATACATGTGTGTATAGTTCAAGACACACCTGCAGGTGAGTAGATATGATGCAACATGATATTAGGGTATGCCATACTGATTCTTGTTGGCTCTTGCCCATCAGATGGAGTGCCATGCAAAGTAATGAACATTCTGAGCGGCGGTGAATGAGCTGGTTGAAGCAGGCACCCTTCTTTGCTTGGCCTATGCCTGAAGATAGAGCATGAAATAGAGCCATTCGGTAGATATTTGAGTCTCCGGAGGCATGACACCTACCCTATGGTGATGAAACACGGCAATGAGAAATCCACCATGGCCATTGTTGACTACTGGAGGGCCAGCCCCCCCCCCTGCCTTGCCGCCAGGCTGCAGCAAAGCCATGTCTGGAAAGACTGAACGGTTTGGTGGAACGCAACAATGCTGCTGGTCGAAAAAATTGGGGCAATGGGTCAGGCTTTCGAATGGTTTTGGTAAAGACCACAGCTTTGCTGAGCTGGCGATGGTCTATTTTCCCATTGGTGAAACCCACCATGGCTGGGGAATCTACTGGAAGTATAATTTTTCCAAATCTGTGTCCCTTCAGCAAATCCAAATAGAGAAACATATTGCCCGGAAGCGCTTCGGCGCTGAGGCCGCAGCTAGCAAACTGGCACAATTCCGCATCGGGCTTAGCAGGATCGCAGCTGTCCTAGGATGCCATGGTGCCATGGGCCATGACTAGTGTGCTGGAGCCCATGTTGAAGGAAAGATGCTACAGTTGGTGGATAAACTTCGAGCCTGCAGCCTATTTTGCAGACTTAAGTGACACCCTTCTTTGCCTGGAAAGCCCATGAAACATCCCAAGAGTTTGATGTTCAACATCAACCTCTCAATGCAAAAGACCCCAAAATCCAACAAACATACAACAAACATCCAGCTATCCGAGGCAAGGACACCGAGAGCCACAAACGCACCTCCCAAATGCAAGAGGCAGATGGGGCCCTCGGGTTCCGGGCATGGCACTTTCATGCCATAGAATCCCATAGAAGTTCAGTCTTTGGAGCATCATGAAGCATCCAAGATGATTCTGCGGTTCGGTCAGTGACTTTGAACCACTGGATTCACTAGCCTTTTTCCAGTGGCGGATGTGGCCGGTATCCACCAGGCCGAAGAAATGCTGAATGCGGCAGAAGCAGAGGTCGAGAAGACCAAGGAGGCCATACGCCCGGAGGGTGCCGCAGGGCGGAAGCGCTCAGTTAGTATTTTAAAAAAGTTTACTAGGCAAAGTGGGGTTTATCATGGATATATAATAATATATATATGATTATATGTATATATATATATATGTACAATTATAATATATATATACTGTATATAATATATATACTGTATATAATATATATATATATATATATTATATATACAGTATATATATAATATATATATACTGTATATAATATATATATATACTGTATATAATAATATATATATATACAATGTATATGCTATATAAATATATATATACACTATAATATATATATACACACACATTAGTTTGTGGGGTCTATAAACTATAACCCCACTTACTATGGAGGCCATCACCAAGCGGCCAGGCCGGAGCGCCCTTGACTGCCGAGGCAGGTCGCGACCCGAACGGTACATATGGTCATGGAGAATCCCAGATTTTTGTACTATCCCACAGGATCCATGTATGGTATATATGCTAACATTGGGGGTATATTGATGGGATCCATGTTACCATATATAGCAGCACCATGGATCCTATGGGTATTGTATGTACTTTTTTTCGTATGAACAAAGTATGACATCCTCGAGATTTGTCATAGTCGTGAAGGGATCTCACGTCATATTCACCTCGCGGTTCTGTTTCGGGACCTCCAGATCCTCCAGATAGGACTTGAGTTCCATCACCTCGCAAACGGGAACGGAGATCTGTGAGAAGATCGCTTCCCTCGAGAAGGCACCAGTTCTGATGGCTGGGATGGGAGCAGGGAGATTTGGATTTTGGTGCTTGAAAAAAACATGTTTTACTGTACATATTTCTATTTTTCCTTTCTTTTTGGACCTTTTTGGGATGATCCCCCCTAAAATGACTCAAAACTTCTCGGGGGAGTTTGGATTCTTGGGTGGACAAGGGAATGCCAATTCTGAGCGGTCAAGACATGGTATAAATTGCATTGTTTGGGCATGACATCTCAATTCTTCGTTGTCCTGTCGCTTCCATTTTTCTCGGACTAAGAACATCTAAGAACTCCCTTTTGTTCATCGAAAAAAATACCCATCAAGTGGATTCAAGTGAGATATCACTGGGATATATTTTCCGGGGGCTCTTCACATCAGCTGGATCTCCACATTTGTTTGAGCTGGATCTGACAAAGGATCCATCAACTTGCAATAGTTTGGGCATATTCTTTTGGGACATTTTCCATGGTCAGTTGACTTTCAGGAGGGTCTCTCTGTCCTCGAGACATGTTTGGTGCATCGATATCTGCAGGCGGCCAATAAGAAAGTCCAAGATGCCTTGGTTTTCCTGGCCCAAAGACGTCAGGAGTGGAGAAAGATCCGCCGGCCCGGGAAAAGTAAGAGGTACCCGAAGTGGAAAAAACGAAGAGTTTGCGAACTGGAACACCACCATTTTTAGAGGTAAATCAAGTATAGATGGCCATTTTCAATAGCAATGTTGAATTACCAGAGGGTAATCACAAGAAATTTCCTGGCACTTTCTATTACGTTTGTGTTTGATCATTTTGATCAACCAGGTCCGGAGGTCATCGGACCCGCAGAACGGGTGAAATCTACTGTGGCACTCCGCAGGACGTGAGAGGTACGCCTCAAGAAAAGCATTTGGAGCAGTTGCAGGTGCCAAAAAGCTTGGGATGAGAGCGATGAGTTCCAACTTTCCCAGTGGGAGAGAGACAAACTATAACTACAGGCACCCTATAACATGTCATAGGATTTTAATAAAACTGTAAAACTATATTGGTTTTTGTATAGATTTCCTTGAAACCAGGAAACCAAGCCGATGAGACTTGAATGGTTGAGAGTTAAGAGTCTGAATTTTGATGAACATTCACGTGGAGACTGAAGCACGGACCACTAGTGCTCACATGCTCAGAGGGTGTTTGATGATTTTTGTCCCCGGCAAATCTCCATCAAAACGATCCATGGCTGGGAAGTATTTGTTAGTACACCAAGGAATTTTCAAGAGGCGGTACTCTAAGTCATAACTCACTTACTCCCATGGAAAATCCGATTCATATCCACTATATCAAATAGTAGTTTCGTAGATGGTGATATCTGATGATCTGTGATGGTGATTTTCCACTTAACCAGGACTTTTCGCTCCAAAAGTTTGGACTTTTCAACTTGCCATCCTTGACTCCCCCGATTCAGGCCAGGCTTGGAAAGATCAAGGTGCCAACTGGTGGGGAAGTTGGGGATGCTGACCCCCGGTCCAAGTATGGGCGGATTGGACTTACAGTGCCTGATTTTGCTTCATCGATGGACATAGAAGGGGGATATGTTTTCCACTTGGAATGATAAATATGATAAAATGACATTAGATCATTTGGGATTTATCTGGATTTGTCATCTACTGCATACTACATATATTTTTGCTTTTGAGTGAATGAAATCCCATTCAAAATCCCATTGAAAATCCATGATTTTGGATGGTTAAACCCCATGAAATCCACCGTTTTTGAATGAGATTTCCACTTCCACTTCCAGCCTCAAGGATCCCAATCATGCCGTGAGGCCAGTTTGGGAGAGGCCAAGAAGCAGGCTCCTTGACGCCCAGATGAGCAGCACCAGAGCCTCTGTTGGTTGATGATTAGTTTGGGATTATACTTACCCGGTATACCCTCTGGTTATGTCAAAATAGCTATTGAACATGGTGATTTATAGTTATAGTGGATTTACCCATTGATAGCATGGTGGATCTTTCCATAGTTACATAAACGTTTACCAGAGGGTATCAGGATTATCATAATCCATGAACTGGGAAACCCGTGAACTTAACCCTAGGCATTCTTTCAAGAGGGGCGACCTTGCAAGTTTTGAACTCTATCCGTGAAATGACCAGATGACTATCAGCCAACATTCAGCAGAACCTCGACAGATACTGAATGAGTATGTCTTAGGCTTGTGATTGCGAACAAGCCATGGATGGTTTCTGGTCTCTTGGGGGACCCCAACTCTAGTATGTCATGCTAGCTGCTCTAGGCGTGAAACCCATGGTTTGGACAGACCCACACATCATATTCCCAACCAATGGCTGTACCAGGGTTAATTTCGAGGATTTTTCTGGGCGAAGCCTCCCCTATTGTTATATATCAGTTTCCTGTTGGTTATGTCAGTTACCCATGGTGCTGGAATATTTGCCAACATTACCAACATTTGCCATAAAAATCACCCACATGTAGGCATATAATATAAATATACCATACATGGACCATATTACTTACATATCCACATGTTTTGCTGGTTCCATGCGCCAAAATCTCGCGCGAGGCCTCGCAACAGGAGCAGCGTTTCGTCTCGCGGAAGCTACAGACTGAGGCCAGCGGGTTCTAAGAAACACCAAAAAAACGACATCGTTTGCTGCCAAGCACTCCAACGAAGGGTTCCATGTTTGCGTTTACACTGGCTGGTCTCAATGAAAGAAGAGACTCTGGCATTTTTTTTGGATGGCTTGGGGATACCAGTGAATCATCCGAGAAAAATCTGTTTTGACGGATAGTTTTGCCGAATGTGAGTAGTCAAAATTGAACTACCTTCTAAGGTGAATTTCCAGAGACATCTCGAGTCACTCGACATGTTGCTTTGGTCTCTGAAAGCCTCCACTGACCATGTTGAAACTCAGGGTGCTGAGTTGGTGAACGAGGCCTGTTTCAGTGTGAATGGGCAGATGCGAAGAGCTGTGAGCCAAAAGGATTCCAACTTGGATAGTCCTTTGGGAAATCCCATTCGGGACAGAAGCCATACTGGGCCATACTGATTTGGCTGGTGTTGTCATAGAACATGTTTTCCCTGATTTGGGAGGATGATCCAAAATGCCGTCAACATATTTCTCAGGATATCCATGGTTATCCCACTTACAGTTGGGAACAGGACAAAGCATACCCCTAATTTACTGGGGTTATCTCGTTTGTAACTTGCAGAGATACCGCCATTTTTGAAGTAACCTCTCGAAAAAAGATAGAACATGATAGAACCATATCAAACATCCTCATTTTCATGAGGATTTTCTTACACTTTCCCCATCAGTTTGCAATTTTTCTTGGGGGTGCCCAAAAAACTCGTGCCATCAGCAGTTCCTCATGCTGATCCCAGCGTCCCAAAATAGGTGGAGAGCGAGGTGAAGAAGACAGAGGCGGAGAAATCTGAAACCTCGCCCAAAATCAACCAGCAGGAACATTGCATATATATATATATATTGTAATATATATATATATATGTATATAGAAGAGACATGGATGATATCAAAAGTACTATGACCTGTATCAAGTAATATTATGTCATATTCATATCATCTATATCATCTATATCATAATAAAGTTATAATATTTCGTAGTTATATCACCCATTCGCCCACATCTTAGCTCGCCCCTTTCAGGTGGCAGCTGGGCCGCTACTGAAGAGCTCTTCCTTCCTGGTGCGCGGCAACGTGCAACGCCTCAGCGGGATGGTCCAGGAGCTGACGCTGATGCTTGGGATGCTTGGGATGGGATGGTTGGGATTTAAATCCGGAGTTCATGGTGATTTCATGGTGCTTTCATGGTGATTTCATGGTGATTTCATGGTGATTTCATGGTGATTTCATGGTGATTTCATGGTGATTTCATGGTGATTTCATTTATTTAGCCAACCATTTTATGATGATTTTATGGTGATGTCATTTGATCGTCAACCACGTGGCTAGCTGGGAAATCCCCCGAACGAAATAACAGCTATGGAGGTTTTCATGGAAAATCATCGACCAAAATGGTGGATGTTCAATTGCCACGTTTGATTTACGGAGAGTATGAATATCTATGGAAAATCACTATTTTTAATGGATAAATCCACTATAAATGGCCATTTTCAATAGCTATGTTAGTTTACCAGAGGGTATGAAGTAAAAACTTCAACCAACCATGATTTACTTCAAGCCTGATTCTGCATAAACCACCAAGACGTCATTACCAAGATGGTTGGTTGATGAATGAAGCAGGCTACCATAGCTATGATTTTGGCTGCTGTAATTATGATATATTATAATATGATGTGAGAATGTCATGATGACCCTGCGAGGATGTCATCGGCAAGGGCACCTCTAAAGACAAGCTCTTCAAACAGGTGCCATGGAAGAATTGAGCATGGTGGCGACCATCAGTCCGCGTCAAAGGAAAAAACCTTGTTTTGCTGGTTTGATTTGCTGAAACCAGTTGATGTTTTTCATGCAATATGTTTACTTTCAACCAGCAAAAAAAGAAGAATGGATGGCTTCAAGCCAACATACTTTGAATATATATATATACACATATATATATATATATGAGACCACTTTTTCAATCCACCTTTTCTGCTGAGAGCGATGAGATGCGATGAACAGATCCGATCCACAGCACCATATTGTCCAGATCACTGGCACCAGTTGTAGGCTTGCGGCGATGATGCAGAAAGCGTGGCATCCGCCACATTTCAGGCTGGGGAAAGGGTGGTAAAACCAGGGGGCGACTAGTAAAACTAGTATAACATAGTATAATCATAACCATCCATAACCATTGTATTACATTGTATCTATGTTGCACAACCAGTCGCAACCACAAGCATTACAACATATCAATAATGTATTACCCTTCTGTAAAGTAACATAGATGCGTGAAAACCCAGCATTTGTAGATAATTTTCAAACGGGAACGCATGGGCTTTCCACATCGTTTTTGTATGTTTACCTAATGGGTACCATTAGTCCCAGATATTCGCCGTATTAGTAACCATGATGAAGTACGTATTATGACATATTAGTTAGTTATCAACCATGATTATGGACATATTAATAACCATATCAACCATGGTATATTATTGTTTAGTTATTATACTAATATTATGACATATCAACCATGATTAGTATATTAGTAACCATATTACGAATCTCCTCCCCGGGTCGGGCTTTGACCAGTCCTTTGTCACTTGGATGACGGAGAGCCATGGCGACAGCGAGGGGTTGGGGCCACCAAGACCGATGTCACGTTGTGACCGCGGGCCCCCAAAAAATGAGGACGTCATGGGGATAACATGGAGATATGATATATATATATATCATATCATATCATATCATATCATATCATATCATATCATATATATATAATATAATATAATATAATATAATATCATAGAATATAATATCATATCATATCATATCATATCATATATATATACACATGGGGATTACATGATTTTTTGAATCAGTATTATAATGGGTTTATTGGGAGAATGGTAAAACTCATTTATGAATGAGGATATAACGGATACAATGGGGATATATGGAGATTATATGAAACCAGTCCAAATTTACTTTGATTGATTGAGTAGATTTGGCGGTTCTTGCTTCTGATGGCATTGAAATTTACATTCTTTGGTACGTGTTCGTGGAGTCTTGCCTCATAGTCTTTCATATCTAAATCCCTTCTGGCTTTTTGTTTTGGAACACCCTTGGTTTTCTTTTCTGCCTTCTGTTCATTGAAGAGAAGACCTTTAGACAATACATTTTGGTCTCAACGCTATGAAATTTGGTATGATTTTTCCATCCATCTCGTCCTTGAACTTGCCAAGGACTTTTTTATTGGTGGGGTCACAGTTGGGATGCTTCCTATCATATCCACTGAAGTCCATATACTCTTTTATCCCTTTCCAATCTTCATAGATGTCTTCGGTGAAAGTTTGTGTAACATAACTGTCAGTGTCAGTATATATTAGTCTTACATCCTCCTTATACTTTGCTTTGAGAACATCATAGTAGAATGAATACATATGAACCTTTGAAAGGTCTAAAATGGACATCCCCAAATAGATTGGTTTATCCAACTTCAACTTTGTCTTTATCTTCTCTACTCCTGCCAGTTCTTCATTGATAATGTGGCATCCCTTGTAGTTAGGATTGTTGACACACTTTTGTATCCTCTCCTGTGTTTATACTAATTCAAGGCCTATGTGGTTTCTTACATTCTCCATCGTTTTGCCATAAACAGCGTTGTTCATCAATTTGAACACATCCTTCTCAAAGTCACTCTTTGCATCGTTTCTTTTTCAGTGTTAAAATCTATCCAAGGTTCCAACCAGCACCTTTGTCAGAACACTACTCCTCTATGATCTTGTTTGAGTTTCATACCCTTTTGAAGATAAAACTGTAATGCCTTGATATGGACTACATAGTTGGCTTTGTCCATTTGATTTAGGATACTGTAAGTTATGGTTGCTTCTCATCCCTTGCTTCCTCGCCATTATAGTAATGTCTATGTAGTTCCCTTTGGTATTTTGAAAGCAGTTTCTCTTCAATCTTGATATTTTCAGGTGCTAATGGGTAATCCGCTTGTTTGTCGTGTATCTCCTTTGGATACTCTAAGTCAACTTTCAGTATGTAGGCATTGTCATTGTTCTGATTCCAGTCCATTATCATCTTTTTGGTCAGTATCTTCTTTATCCACTTCAGTTTTCCCATGGGTAGTTTCATTGACATTGCCAGTCCATAAAGGTTGTTGGCATCTAAATAGTTGATGTAGTTGGATGGTCTTTCTTTATCATGATCTTCACCCATATACTTGTTGTTCACTTTTGCTTCCTTATGACTGACTTGACACATTCCACCTCTCAATCCCTTTTCAATCATCTCATACATCTCTTGGTCGGTCAAAGGGTCCATTTCAACACCAGTTTTTAGAAGCATCACGCCCCAAGCAAAATGAGGGAGGGTGAAATAATGTGCTGGGTCTAAACCGTAGTATTCCAAACAAAGGTCTAGAGTTTTCGAAGACATCACTTAGCAGTAAAACCTCAGTTCTTAAATACAAGTCGTGGTATTGTCCAAGATTTCTTACCAACATGTTCCCATATCTTCTGTGCCCTTTCATACTCATCATCTTCAATATGACTTTCGGTGAGATTACTATAACATGCCTCTTTTGGGGGTAATTGCTGTTCCCTGAATTTGTCAAAGGAAGTGAAGTAATCCATTGATAAACACCTTTGTAAGTAAATCCAAATCCTCGTCATTACTAACATAGGGGTTTCTCTTACTAAACTTGAAGTTGTTTTGCCAGTTCTCTTTCTTGTTTCTGTCTTCTTCATATCAACTTCACCAACTTATCCAACGAAGATGATAAGAAGGAAAATTGTATTTGAAACAAAGGTTTTTAAAAGCGAAGGTGATGAATTGTTCACTGTTCTGGGCTATTACATCTATCTTACCTCTTTCTGACAGTTCATTTGCCGTCTCAATGATTAAAGACTGTCATAGTTCTTGAGGTTATGAAGGAAAACTGGAATTTTGCAATAACGCATTGAAAACTGTAAATTACAATCATCGTGGGCACATCCCTTATACTTACCTGTAAAGTGGCAATGGTCTCTAACTTTTATTTTTTAAATCACCTTCTTTGAAGTCTTTACCACATATAAAACACTTCTTTGCGGTTTTAAAGTCCCTCCAGTCATCTGCTCTCATAGTTATATCCTTGTTTTCCCCATCCTCTCCATAATCTCATTATTGACTTCAATAATATTTTGAATGAACATATCCATACAATCCTCCCCTCTGTAAAGGAAAGGCTTTGATGAACCATCAATGCTATTGACAGCATTTATCATAAAACCGCAGGGTCTGTGATGTCGGCATTTATTTGTCTGAACTTCTTTAGTTGAAACTGTCCCCGTTCTTGTGGTCAAACATTCAAAGTCTGCATAGATGACGAAGGGCGCTTTCAACTTCTTATCGTGATTTTTGAAAACCACAATGTCGTCTTCATTAGGCATTTCTATCCGTTGCCCTTTAGCTGCCATACATCCCTTTTCATTGTGTTTATCCAAAAGTTCCTGTGATTGAAAACCGTGTCGGCAGTGAAAACAATGATAAAGTTTTGCTTTATGCTTGTTGGTTTGACTTCCTATCAACTTGTCATAATTTTTGATGAATAAATAGTGGTAATCATCCTCATCCTCCAGTTTTAGAAAACTGATTTGATGAGTTGCCCTTTGAACCTTGGTCTGTCTGTAAAGTAGGATGGATTGCTTCTTTTCTTCGGGGTCAAGAAAATAGACATTGACCGCTACTTTCCCTCCGTTGTTTTGTTATGTTTTGTTCACATGTGCCTATATCAACATCTGATGACGGGAAACTGGCATTATCCCAGTTCAGTTCATCATTGAGACTTTTGTAGTGAGACACTCTTTCGGGGTGGTCTTTCTCATAAACCTTACATATACCGCATTGAACGGAATACTTGAAACACTTTTCATCTTGGTTTTTGATGTTGATACTGATACATGCTTTTTTGTTCGAAACCCATTTGGGTAATGGAATGAACTTACCCCCAGGAGTTGGATTGTATTTATCATAGTTGAACTTCAGTTTATCAATCTGGGGTATGACTAATCCACTCTCCGACACTTCCATCACCTCCGCTTGGTTCTTTACATCAATTGCCATCTGGTTCAAGACATTGGGTCTTTCACCTTCGTTGGTGATGCTGTATCTTCTACTCTGGATGACTTGTTTTACATCTTCGTTCGTCTTTTTGCTCTTCAAAATGGCAAAGACCTGTAGCAGAACCTTCATTCCATTCTGTTTCCTCAATAAATATTCTTTCAATCTCAAATCTTGGTATTTGAGATACTGTAGTGCCTTGATGCCCCTAACCCTGATGTTGGTGATGGCATCTGAATTTACATAACCCTTGAAAGCAGATTGTTCGTTGGTGGTGGTTGCTTTGTATCTCATTTGAATGCCTGTGAGTGCCTTGTTCTTGTCAAGATTGACCCACCTAATGCCTCTCTTTTCCTGCAGTTCATACATGTTGTAGTCCATAGTCTGTCTAATCTTGTTGGATTTGGTGTTCAATATTTTTGAGATGGGTTTTCTCCTTTCAAAGCTGTAGGTCTTCTCTCCTATCTTGAGTTTCTTGAGTTCCTGTCCATTTCGTTTCAATATCTCACCCTCTTCGGTTGAAAGAAGATAATCTAAAACAATGTGCTGTGAGTGTGCCATTACAGTATAATCTTTACTATCATTTTTTGTTTGCTTAAGTAGTTTTTCAGTGTGAATTGTTTGTTGAGGAAGCTGCGATTGATTGGATTGGTGGTTGGATTGATTTTTAACATAAAACATCTCTGTTGAATGGTTCAACCTAGTATCCTCTGCCATTTACTCCTTACCCTATAAGGTGGCAAGTCTTTAAGTAGTTTTGGGCACAACAGTCTAAACAATTATTCCCCTCATCCAAATCAAACATTGACAGTGAAAGTTCGGGGCGAAATAGTCCCGCAATCCCCCCACATAAAACATCAAAGGTAAAGAAGAAATATTGAACAAACACATAAAAACCATAACAACCAACAATAAGCGTTGGGATGTCCCAGCATCCCCCTTTTACCATTTTTTTATGGGACATCAGGGATGTAGGGACAGAGCCGTGTACAGTCCATGTTCTCAGTCATCACCTGGATTCCAAGCCCGAGGTTCCTGGAACAAGAAGTTGAGGCCGTGGCTGGTGGGGGTAATTTCTCAGGGTCCACTGGCTGGCTATGATTTTGCCCTGAATTTTGTGTCAGAATCCAGCGGGTCATGGGCGGATCCAGAAATCAAAACTTCCCTGAATGGTGCCCAAGTTATGCATACCATCTCTGAATAATGTTGGAAGTCTCCAAGTTCTGCTAGAAAATCAATAGGCAATTCATTGGGCCAGTGGGCTCTCCAAGTTCTGCTACCATCCTGCCGTTCTCATGGCACATCACGGTGACCTCGGTGGCAATGGACTGTTTGAGGCCATGTTCAAACACCTGGATAAGGACGAGAAGGGCCTTCTCACTGAGAACGACTTCCAGGCGACGGCAGCGGCTGCGATGAAGACAGTGCGATATTTGGGATAAGTCCCTTTGAATATCGCAAAATGTGGTGAACTGGTTGTGATTATATAATGGGATTATAATGGGATAATCATCAATAATGGTGATGATGATATATATATATAATGATGGCCAAAATTGAAGGGGCTCCCAAAGCTTTTGAATCTTCGTGGATTTCCTGAAAAAAACTCAATCCTGCGAGCCAAGTAGCCAAGTCATCTGCCAGGGCATCTTCAGCGATCAGTTCGCCTGTGTCTGGACCTCCGGGCCCATGGCAAGTTTTGGCTTGTGGGATTCAATGGGTAATGGGCTGTGAGATTGAAATATGTTGAACTATGACCATGGGAACTCTTGTTGAGACTAGCCTCGGTAATCTCATAGCTATGGAAAACCAGCATTGTTTCCACAGCGCGAAATCATCGACGTTCAAAATGGCGTCCATTTTGGCTCATTCGGCCCTCGGTCAAGGTGCAACCGGTCTCCATGACCGAGAACTTCTCCATCTCCGATGGCAAGAGCGTGATCAAACTGGACCTCGGCGTGGCTGTAGAAGCGCTTGGGATGTCGGGGCGACCGAGATCGGGAAGATCGGGGAAGCCGGGAAGGGAAGTCACTGGCAGAAGGGTCCTCAAAACTCCACTGTTTAGGGCTTCACTTTTGACATTTTCCCATTGATTTCACCATTGATTTCACCATGTTTCCCCGATTTTTTTTAGGCTTTTCAATTTTGAAACCAACCTTTGAGGATGACTTGGTGCCTGAAACTCGCCATATTCAAGTGCTTGCAACGCCCAGTTGCCAAAGTTGTTTGATTACTGAAGGCGGCCAATTCCCAAATTGCCCTGACTTAATAATCCTAGCCTATCCCCCTAATAAGAAATCGCCTCCATATGGGACCTCCCAACTTATGAATGCATCCAATACCAAACCAAGATTTGTTTTTGGGTATTTCACATATATATATATACATATATATACACATATATATATATATACATATATATATACATATATATATACACATGCATATATATAATATAATATATATTTATATATTATAGATATGTACTGTATATTTTCATATAAACAGATCTTCTTGATACATCGTGGGTCCTCCATTCCCATTCTTCGGGGGATTCCCAGAATTTTTTCCACCACCTTTTCAGGCCTCAGTACGACGAGCAACAGAAGCTCACGCGCCTGCGCTGCCGTTTGCTGGAGGACCTGACTAAAGAGGGCTGGGTGACGATGAAGGGCAACCAAGGCCTGGAGCCCCAGCGGCCCCAGCGACCCCAGTGCTCCGAACGGCTGGTGCGTCAAACACGTTGATGGGTTGCTGGATGGGTTGGGAATGGGGTTGCTGGGATGATGACTGATGACTGGGATCATTCCCGAAAATTCCCTGCGTTTAGCACCAGTAAATTTTTCTCGGAGATTTTCCGATGAGATGTACGGTATTTCGCTTCCCATGATCACAGACATCCTGGACACCCTCATCTAAAACAATCCTTTTCCCTGTTCAACGGGAGTGGTTAACTGAATTCAGGTTGATCAGCCCCCAAACTTATAGGATACATTTATACCGAAACTGGGAAAACACTGGGCTTTGAAATTGGAAGGTGTCAAGCATTCGAGTTTCCATTGTTTTTACATATGAACTACATCTCCCCATCTGTTTCTGGCTCAGCTTCAGTAGTCTGACCTAGCAATGGACACTTCAGGAATCTTCAGGATTTTCCTTTTGGAACTTGAAGCCAAGGATTGCCCAATGCCATGTTTGCTTGGAGCCTTGACCTCCGATTTTTTCTCACAAAATTTCTTGCTGGAACATCATTAAAAACTCCATGGACATCTTCAGGACATATTTCAACCGTCCCCAAATTGATGATTTTATAATGTGATCGAAGTGATTTACTGAAGGGGAACCAACACTTCTATTTTAAGTATTTTCCACATTTTTCCACATGTCGCAACTGTTTTTTTTTCAAACACCGGGCCGGACATCTGCCACAGGATGCCATAGGCGAAGTTGATTTCGATCCAAAACACCGCCGAATCATGTGAGAAACATGCTGGATATTTTCACGGATAGCTAGTTACAGCTAGTTGTGAAAAGATCATCTTAGATCATGAAATCCCAATGAGTCATCACCATTCATTCCATTTTCCCATGAAATCCCATAAAATCCCACATTCCATCACCACTCAATCACCATTTTCCATCAGCGTTCACCATTGGACTTCCACTTCGCCACCAAGCCCAACGGCGCCCCATTGGGGCGCCGGGATCGCCCCAACGTCATCGCTCGGCTCGAGGCAAAGTCTTCCTGGATCGCCTCTCACCGCATAGTGCCAACCAGAAATCCTTCGACAGGACCGCCGGAGACCGGGAGACCGGGAGAGCAAGGCGCTGGGCCATGGCTGGGCCATGGAGATCAGGAACTCTATGGTACATGATGCTACATGTTATGAAGTTAGAACTGCACTATGAAGTTATAACTGTTATAACTTACTTATAACTGTTATAACTCCTATTTGAAATGTTTTGTTCGTAATTTCATTGGCCACGTTTGGCCATGGCTGGTAAGCCGGAGTTTCAAAGTCTCCCCAAAACCATCGTGGCTTGGAAGCAGGATGATCTCGGCTTCTTCCAAGGTGGTCAACAAGGCCATCGCAGCCATCATGGCGATGCTGACTGTCTGCTTCAGGGGATGCCAAGCACCAAGGATTTGGTTCCTGTTCATCAACAGTAATGTGGGTAAAACAAGAATAAACCATCCCCCAGTGCCCCAGTCATCACCATAAATAGGTGGTATACCATTCCCAAGTGGGTGGTTTATTCTTGTTTTAGCCACATTACTCTGATTTCCATAATATCCAAAGCCCTAAGTTTGTAGGCAAAGTATCAAATATGATATTAGTAGGGCTTGTCTTAAACAAAATGGTACATAATTGTAGGTAAAGTAGTAAAGTATCTTAACTAAAATACACCCTAAAGTTCCGTGGTTGTCTAGTATCTTCTGGTACATCGCAGATCCCTGTGAATTAAACAGATTAAAAAGGCTTTGACCGGGGTTGCTCCCAGCATCGGTTCCATTCCGATCTTCGATATATTTGGCTGACAAAGAATCCACTCATCGATAATATGAACATAGCTTTGGAGCATACCCCAAGTCCCTAAAAAACACCCCGAATGAAAGAAATCCTTTCAGAAAGTTACTGTATATACCCACTAAATGATTATATAATATAGATGTATATATTGGGTATATACAGTAACTCCCCATGAATGGCATACTCACTATTCAAGCATTTCATTCCTTTACCACCTGAGCCACGTTCTAAACCCTTGTGTTCATGTTTAGGAACGGACCCCATGTAAGGGTGTGGCGTAAGCAAAACTGTGGTGAGCGTAGGGCAGCGTAAGCTCCGAAGACAAGATAGGCGCGTAAGCAAAACACGTGCCGTCGCGTAAGCAAAACGTATACGCAATGGCGTAAGCATTTCTTTACCCATAGGATCCATGTATGGTATATATGCTCACATTTGGGGTATATTGATGGTAAATGTAAATGTTACCATATATAGCAGCACCATGGATCCTATGGGTTATTTGGTGATGGGGGTTTTCCTGAAATGGTACCCCCAGTCATGGATCGTTCGGTTAGCCATCTATGGATGACTGTGGGTACCCGCAGCTGGCGGTTCATCGGTCCATCGCTAGGCTGCCAGCTTCCTCACCGCTCGACGAAAAGAGCTGACGGATTGTAGCTCCGGACCCCTATTGGAGGTCCCGCAATGAGGGATGGCATATGATGGGTATATTGAATGGGTAGCATCTTAATCTGGAATCTGGTTGAAGCATAGATGTTTTAAGGGTAGAACAGGAAAGTCTATATGGAACCTGGGTATACTTGAATAAATGTTTACTGTAATGGGACATATACCTATGGATACAATGGGTATACTTAATGGGTATATTTAATGGGTATATTTAATGGGATTTTGACAGACAGCAACATGACTCAAGAATCCAAAATCCTGTTCTGTGCTTCTACCTCCCAAGCGCGCAGGCACGAGTGAAGATGGATGAGTTCAAAGTCAAGGTGCTGGCAGTGCTGGTGTGTTTTCTTCCAGGGATGGTCGATCCATGTGTGATACTACATACCTTTATAATCCTTTGTATAATTATGTATGTGATTTATGTCAAGGTTCGTACATATTCCAGGCATGGATCATTTGGGATATCGTCGGCCGAATAATTCTTCAACTTCATCAACAGTCCATTCACCACTCAAAAGGGGTAGCCGCTAGGAACGGTGGCGGCGGCCAAGGTCTCATCACTGCAAAGAACTCTGGAGGAGATCAAGAGGAAGGTGGCGGATGCGGCCAAGGACTATGAAAAGCTCCTTGGATTCGAAGGGTTTTTTGTTTTTTTTGATGAGTTTTTGTTGACAAAACAGCTGGGAAAAGTGCCAAAGATGCAGAAGTTGGTGTGGTATCTTTGGACCCCTAGGTGCCAGAGAGGTCTCAGTTCACAGCGTTTTTGGTGCATCACATATGGTCCAAAACAGGGTGATCAGTGGATGATGATAAGCCAATGGATTTTATTGGGGGTGTCCTATTATTTCAGGCAAACCTGTGACGTTTTTGATTGGATCACGATGTGGGCAAGGCGGACATCCATGCAAGTCACAGCTTCATTTGATTATTGCCAGAACGTCATGCATCCATCACAATTGAACACGTTGGAAGATTCGCTATATTACACCCATCAAAACACCCATCAAAATCGATAAATGATAAACCATCACTTTTCATCAGAATATGCGAAAAGTTTGAAAAGCAATATGTCATAAACCACTGTTCAATCCACCCATATGTTCTTTCATCCCACTTAAAAAGGGGTAGATTTAGGGATGGTGGGATCCTATTGCGTATTACTAACATTGGATCCAGAAACATCACGGCTTTTCCGCCCAGGTGCGAGGCGGAGCAGCGCAAGGCCCGCGTGGACGCGCGCGAGCAGCGGATGCTGGATGCGGTGTCCAAGGTGCACCCCGCGCGTTGCGCGTTGCAAGTGATCCAAGTGCTGAAGATCACCGTCAAATGTCATGAAACCGAGCCACCCCAATGATAGTGCCAATGATACCATATGAAACCTAGGGTATATGATACCCTTTTGGCACAAGTTTTTTGAGTGCCTTTAGTGAGGTTTGGTATACCGACCTCTTGGCTTAAACAGAGCCAGTAACTGCTATAGTAACGTTGTTGGCACAGGAAATTCAGGCGAAGTTGGTGACCCTGAAAGAAGAGGAGGAGCGCATCAGCCAGGACTGGGGCAGCGGGGCATGGTGGATGGCCATGGTCGTTAAGAACAAGGGCTGGAAGCTCCACCATTTGCAAGTAGAGGATGTTTGGAGATTTTTGACCATTTTTTGACCATTTTTGGATCTGTCTTAGAACTTGAGGATTTCCAAGATTCTTACTTTGTAGAACCTGGGGATGTCCTAAATGATAAGCATACTGCAACAAAACGATAAGGACGTCGTCCATATGTTGCTTCACAAAGGGGGTGATATGCATTCATGGTGCGTTGCCCATATGTAAATTTCGTCGAGGGCAAATCTGGAAATATGGTCTGAACATTTGACCCGCAGCAATCTCATCTTGCAACACAACGGCAGGGCAGGGTCACCAAAAAATGATGGCCTCCCCCGCTGCTCACTATGAATGGGTTCCTACAAGTCCAATCGCCTTATAGTTCGATATCGTTCGCCGAAAAGATACGGCTACTTGGTTCAGTTGGTTCATAAGAATATCCTGCATGGTTATCGCTGATCCTTCTGTGTGAGATCATCTCTAGTTCAACTTCTGACAGTGTTCAGTGTCGCCATGAAATCATAGCCAAATTTCGGGTTTCCTGAAACATGTGGTACAAAATCAGCATCCTCAACCGCTACAAAAAACATGACGATGATACGATGATACGATGATCACAACTGGGTCTATTCGAAGCCTCCTGGGCCAGGTGGTGGCACCTCTCACCAATGGTGCCGATTTGGAGGTGCCAACCCCTCGGGGCCTCGGTGATGCTCAAAAAATGAAGTTTTTCAGGGTCTCGTCTCATTGAGCACCAACATGTCCATTTTTTGAAGTCAACATGAGGTATATAAATAACTGTAAATACTGGCGATTCCTTTTTAGCTCATTTTTTAAGATTCTGTTTCGGCAGAATGAGTAAAAAGAGCTGTCGCCGAAAGGACTTCTGCAAGGGTTTCGGCTGCTGGTCACTGATCCGGATTTTGCGCTACAAAAAATGCCACCACTTCTGGTGCACTCGGAATTCAGGAGGGGCATGGATGCCGGAATCACCTTGCCACTCATCATGCGAAGTGTACACCCAGAATTGAGCCAAAGAAGTTGCAACGATTTCGATTGAAGATGGTGCTGTGCATCTCCAAGCTTGCAAGCATGGGATAAAGTTACACGTTCTTTTGACGAAACCAGCGGAACATCTCCAGTTTCAATGTTCCTAGCATTTCCACGCTGCCGCAGGTGTTAGATGCTCCCATGTCCATCTTGAAGGATGGGAAAGAAATGGCTGAGACTTTGAAAGAACAATTGGCCACTGCCAGGACCCGGATGCACCCGGATGGGCGTCCGGTGGACTTCTGATTGGAACGGTCTAAGGAAGTTCATTCAGTGAATGGGGACGAAAAACATTGACTGGTTGGTGCTTTGGAACCATGGAATTTTATGACGTTCCCATCATATTGGGAATGGAATGTCATCATCCCAACTGACTTTAAGTGAATTATTTTTCAGAGGGGTAGTTATACCAACCACCAACCAGAATATATCATATATAGGTATTATAATCACTATTATTGATGATTATCCCATTATAAAACCACCAACCTATCATTGAATGACGATAATTTTCCCCACTTTTTCCTATCGGTCGAGGAAGTCCATCACCTCACACGAGCTGCCCAAAGGGGTGACTGCAGGCGTGGCCGTGTTTTGTTTGGCCACGGGGATTTCCCAGAGGATGGGCCCCCCTTAATCACACGATAGCGGCTATCAGTTGCCTTAATCATCCTTAATCAGTGACTGAATTCTATGGCTAATGGTAGATATATGATATATAGTCATGTAAGATACTATATATGATATAACTATAGCCAAGTTACTAATGGTAGTTACTATATGACTATATGATATAAATGGGTTCATAAAGCAAATTAAAACTGGGGCACCATCCTGCAGTTAGTTGGATGATGTTGGAAGATCCCGGCGAAACAACTCATGAAACCTCCATACTTTTTGGGATTTCCCAAAAGGTGAACTTTGGTGGGATTCTAGTGAGCAACAAGAAAAAGAGTGAAGGGACCCAGGGAGGATTTGTGAACTTAAGTAACTTAAGGTTTGAATAGGGCTTTGAATGTACACCAGTAGTACATAGTACAACGCACATGGGCTAAATTGTGATGGGACAAAACGGGTTCTCCAGTATGGCTCTGGTGATTTTCAGTACTTGCCAAGTTTTGGACTTCAACATGTCAAACAACCCGAATCTGTATCATTCAAGAAGGTGGGCGACAGGTATTTGCTTCTGCGGAGTTTGCAGCTTCACTTGGTGATTTGGTCAGCGTTTCGATCCCAAAGGTCTGGACATGCATTATTCCTCAGATTTCCCGGCTTTTTTTATGCGCCCCTTTTGGAGGAACAACAAACACATCCCCAAAAAAACACCCGACATTTTGCCATTTCTGCAGGCGCTGCCAGCTCGATGCGGCAAGTGATCAGCAAAGCCGTGCAGCAGGCAGGGAGCCACGAGATGGTGAAGAACTATGCCGGATCTCACTGTAAAGAGCAATTTTTCTGGGTAAATTATAACGACCTCACTGTTCTCCCTCACTGGAATCATGGTTAGATTGCGGGAAATCATCCCAATATGGCCGCAAGATTCAGGTTGGTGAAATATGATAATTTACCCAGATTTTTGAGCCTCCAAAATCCAGGCGGAAGAGGATTCTTTCTCGTTGAAGAACAGCTTTTCCAACATGTCCGCTACCTCGGGGATTTCACACATCACCTTGGTATCTCAGCTCTGGAAGATGATCTCAAGCAATTTCTGGAGGACCCAATGGGTTGAGCTAATTCTCGACCCGAATCTTCATTTAGCATATTTTGAAAGATCGTTTTCTCTCTTAATATCTCTTAATCGGCTCCTCAAATGTGCTCATAACCCGAAATCATCATAAGTCCTTGCTGCAATTGAATGATTATCCCCGGCAAAGCCTGGTGAAAGGTATGGATCTCGTGTTTTTTAAAAAAGGAATTAACAATCCATGCCCATTTCAGCAGTGGGTGGTCTAAACCCTCTAACATTAGAACTTTATGGCTTCATCGCAGAGTCTTTGGCTCTATCCTCGCTGGTTCAAAAGAACAGATTCAGTTTTTTTTGGCCCATATCCCAACTATTCCCAAGTTATGTGGGAAAATGACCCATCATTCATATCAAGTTGCTTCCTTATATCATTGATATTCATTGATAATATCATATCTCATCAAACAAATTACCATCATATCCCCAGGATTTCCTTGTTGGTGAGTTTTTATTTATAGTTTATAGCAATATTTCCATCATATCCCCATCATAGCACCCCATCCCGTGTGGGAAATGACTTTCCCTTCGGCCATGAAAATCGGGCAGGTGGATGGCGCCACCAAGACGGTGAATGGCTTGATCAAGGCCATGGACCGTGCCACATGGGATTTCTCGTGGCAATTTCATGGGGAATATGATATTCGAAATATGATCATATATGATATATATATATATATGATATATATATATATGATATATGTATATATAATACATATGAGTCACGGTCAAAATGCTTGAAGACCACTTTAGTATGGAGTTTTTGTCAGAGATGTGCACGAAACACTGTAAAGCGATAGGCCCCCAAAAGCGATAACCTGAAAAATACACGACAGTCCATTGAACTTGGCGCAAACCAAGCAAATACTGTTATGCACATTCACAGAACGAGCAGAACCGATGAAAGAAATTCAACCTGTGGTGCCCTGTTTCCTCCAGTTACCATATCATTTGGCATCGAACTCGCTCGCTCGCTCTCTTTCTTTCGTTCTTTCTTTTTTTTTTTCCTCTCTCTCTCTCTCTCTGTCACTCTGTCGTTTTTGTGGCAAATTTCGTTCGAACTATGTCATATGTTCGAGGGGCTATTTAGCGATAACCTTAGCGATAACTTAGCGATAACCTTTGTTGCACTCGGTCCCCTGACCAAGCCATAGAGCCATTTCCATAACTTTAGAAAGGAAATGAAAGGACATGAATGCAAAATGAAAGGAAAATGCATGCAAATGAAAGGAAGATGAAAGGACATGAATGCACATTGGAATGAACATGAAAGGAATATGAAAGGAAAATGAAGGAAGTGAATACACATGAAAGGAACATGAAAGAGAATGAAAGGAAAATGACAGGAAATGAATGCAAAATGAGAGGAATATGCATGCAAATGAATGCAAATGAAAGGAACATGAGGTGTTGCCGAAGCACCTGAAACCAACAAAACAACTCCTCAATCCATTTCCGAGCCTGTTTAGGAATGGATTTTGGCTTCATGTTGAGTCTCGAATATGCTGATTTCCACAAAACCCTGGAAAGTGATAGGCCCTCCCCAAAAAAACGATAGCCATAAGAGTAGCAACTACTCACATGTAAAGGATTTTGACGGGAGCTCATATATATATATATATATATATATAATCAGGGGCGTGCCCAAAAGCCAAACTGGGGCTGTCATTGTGTAGGAAATCAACCTTGTTTTTGTTTCACCATTACGGATTGTAGAGCTAATGAACGGGGATATCAAGTATGGGTATATATCAACTGGGTATATACGCGAAACGCCTACTAACAAGAACGGACATCATGGATTTCGAGGTCCTCGAATGAATGATTGCCTGGAATGATGAGTGGAACGCGTCAATGCGAGGAACTATTCATATGATATATCAGCAAGTTGGCTACAATTTCGTGATAGGCCTTAGGCATATATGCCAACCATAGCGGGCTGCTTGTCATCCCGTTATTCCTGGCAGATGTTCTCATTACTCTTTCCTCGGTCTAGCATTCTGGAGCTCTATTGTTGCCGCTCTTGGCCCCACGGGACCAACAGCATCCGGCCGCAGGCCGCAAGTTTATGATGGATCTATCAATTCCCGACGCGCAGCGTCAATGGGCATTCTACATATCTAAGGCATAATCGCTTAACTACATTTCAGCACGTCCGTTTTTCCGCCCATCGTCTGGAAGGGATGTGGATGTGAGGGAGCGGGGTGGTCCTAGATATTTGATTTTGCTTGGCCGCATCTTACACATACAGATAGTATAAATATATATATATATATATATCGGAATAATTTGATGGACGAGGGCCGTTTTCATAAGATTTCGGTGGAAGAGATGGGTACAGAAAGAAGGATGAATGGGGGAGGGAGCAGATGGCTCTTAGGGTGCTGGAATGAAGCACACCCGAGGACATTGGCGTGGACAACGATATTGCAGTGCAGAGCGGTTTTGGCCATGGACCAAACGGGAGCAGGGTAGTGCAAAACACAACAAAAATACCCAACGGCTAGGCCTGGCTTGGAAAAAGCACTCGCCGCACCAGGCGCGCAAAAAGCGCCCGCCCCAGGCGCGCAAGAAGCGCGCGCCCCAGGCGCGCAAAGAGCGCGCGCCCCAGGCGCGCAAAGAGCGCGCGCCTAAAATAGGCGCGCAAAGAGCGCGCGCCCCAGGCGCGCAGAAAGCGCGCGCCTCAAATAGGCGCGCGAAAAGCGCGCGCCTTTATGTAGGCCCTACTATACCGTTTGGTATAGGTGGTTTTAAGCAACGGAGGCAACAGTTTGACAGAAGCTGGGATACAACCCCAAACAGGAGGAACACACAGACTGGGATGATTTTCCGGCGGTATACTGAACCCATAAAGAAGCTGGGCGCCCAAAGGGGCGCCAGGCGCGCAAAAGCCGCGCGCCCTAGACCGCATGTGACGGAAGGAGTTATACAAGCTGAAGGCCCAGGAGATGGAATGGTGTGAGCTTATGTTCTCACTGTTGCAATCTAATGCATTTGGGTTGGCTGCTCATTGAGAAAAGAACTGAAAGCATATTTTTTGGCAGATTCTTTAATATCCGAAGGGTTCCTCAATATGGCTTCCATCTTGTTGAAACGGCTTTGTGGAGACTATTGAAATTGTGGACTTGCGTGTTGTTGTTTTTCGTGCTTGCTACGCAGAGCTTGAAAGAACAAGCATGCATGCCGGAACTTGAATGGACGCTTCAAAGGCCACCCTGGATGCAAACACATGGCAACACAGAACAGCTGCATCGCCAGCGCCTCTAGACCTAGGCAATCAGAGACCTTAATCCGGGCACCTTCCAGAGCTGTTCCGGGCATTCTGGATTGGGAATCCCACCAAGGAGGGTGTCGCTGTGACACCGTGCTTGGGATGATTCAAAATGCCGAATCCCACTTGGAAAGCTTAGATGGCTTGGACTGGCCACATATACAAGAGAAGCAGCTGAGGCAACAATGTTTCTTCTGATTGTGGATTCCGAATCCCACCAAGCAGGGTGTCGCTGTGACACTGTGCTTGGGATGATTCAAATTCATCAAAAGGACCAATACAGTTGAGACGATACGGGACTTGGTGGCATAGCCGCTTGAAGAGAAAGTGTTTCTACCTTTTGGCTTGTCAAAAGAACGCGTAGAGCAGAAGATATAGAAACGATAGGCAGTACAATTTTGAGCGAACCAAGGCTTTAGATTTTAGAGTGCCACATAGTTGGACACAATTTTGCCGGCAGCACCGAAAAAGATTTGCGTCCTCTGTGATGGAGCATGCATGTGTTTCTTGAGCCCAAAGGAAATCAGCTCTTGGTGCGAGCAATTAATGCTATTGTTTTCGCACCCACGTCGCAGATCAAAATTCAAGCCATGTGCTGCTGACGGCTACAGCCGGGAAGAATGGCTGCGTGCCACAGTGGCCAACTGCTATATTCGCGTTCCGTCGCGTTGCAGCATATAATGTTGTATGTAAGTCCTCCGCCATGCCCTTTCCAGTCGGCTTTGGGGGGGTGCTGTTCTTGGCTGGGTCTTCATCTTTTGTGCCGTCTCCAGTCCAACCTCATCGGCATTCTCCGCCTTCTTCCCTTCCATTGCATCCCGGCAGCTTACGCTTGCAGTTCCCCAATGCCTTTGTTGGTGAAGCCGAAATCCAATTCCACAATGGCCAAATGATCTACAACTACCTCTGCTAGACTCATGATGTGTGAGCGCGATGAAAGTTTCCAAACTTTCTCTTGAAGTCAGCTCAGCAGTGGCAAATCCAGACACCGCACGGCTATCACCTTAAGACGCAATGCGAAATTCCGAAATTCACCGGCTGCGCCTTGACGCTGGAGATCTTAACCTTTCACTCAAGATGCACCTGCTCCCATGTGCTGGACTTGAGTGAGATAGGCAGGGGCCCCAGAAGTCATTGGGCTGCAGACATTTGGAAAAATATTCCCATGCGAAAGACGGCAACTCTGGCAACGGCTTCAGGTGTTCTTAGGGGGGCTCAGATAGGAATTCAAAACGCTGATGGCGAAATCAGGGCCTGCGGCGCGCACACCGCCACAGGTTCTGCAACAATGTTCTCCAGCACTTCATATTTCACAAGCCATCAGTTGAAGTTTGCTGGTGCGACGACAGAACGTGTGCAGGTGAAGCATGAATCCTGAGCCTTTCGGTTCCCTATCGCTATCGGCTTGCAGTGTGTTCTTGAGCCGCTCAGCATCAGTGAAAACGGCCTTACTTGATTGCAATGTGACAATGTGTTCCCTCAATTGCCCGGTCATCTTCTCAGGGACGGTGCTTGCCCGTGACGGGCGGGATGACTATAGCGAAGCATTGTTTGGAACAGAGGAAGCGCCTGCTCCCATTTAATCTTCTAGTACTGGTAGATGGTCTGATAATTAACGAGTAAGTCCCACAATCCAAAACAGTAATTTAATGAAAGCATTGATAATCGATGATTATAGCTGTTACCAGGTGTCATTGTGTTTGCAACTCTTTAAACTTAAGCTGTGGGTGCTACTGTGGTGGTTCATTCTGCTTCAACCTGGATGGACCCATCGCCACTGGTGGCGATGATGTAGGGGGTTTGTATTTATCCACGGATGATCGGGCTGAATTCTGATGGCCTCAAAAAAAGGTTCGGTAATGTTTTTTTTTTTTTGCCATGCCTTTTGCTGTCATATTATTGGTCGATGTGAATTTGCTTCGCAACTGGAGAAAAACAACCAATAGCCAACCCCACGGTCAAACTGCTGTTCCTACATAGTGGCTGTTGTTTCGAAGTTGTGGGAACGGCCCTGATAATATATATATATACATATATATACACATACATATACTGTATATAATATCATAGTAAGATGATGGATGTCTTGGACGATGACGGTCTTTGGATGTTCTGATTTCACTGTGGATCAATGCCGCCATCGCCTACAAGGAACGTCTCATTTTTTTTCGGGAGGGGCATCCATAAATCCCAGCGATTTTTTTTTGTTTTTTCCAATGGTGGACTTGCCAGCGCAAAAAGCTGCTGCTTTTAACCAGACAACGGTGACTTCATCTACTAAATCTACTATCATCATCACCATCTGCCCTGAATGTTCTAGAAAATAGATGAACATAGAACAGCCAACCCTCCAAACGTTTGTTTTTTCACCCGTTGGACCACCACAGCCACCATTTTGGACGCTAAGCCGCTAGGACGCCCAACCCCCGGTCGCAGGCGGTGAGCGCGTCGGCGCTGAAAGTGGCGGAGGCGGTGCTGCGGAAGACACAACTGGCGCTGCGCCAGGAGGTGCTGAAGCGCGAGAGCTCCCTCGAGGTGCCAGTTGGGGGTTGGGGATGGGGGTTGGGGGTTACCCAAAATGGTCAACATACAAAAAACTATTGAAAATGACCATAGAAATAGTGGATTTTCCCATTAAAGATGGTGATTTTCCAGTTCGTTATGTAAACGTTTGCCAGAGAGTACCCTTTGGTAAATGTTCACAGTTTGCGAAGTGGACAATCACCATCTTTAACGGTAAATCAATGAACCAAAGGTGCCATTTTCAATAGCTATGTTAAATTGCCAGAGGGTAGGGGGTGGGGAGATTTGGGGGGTTGAGAGATATGGGATTTGGGGGTGAGATGAATGTTGGCATGGGATGTGGATGGAATGCGTAGAACTAGTAGTCACCATTGTTCTTCAACAAAATCTAGCCGATGAGATGGCCGATGGTGGTTTGGGGTGGAGAGATGTGCTCAAACCCAGGAGGAAAGAGCATAGACCCAGCGACATACTGTCTGTATAGTCTTTAGAATCTATATAGATCAGAAAAGTTTGGGGGTTCTGCATGTTATATGTTATATCATTTTTAGTAAATTTTAGTATATATCATTATATATATATATTTGTTTTTTTTAAAGTATTAGTTCAAAATTATTGAATCATTGTCTGATTGGGTGTTCCACATTAGACACGCAGGCCCTCTTCTCAGAAGTGGCTCAGGGCGCAGACAGTGTGTCTCGCAAGGAGCTCGCGAGGTCACGATGGGACATCCTTTTGTTAAATGGAGGCTTTAATGGGAACATCATAGGAACATCTGGGACAAACCCACTGTTAGAACATGTTAGAACGGAGCTTTGAGTGGGAAAATCATCGTTAATTAAGTCAACCAGATGTGATTTTCCAGCCATGTCACTGACAACCAGATGGCAAATCCTTAATGAATGGATCTGAATCGCAATGGTAAGTGGAAATCAGAGCCAGAAATCTTCCTCACTGCGGGGGATTTCTATATCTCACTGGTATACCAGTGTTGTTGGTGATAGATGCGGATGTTCGTTGGTCAAATCCTGACTCATGTTTGTCCCCAATGATGTCCAACAGTTTGTGAATGTCAAATATGCTCAAGTTCTCGCAAAATGGCAGACATTCCACTTTATCCCACATGATCACTTATGGTGCTTGCTAAAATCTCCGCAAGTTTCCAGCAAATGGACAGAATTTGTCCCCATGATCCTCAGGATAGTGCAAATGAATGTTTTCTGCAAAGTCAACCCTGGAATCTGAGGCTTTCAAACTTCTTTAACGAGTAATTGACCACAATAGACCACCATCCATATGTTTTTGCCTGTCAAAATCTGTGAAATCTCATAGAGTTGGCCGACATCTGACATTTTGTGCAGGTGGTTGGGCAGCTTAGAGGACCTGAAGCTGAGCTCAGAGCAGGCGCGTGGGATGTCGAATGGTTGGGATTTAGAAACCTTCAGAATCGGTTGTTGATCTCTGGAAACAGTGGTTCATATCTAACAAGATGGTGGTGCAACTCAGGCAAATTGTGTGTTGAGTAGGAGACATGGTTGTGTCAGCAACAGTTGGTCGTAAAATTTAGTGGGTTCACCCACAAGTCCAACAAGACTGGCGTGCTGTCGATGGCCAAGCAGTACTGGAAAGGTTCTTTGTTCTTTTTCCGATGGAAGTCGTCCCCGTCATTGTTACTTGTTGTGGAGGGTACCTCCCAAACTTAGAAAGTTTTTGGAAAACAAGCTTGGACACACACTCAGTTTTGTTCTCCTGTTCTCATTTTTAATGGTTATCATAGAAACGGTCACCGATATTGAATGATTGCTTGGGGTAGAATATGGATAATTGGATGGTGGTTGGTGGTTTGGAACATTTTTTATTTTTCAATATTTTTCCATATATTGGGAATTTCATCATCCCAAGTGACTTTCATTTTTTTTCAGAGGGGTAGGTCAACCACCAACCAGGATAGTTGCTACATGTTGCTACCTTCCGGTAATCTAGTCCATCCAGGTTTGCATCTCCGTGAATCAGACATGGCTGCAAAGTCCTTCATAAAATATCGATATCTGATATATCTGATGATTGAATGGTACAATATACATATATACATATTACTATTACACATATACACATATACACATATATATATATATATACATATACATATATACATATATACACACACATATATATATAGATGCAATTATATCATGTTACATCCATAGTAGCATATCATAGCATATCATAGCATTTTTCACATTTCTATTCATAGTCCTTTCAACACACGTTTTTTTTGAGCCATTGCACGGATGACCAGAGGGGCAACGCATTGATGCTACAGGTGGCTCTGATGCTGGATCGTTTGGCTGGGAGCGCAGAGGCGGCGACCGGGGGATGAAAGGTGTAGCGAAGGTGCAGCATGGGTTGATAAATCCATGGAATCCATGGATAAATCCATAGAGTACTATAGGTGGTTAGAGTATGAGTTGGTGTGACTGTTTACTCATCTAAGAATCTTTAGAGGTATCCACGAGGTTTTTTGCAACACTTGACCTAATGATACATCAACAGAAACTATGCTTTGGAGTTTGGAGGCCCCTTCTGTCCTGCCAGGAGGGCATGGTTTCCCGATGGACCTTCCTGAGAAAGTTCCAGCAATTCTACGTGCCCTGGCGGTATCTAATGGCAGGCTTTCTGCCTGACTGGGGAAGCTGAGATGTAGCAAGGTCAAATTCACATTTCAAACTGACACGTCCTCCCAAAAGTACGAAGTTGGCCAAGTGAATCGTGTTGCTCTGATGCTAAAAATCCTTTCGTCCAGGCGATTCTGGGTGTGTTCACGCGACTTTCCACCAAGTTTTCTTCCTGCTCCAATTTCTATTCCTTCAATGCCTATGGGATTTCCCCAAGATTTCCCCCCATATTTCGCTCTGGGAAGTTTCCAGAAAAACGCGCTATCCCTAGGAGTGCCAGAAGAACATCGCGCTGACCAATGATTTGGTGATCACCAATAGCAAACCCATTCGGATGCTTCAAGCGGAAGAGGCGAAACCTTGGGATGAACTTAAGAGGGAATTGTGATGGAAATTCCTCTGTAAATTGAGGTTTAGAATTAGCCCGGAAAAATCATCTATCAATGATTTCCAATTGCTTTGTTGAATTGCCGGAGAGTAACTTATGGGAATTATCATGATTTTAGGATAGGTAAGTTGAAATACCTAGGCCAAAAATTGGATTTATGGTGTTTATATCTAGATTGATGTGACCCAACCAGCAAACTAGACTCGGCATAGACCACCGATGTATATAAGGCAGGCATTTTGGGTGAATTTTTTATTTCAGCCCTAGATCCGATTCGTTGCCCCAGGTCATTGAGGTTCTTCAAGGACCTGAGAGTGAGAAGAAGTCAGGCATGAATCCATTGGACATGCTGGACCTGGGGCTTTCCGACCCATGGGGGTAGCCGGCCTGGTCAACGGGCGAACAGAACGAACTGGAAAGAGCCACCATGCTATTTTCATGGGTAAATCATGGTAAATCCACGATTTCTATGGGCCATTTTCAATGTCGCGAAGTGTAACAAATCACCAGAGGGTAGCCCTAAATCATGCATTTATAGATGGGATTTTCCCTTCTAAACCAACCAGCTATTGGGGTACCATGGAAGTTTCCCCCCCATACGAAGAAGTTTTCCCAAAAATTGGGGATGTGAGTTTTCGGTGGAGCCCGAATGTCATGGGGGAATGTCATATTAGTGTCATGTCATTAATGATGCCATGGGATTGGTGTGCTTTTTCGTCACGTCATCCCATGAGGGGGGAATCCTTACATCATTTACCCTCTGGTAATTTAACGTAGCTATTGAACATGGCCATAGAAATAGTGGATTTTCCCATTAAAAATGGTGATTTTCCATAGCTATGTTAGTTTACCAGAGGGTACATCATTGGTGTTACATCATTCATCAATCCCATTCATCAAGGAGGGAAATGGATTGATGATCATCCTGGAATCATCCGATAACTTATGGGTGAATCTCATCGAATCTAACTTTTGACCATGGCACATGTGGCACATAACGCACATAACACTGGTTAATATATATAGTTCCATATAGTTCCATTAGATGATGCTTCCCAATTGACGAATAGCCTTTCACTGGGGACTTCGACCACCATGAAAACTGCTGATGAAAACTGGAGGCTTATCCCCACAAAAAGATGGAACATGATAGGTCTTTTTACTCATTCCCACACATCAGACCTGATTGTAGTCATGACTTTATCTTATTTTATCTTTATATTCCCATAAGCCATCATTATTTTAAATCGGAGTAAATCCAATTTGCTATCATCAAATACCCATGAACGGGGAACTGGTTTAGGAGAACGTCTGCAGGAAACCCATATGTTTGGGGGGTTGGAATCGTGCTTTCCCGGAGAATTTCCCGTACATCAATCCATTATATTGGAAGTTAATGATAGCTTAAATTCGTACATAGTTTCCTGCACATTTTCCTTTGAATAAATTAATTGAATAAACATCATATCTGTTGGTTAAACACACATATATATATATAATATACCTATTTACATGGGTCAGACGCCCAATTTTAATCGGTGTTTCATCCTTTAGTTTTGCTGGTTGGATCCATCATCTTCAGACTTATTTTGGCAGTTGAGACAGACACACACACAGAGAGAGTTTATACTCATCCATATCTAGTTGGTGGCGACTGGAACATGACTGGATTATGGCCTATGGCTTTCCCATGATATTGGGAAGAATCATCCCAACTGACGAACTCATATTTTTCAGAGGGGTTGAAACCACCAACCAGGGTGTCTATTTTGAAACATGATTTCAAAAAGGTCATAACAACCCCCAAAACGATATTAGCAACGTCAGATCCGAACGGGAACCTCGTATCTTCTTGATGTGTACTGGATCTTACTAAAATATTACTAAAATAGCATCCCGTATCAAAGTGTTATTCAGAACATCACTTAGCCAATCTTAGCCATATTTTTCCTTGTTTTCTCAGCTTCCGGCGCTTCTGAAGCCCCGGACATGGATCGCATGGATCCAAAGTCACCAGGCATTGAGCGAATCAGAGGCCGCGCCATACGGGACAACAGCGTGGGATGGTTCGGGAGCCCGGTTTGACTGAAAATTTACTGCGTTTTACGCAGGGAATGGATGGGAATGATCCACTGGCTAACTATCAAGCAGATCATCCCAGCAACCCCAAGCAACACATCCAGCAACCCTACTAAAACGCACCAGTAAGAAAATCTTGATAAAACCTGTCTCGAAAGGTAGCGGTGAGCTACCTGAGTTCCCCCTTGCGTAGCAAGTATTAGGGGGCGAGCGGTGCAAGTGCAAGAGTTTGGGCCGGTTATGTCTCGGTCCGCCTTTCAAGGGGGGGGGGGCCCTGTTTTTGTTTCGACCTAATACCTACATAGGTACATGCATGAGTATTGAGCACATTTATATGCGCCCTTCAAGGCTCAAGAAAGAGGTATATAGTGTAACCCTGTAGACAAGCACTGACCGGCAACAGGCTGAGAGTAAAAGAGTGCTGTCATTGGGGAAGACGCCTTAGCTGATCTTGAAGTAGACGCTAGGGCCCCTCTTCAAGTGGTAGCGGAGCAGTGATCCCTCATTGAGGGTGAGCTCCAGGTAGAGCCCAAGAAATGGCAAGCCATGGCTATGATGATGATGACTTCGACATTGTCGATGCAAATGAATGGAACCAATATGACTCTTATGCAATGAGAAGAGCACCCCAGCATACACAGATTCATATGACGCAACAGATGACCACAAAGGTTGCTCCAGCCTATGATGGGCGAACCAGCTTCTTTGCTTTTGAGGATGCAATTGATGACTGGTGTGACATTACGGAGTTAGAACCAGAGAAACGTGGTCCAGCATTGCGCAACAGACTGGAAGGAGATGCTCAACAATACAAGAGGCTATTGGATAGAGAATTACTCAGGGATCCCTATGAAGGAGTGGCTTATTTCAAAAGATTTCTACGACCTCATTTCATCAAAGGTGCCCAGAACGTGTTCTTATACCGTTTCATGCAGTTCATGAAGTTCAACAGAGGAACCATGGATCTTCAGAAGTGGATGACTAGATTTCAACTCACTGGAAATAGACTTATTGAGTCTTGGATGGATTTACTTCCAGAAGTAACAGTGACTAGTCCTGAAGCAATCCTGTTTGTTCAACAACGACGTCAAGAACATGAACGAGATCAACAAGAGAGAGCTGAAGTAGCAGCAGCCTCAGGAACACCCCATGTAGCTGTTCCTTGGACAGATGAACTGGCACTAGCGGCATTCAGACTATTTCAGGAAAATCGTAGAGAAGCACAGCGACAAGCATTCCCACTGGGTGAAAATTTGCTAGCATTGATTTTTGTAAGTCTAGCTGACCTGAGTCAAGATCAGAGAAACACACTCACAAGTATCATGACACATCGTGGACGAACCCTCGATCGATACAGTATTCAAGAACTACGTGACCTGTTTTTGGATTTGTTTTGCACTACCAAAACAGCAGTTGACAATCCATTGATGCAACCCTCTGGCATGGCACAGAGAAGATCTTTCCTCGTACTGGATGAAGGTGAATTAGAAGGAACCGACGGCTATTGGGCCGAAGATGAAGAAGACGGCGCAGAAGGATTCCTGGATGCCTTAGAAGATGTTTTCTGGGTTTATGATGACGCCAACTTCACATGGTATCAGAGAGGGTTCCAAGGCAAATACATCAGACGAGGCAAAGGTAAAGGAAAGAGAAAAGGAAAAGGAAAAGGCAGAGGAGGACGAAGGTTCTTCAAATCAAGAAAAGGAAAAGGCCGAGGAAAAGGAAGAAGAAAGGCCGTGCTCACATGGTGAGTGAAGAAGATTATGAAGATGAATGGCAAGAAGATGAATGGAATGAAAACTATGACGGCTATTGGGCCGATGATCAAACCTGGAATGAAGGCTATTGGGCCTATGATGATCTGTACTACATGGATGAGTATGGATACTTCCAGAAGAAAGGAAAAGGAAAAGGAAAGAAAGGCAAGAAAGGCAAGGATGATGATGGAAAAGGAGGAAAGCCAGGAGATGGAAAAGGCAAGTCGAACTATGTTCAACCTCAACCCACATCAGTTCCTGCCATACAGAATCAACAAACTCAACAAGCTCATTATTCTTCTGCAGCTTCAAGTTCTGGTCATGGTTTCTTTTCATTTGGAACAACTGAACCAGTACGTGTTGATGTTGCAGAGACAGAGCCAGCACGTGTTGATGTTTTGACATCCACGTATGCAGCACAAGATGAACAACGACGTACTCGTCGTGGAGGACAGAACCAACGTGATGCAAGAGCACATCAAAACAGGAGAGAAATGAAGAGATTCCCTGTTCTGGTTGGAGAAGTTGGTGCACTACGACAAGGTGTACAACAACGTCCAGCTGTAGTGCCCAGGCAAGTTGGTCTTCAAGAAGGTGAGGCTTCATGGAAGCCATTGGCAGAAGCACATCATTGTTTTCACATGGATGCTCTACAGAGATAGAGGAACCATCACAGCAGAGTGCTTTTTCATTTCATACTGTACAAACTGATCTGGCATGTGAGAATGGACTAGCTTTTCACACAGAGAATTCTGCACCACCAACTGTGTGTATTCTGGATCTTGGATGCACAAGAGCTATGGGCTCTCGACGAGCAGTTGAAGCATTTTGCAGATATGTTGACTCACATCCCAACAGTGGACTCTGGTATGAAATTCAGCCAACAAGTTCAAGATTCTTCTTTGCAAACTCACAACAATCAAAATGTACTGAGAAGCTCGTGATATTCATGTATGATCATGGATGGAACACTCAGTTTACAGAATTCGACATTGTCGAAGAAGGTGATGTCCCATTGTTGATGTCACTTCCACAGATGAGAAACCTTGGATTTCAATTTGAACTTACTCCAGAGAAGGCTTATTTGTCCTGTGCACGTATTGGCATGAGAAAAATGGTTTTGAGGACAGCCATTAGTACTCATCTCATTCTCGACCTACAAGATGTAGCATGGTACATGAGCCAAGTTCATTTCAAGACTCCACAAGTCAAAAGTTTCTATTCACAACACGATCACTTTGAGTACAGCCAGATTGCTGTCAAACAATATGATCATGAAGGAGAAGCTTTGGTGACTGGTGACTACTGGCAGGTTGATCCACTACGTCGTGAACTCATCAGGCACCACAAGGACAAGAGAATGAACTTACATGAGATGACTCGATCAGAGAAAACTCCAATTCCAAAAGATCAACTTCTTGATGAGAGAGAAACCCACATGGAATTCCAGAAGAGCAAGAAGAAGGTTCTTCACAAGGACAACTGGCGCACTG